ACGGGTAGGCAAGAATCCTAAAAGGCAAGAGCAGCCACGTGAGCAGTGAGGCCGCAGACTGTCAGGGGGCTGCTGTGCACTGCTCATAAACATCCCTTCTACACTCAACATGGCCACGCCGGGTCATGTGAGAATGCATGCCCCGCAGCCTCTTGCTGAGCGGCGTACCCATCCCAAGGCACAGCATGGCAGCCTAGTTTCTGACGAAACAGGTCGAACGAGTGCCCCCTCCACCCCTGAAGTCCGTCCGTGGCGGCCTCTCACCTCGGCCGCGATCGCTGGAGGCCCCACCGGGGACAAACTTGCGCTCCATGCCCCAGCTATCTGCGGCGTCCGCCCGGGACCCGCCCATGTCATCGCCGTCCCCCCGACGGCGGTCGTCGTCGCCGTACCGACCTGCACATGTGCAAGTTGGGTTCGCAGTTGGGCTAGGAGGCAGGAGATGGCCTGGCAGTACAGACATAGACGAATGCTCCCGGTCTGAGAGGCGGCTGTGGCAGCATGCCATTGCACCCCAGTCAACAGTCACGGTTTCAATGGGCACAGACCCCACACTCAGGCCCAGCTCCAAGCACACAGCGCCGGCCTCTCCAGCTACAACCTGTACACCATGAGCCTGCCCCTCCCTCCCCGGATCAACGCCTTACCTCCTGCCCGGTCGCCGCCGTAGTCCCGGAAGGATCCCCCGAGCCTGTCGCCTGGCTTCTCGTCGCCCTCCACCTTTCCCCGGGAGGTGGTAGGCAGGTTGCGCAGGATGTCATCGTCATTCAGTGGCCGACGCAGAGCGGAGCCACCCACCCGGGCACTCGGAACGAAGGTGCCCGGCTTTGGGGCATCCACTGTGCTGACAAAGTCGGCCAGGGACATGGTCTGCTTTTTGCGCCGCTCCTTCTTGGAGTCCTTGACGGCCGCTGCAGCTCCCAGGGAAGGGAAGCCGGCGCGGTCGGGGGCATCCCCGAGCGAGGGGAACTCCTTCTCCTTGGCCACCACGGGCACGAGGATGGGTCCTGTGACGGAGTGGAGGACGGCATCTCTGGCTGGCGCTCCAATACCCAATCTGGGAAATGCAATCGTGGGAGAGGTTTGATTGTTTCAATGCAGCGACACGCACGCCACCGACGCTCACCCTGCTCGGCCTCCTCCTCCTCCACGGCCTGGGCCCAGGCGCCAGCGGGTTTGGCCCACGCCATGATGGCTGTGTGGGGCGGGGTGACGTCTGAGTTCCTGTCAAGGTCGGAAGATACGGGACCTGGACTGCTCGCTTGGCACCGGACCATGGAGCGGCTGATTTGAAGGTCCTGCCAATCAAGACCCGAGCCGCCCCCGACTCGCGTCCGCATTCTGGAAATCTTGAATAAATGTCATGGAAGAGGATCCTGTCACGAAGTTGGAATTTGCTCACCCAGCCCCGCAGGATAACGTCCGGAGCTTTTTACAGTTGATTTTGTTTCAATAAGGTGCTCTGATCCGCACACGGACCACTGTTGACGTGCAACCAAGGCTATCTCACATACTGCCTGGGAAGTGTGCGCCGAGTGCTCAACGCCACGCCCTTTCAGAGCACCATGCCACGCCGACAATTTCTAGTAATGGGCGTTCGGTACGCCCCAGCGGCTATAAGGAAGTTCTTTGTGCAGCAGAAGGTTCTGACATCGGGTGTTCGAGAACTCCGAAACGGTGAGAATGCAAATCGGACGGGGTTCTTCGATTCTGGGCTGAGAATGGTCCACCCCTCTTGAGTATCTCGAGTGACAATTCCTCTTTTGCATCTGAGTATACATATCCTGGCACTCCATCGAGTTCGCATGTTGCCACTCTGACCCTCCTTCCACAGGCGTACACTGCGGGAAGGCGCACCCCATCTCGGCTGCCCATCCCGGCAAAGCTTTGCGGAGTATTGCAGAGCGACCCGCTGCGTCTGTCTGGAATAGTGCCGGAGTCCCCCGGGCTACATGGTGTGGCGCCGGGAGCCGTGCAGGTGCCAGGGATGCCCCCTCCTTTGCCTCCACCCCTGTGTTTCTGAGCAGTGGCAACCCCGGCCGAGCAGGAGCACTGGAAGGAAGCTATGGACGGATATCAGGAAGCGATACAACTGCTACTGCGCCTCAGCATATGCGCAATGCTGCAGCATCGCCTGAAGTCCAGGCACCTGAAGCTGGAGTCCCCACTAAGGCTGAGAGCCCCCTCATGCGCTGGGCCACGCTGGGCCTGCAGGACTCGGGCCGACCTTCCACTCCGCCGCAGAGCGCCGAGCCGGCCCCCAAATTCAGGGCATCGCTGCGCAAGCTTGCGTCAGTTGGACCCCAAGCGCCCGCTCCCGAAGTAGCCCCATCCAAGCAGCAGCTGAGGAACGCGCTGCTGGCATACGCTGCCATGTAGAATGTGAATGCTAGATGTGTACTGGGTGGCAGGCGAGGGCCAATTACCAGTACATGCCTTTTGGGTTGCATCACCCCTCATTTGCGCTCCCCGTGTGTACTCTGAAACAAGCTCCTCTTCTTTTGTACGGAAACCTGCTGCTGTTATCAGGGAATGCCTCCCAAACCTGTCCAGTGCACCTCGTTCCCACGTGTGCTAATCTGTAACATATAGCGCTACCAGGGCATCTGGTGAATGTTGCCTGGCAGAGTGCAGCAGCTGGGCGGGACTTGGAATGCGAGCCTGAGCAGGCTTGGCGAGGAAGGATTTGGTTCACTAGGTATCCATTTCCTCAGGAGTTGGGAAGCGGTCAATTGACCATTGGTTGTAGGGAGGATGAATGTGCCTATCCAGCCGTAAATCTTGCTTGGGTGCGCTGAGGCTGGGAGGTGAGGCACAACTACGCGTTGCCATGGCGCACAATTATCGACCCCCCCTCTGCCCAGCCCCACTTCACGACAGGACTGCCGTCCTTGCAGCCCTGTTCAGCTCGTTGCGCGGACGGGCCGGGCGAGGAGGAGGCGGCGGGTGGCCGCCGTGATCTCCTCCTTGGCCATGAAGAGCAGCGCCGCGGCCAGCACGCTCTGCACTAGCTTGGGGCGCAGGCCCTGGTAGTACCCCGGCACGCCCTCCGTTCGCCAGATCTTGGCCACCGCGTCGCCCACGGAGGAGTACTGCATGTCTGCGTCCCCTCGCCGCGCCGTCATCATCCGCGTCTTCACCGTCAGCATGGGGTAGGTGACCACCGTGGCCCCGGCCTTGGCCAGAGCGGAAAGTATGAATACCTCCAGGGCGCTGGCGCGGGTCACCTTGCCTGAGTTGGTGGGGGTGGGGGGTGGGGGATGGGATGGGGTGACAAGCGCGCTCCTGCAATTGCAGGATTTCTGCCGACGACCCACAGCGTCCTCGGCCATGGGCAGGAGAGCTCAGAATGGGGTCCCTACCTCAGCAACCCCCATGTGCAACACCCCTGTCAAACTCTCAGGCGTGCCCCACCCCAGCTCCCGCACCTGTCTGCTGGGCTCTCAACTTGGCCCGCACTCCTGCCAGCCACTCGTACAGGGTGTACTGCAGCGTGGGGTTGATGACCATGACCAGAGAGGCCTGGCAGCCATTCCAGAAGCCAGGGACACCATACTCGTGGAAGACCTCGCGGATGACTGCGTGGGTGAATGGTGGCAGGCGAGTGTGGGATTGATCGGGTGGAGGAGTTGGACGGGCGCTATAGGGGTGAAAATTCCACACCATCCTAGTGCTCATTGTGTGCCTGCAGCTGAGGCACATACCAATGAAGCCGGCCTGCTCTCCTCAGGGCAAGGCCTGCTCTGATCTCCACACGTCTATCGCATGCCCTTCCACCGTTGGTGCCTCGAACAAGGTCCGGTCTTCCCACCAATCAAGAAGTCCCCACCCCTACCTGAGAGGGCGGAGGCCCTGGGTGGGACCTCCGGGTGGATGACGTCCCCGTCGCCCGTCTTGCCACCCCTCACCGCCCGTCGGTGCGCCTGCATGCGCGTGGCCACCACCCAGATGGGGTTGGTCAGCAGCACGTTGCCCGCCCCCGCCAACGACGCGACCGCCAGGGACTGGGGCACGGTGAGCGTGACCCCGGGGATGTCGCCCGTGGCTGCGCCGCGCAGGAGGCTGTACAGGGTGAAGTACACGCCCTGGCTGACGGTGGTGCCCACCAGCGCGGCCTCAAGACCCCGGAACAGGCCCTTCCAGCCCTGGGAGCCCAGAATCTGCGAGTGACAGGGCAGGGCGAAGGGGGCCCAAGTGGAGGAGGAGTGTTGGTGCCCGGCTCAGGTTTCAGCAGATTCATCATCCATACGCCTCCTGGGAATCTACTGACGCCACATACACTTTCGATGGCATTTCAGACAGGGTTCATCATCTTCAGGCCTACCTGCTGGAACTGGGCGGCGGAAGAGAGAGGGGTCGCGAATGGGGTGTGGCCCGCCTCTTGGGGCTTGTTTCTGACTGTCGTGGCTTGGAGGATGGCAACCTGTAACAGGTGTTGTATGGAGCTGGACTTCGTGATTGAAATCTGAGACACGTCCACACTCTCGCACAGGCACATACAGACGGCATGGCTGCTCCTCTGGTAGCCACTCACCGTTGACAGAGGGTAGGTTGCGATGGTTGCCACGCACCCTGGGATAAGACGAGCGGGAGGTGGGAAGTGAAAAAATGTGCTGTAATATTTCTCTGATCACGCAAGACCGACAGCCAGGTGCTGCCTCACCTCCGAGGGCGCCAGACACACCCTCCACCAATGCCTCCGTCATGTGTCCGTGGCAGTGGGTGAACTGGGCTTGGGTCTTTGGGGGCCAGGCACAGTACTCCAAATGTTGAGGGTAGAAGCGTTTGAAGCTGTTCCTGGAGAAGCGCGAAGGGCTTCTTCCACCGCTATCCCTACGTATTGATAATGAGGGCGCCTGTCAGCACTGTCGGAAAATTCAGTCGGAGCACGCAGAAGAAAGGAAGTTCACGGAATTCAAGCCTGCGATCGCACTGACGTTTACGTCGACTTTGGGGGGCCCATCTATGAGGGCGTGAATAGTGATTAGACCAAGTTAGAGAGGAACTTTATTGGGGCAGCTGAGAGCACGGAATCTGCTGTCTAGCGGGGCGAAGACTGGATCTGGCATGACTGTGGAGCAGCCTTGGGTGGAGAAATAGTGAGTTGGGGCATGCACGCTCGCATGGTCGCTGCAGATCACAGATCAGTTGTGGCTTTGAGATAATTTCCAACAAATCGACTCCCCCGCCCCATCCCCAGTCGACCAAGGGAGATCGGAGATGTTGCTTCCCAGGGGGAGGTGGTGAAAACGCTGGAGAGCGCCCTCAGCTCCGGCAACGTACGTGCTGATGGGATTTGGGGAATATTGTTGGACAAAAACCTTCAAGGGGTTGCTTTCAAATCTCGAATGGGATCCTTGAAGCCTTTTCTGACCATGGAAGCATACAGAGGGAGGGCCGTTCCGTGTATGTTCTCTAAATGGCATGTCCCAAAGCTCCACCCGCTACACACACTTTCTTGCAGCTCCCACACCTCTTGTTCTATGGCCCTCCCGGCACCGGGAAGACGACCTGCGCCCTGGCCATAGTCCGGCAGCTGTTTGGCGCCGACCTCCTCCGTGCGCGGGTGCTGGAGCTGAACGCTTCCGACGAGCGCGGCATCGCGGTGGTCCGCAACAAAATTAAGTCCTTTGCGGCCATCTCGGTGGGCGCCTCGCCCGCGGGTCGAAGCGTGCCACCCTACAAGGTCATCATCCTGGACGAGGCCGATGCAATGACCACCGTGAGTGGCGGCGGGGGGTCCTAAGAGGAGGAAGGGTGACGCGGAGGCCATTGCATGCTGAGGGGTGGCAGTGCAGCCCCAGGAGCCGGCTTGGGTCGCAGACCCGCACATGCGCACACTCGACCAGGCAGCTGAGACAAGCGCAGTTACCCTTACCTTTTTGGAATCCCCCGCGGCGTGCAGGACGCCCAAGCTGCGCTGCGGCGGACGATGGAGACCTACTCCCGCGTCACACGCTTCATCATCATCTGCAACTACGTGTCGCGCATCATCGAGCCCCTCGCCTCCCGCTGCGCCAAGTTCCGCTTCAAGCCCCTGCACGGCACCGTGATCGACGACCGCATCAATCACATCTGCCAGGGTGAGGGGCGCGTGGGGTGTGGATGCCACAGTGCCGGTTTTGGGGGGGCTCGGCCTAGCCGGGGAGGTTGTGGTGACGGACGGGAACCGCACCGCCTAGCCCATACATCATATATGGAATGTGAGTAGCGTCCTATCAGAAATCGGACAGTGGCCCACGTCGGGCCACACCCAACCGGCCGTATCATCTCTCCCCCCCGTTCCATTGACAAACAGTGGAGGGCGTGCAGCTGGGCCCCGACGCGCTTTGCACACTGTCCCGCGTGGCGGGCGGAGACATGCGCCGCGCCATCACCACGCTGCAGAGCGCGGTGCGGCTGGGCGGCTCGCCGGTGCGGCCGCAGACACTGATGGATGTGGCGGGGGTGGTGCCGGACGCCGCGGCTCGCGGCCTGCTGCACACCTGCCGTGAGAGTGACTTTGCGGGCGTGCAGTCCGCCGTGGCGGACCTCATCCACGAGGGCTACCCGGTGCGAGGGTTTGAGGAGAGGTTGGAAGGTTTCGTGGGGGACATGTATGGAGGAGGGAGGGTGTGGAGCACTGGGGCTGAATCAGGAGGGTCGAGTGCGAGCGAGGAAGACCTGAGCCCACACCCATCCCTCACACTCCCCTCCCCTTCATCACAATCGAGACGCACAGGCCCAGGAGGTGCTGGCAGAGGTGCAGGGCGCGGTGTTGGTGGACCCCGGCATCGACGACGTGCGCAAGGCCAGAGTGTTGGAGCGGCTGGCGCTGGCGGACAAGGCGCTGATCGATGGCGCCGACGAGTTCCTGCAGCTGCTGGCGGTGGCCAGCCTGACGCAGCGCGTCATCCTCGGCCAGGCGTGAGCGCGCAGCGGGGGTGGTTGGGATGCTCCGCTGCTGGGAGCAGAGGAGCCCCCGGGAGCCCCGACTGACTGGAAGCGTCCACTACCCTTGAAGCACAACCACACGTTACAGGATTTGCAGCCGGGGCAGGAAGTGACAGTACCAGGTGGGGCGTATGCATGGGAGGGAGGTGCTGGTCTGCAAATAACAGTGCAAGGCACCTCTGGACATCCCGGGCAGAGAGGAGAGCGCAACGGCAACTACAGAGCATGCGTCCGGGGGCGCGGCAGGTTGGTGCTCCGCGCGGGCAAGACAGATCATCAGGTACAAGGCCAGCGACAGCGGGGTAGGGATTGCATGTGTCATGGCGGTTGTCAGGTCGGGCACGGCGGTGTGCGCATGGGCCCTCGTGCGAGAGGCCGTCAGGGGGAGCGGGGAGAATGTGATCAGGCGTGGCCGCCGCTGCCACACCAGCGCGCCGGCGCCTCCTCCAGGCTGAGCACGACGCCGGTGCCGTCCTCGCCCAGCGCATAGCGCCAGTTCCAGGAGGGCGCGGCGATGGGCTCCAGCACGGCACTCCAGCCGCGCGGCGAGGCGTCGGGGCGCAGGGTCAGGCGGTGGCCGTCGGGCACGTGGAAGTCCAGGTCCCCCACCAGCGTGACTCCGGCCGCGTCCAGCTCGGCGTGCCCGTGCAGGTGCACGCGGCAGGCGGCGTGGCGCGCGACCGCGTGGCGCCAGTACACGTTGCTCGGGTCCGCGTAGTCCACGCCGGCGTTGCGCACGGCCAAGTCGCGCAGGCGCAGGCGGCCGCAGCGCGAGCTGAAGGTCAGGCGCGGGTGGCGGTCTGGGTTCTCCGCGCACGCCCCGCCGACCTCGGCCTCGCCGTCGCAGGGCTGGGGCAGGCGCGGGAGGCGATCGGGGAGGGGGCCGCGTGGAGTGGCGCGCCGCCGGGCTGCAGCGGGTCGAGGGGGGGGTCGCCGCCGCCGCGCCCGCGCCCGGCGTCTCCATGTGCCCCAGCACGTCGTCGGCCAGCACCAGCAGGCTGCCCTCCAGGTCCAGCCCCTGGACGTCGGCCTCCGCCACCTCCAGCTGCAGCTCGGCGCGTGGGGCCAGGCGCCCGCCACGCAGCTTCTGCGCGACCACGGACCACAGCGGGCCCAGCGCGGGGTGGTACAGGAAGATGAGGCCGGGGCCGGAGGCCAGGTACTCCGGCACGGTTCCTACCTGCAGTGTGTTTGGTCGGGGGGGGCGTATGGGCGTTGGGTGTGGGTTGTGCAGCGCGGGATGCCACTGGCCGTCACACCGCTCCGAGGACCCCAGGCCACTGTGACGTCGTCGCAGTGGCCTCATGGGCCCGATGCTGCACTCCCACCTCCGTGTACCTCCCCCTCTTCCCACCACCCACGCACACACAGACACGGCCAGGGAACAAACATGACACAGTACCTGGGGCACGTCAAAGCCGCACCGGCCCAGCAGCTCGGCGGCGTTGAGCTGGAGGTCGTAGAACGAGCCCACCGGCGTCTGGTGGATGGCCGTGGACCCGGGCGCCGCCGCGCGCTTGGCCGAGGAGGTGACCTTGCGCCGGACGTTGGTCACCAGGAAGGTGGGCAGCCCGTCGTCGGCTTCCGGGTCGTCGGCCGCGTGGTCGTCGGCCGCGTGGTGGTCGGCCGCGTGGTCGGGGCCCGCGCCACCGCCGCAGGCCGCCCCCAGCGGCGCGGCGAAGCAGTCGGCCAGGTTCTGCATGGTGCACTCCAGGCGCCCCGCGGCCAGCGTGGTGGTGGCCCCCCCCGCCGCCGCATCGCGCACCGTCACGCGCTTCCCCGTGTTGAGCAGGAGGCCCGGGAGCAGGGCGGCGGCGTCGCCGTCGGCCGCGCCGGCGCGCACCGCGCCCTCCACCGCGCGCAGGTCGGCGTACAGGATGTTGGCGTTGGCGGGGTAGGCGCTGTGCCCGCTGCCCGACCCGCAGGCCTGCTCCACCAGGCCCCGTGCCCCGAACTCGGTGTACTCCACGTTGGTCACCGCGTAGCGCGGCGGGGGGGCGGCGTCGCTGCCATCCCCACCCTCGTCCGCGAACCTGGCCAGGACGTTCACGCCCTCCGCCGCGCCCACCACGCGCTCACAGGAGGCGAAGCCGAACGCCTTGCCCCGCGCCAGGCCCCGCCCCGCCAGCGCCAGCGCCGTGTCGTCTGTCCCCGCCAGGGGGTTGCTGATCTGGCGCAGCACCGCGGCGGCACGCCCCCGCCCGCGCAGCCAGTCGTACACGCCCTCGTCCAGCATGAGCTTCCAGATGACGCCGTGCCCGCCCGGCTTCATCAGCGGGGCCAGGGGCGCGGGCAGCAGCCAGCGCGCGTCGGCCGCGCTCAGCACGGGCACCAGGGGCTGGGAGAAGAGGCGGAAGGCGTCGCGCCCGCGGCCCCACCACCCACGCGCCTCGCACAGCGCCTCCACGCGCCACGCGTTGCCCTTGGCCGCGCTGGTCATGATGGCCACGGGCGTGGTGGGGCGCGGCGCGCCACCGTGCAGGCGCCAGTGCAGATGCTCGCGCGCCAGCGTGTCGCGCACCAACGACTCCAGCAGGCTGCGCCCCGCGTACTGCAGCACCGCGGCGGGCAGGCCCTCCCCCGTCTCCTCGCAGGCCAGGCCCAGCCGGTCGCCGCAGCCGCCCAGCGGCCAGACTTCGGCCAGCGAGGGGACGCCCGCCACGCCGGCGGCCACCGCCGCCGCCGCCGCGCGCCGGTCCGCGGCGCGGGAGCCGTTCAGGCGCAGCCCGCGCGGGACGTGCAGCGTCGTGCGCGTCGTGCCCTCGGCCGCCGCGCCGCCCGCGCGCGCCTCGGCCGTCAGCAGGCGCAGGCACTGCAGCTGGTAGCCGGCCAGGCCGCCGATGGCGTCGTAGGCCCGCTCCACGCCGGCCAGGGAGGCCAGCAGCTTGGCAAACGCATCGTTCAGGGCCAGACCTGCAGGGAGGAGGGTTGGGAGGGGTGGTCGGCTCAATGGACGTCAAGGCCGCAGCGATGCCGGCACAGCGGAGCACGGTCGATTGTGGCGAGTGAAGAGCATGTTATGAGCAATACATCCTCATAGCCCCCAGGTCTGACGCCTCGTGCACAGCCACGGCCGCTGCCTCCTCCACCACATGCAGCTCGAGACCCCCAGATTGCTCTTCCCCTTACCCGTGGGGATGGTGGTCAGGACGTGACGCTGGCCCAGGGGGACTAGGACGAGCAGCAGGTAAGCATCCCTAACCCCCAGCAGGGCCAGGTGGCGCTCGACTGTCGCGCCCTCCCTGCTCACCAGGAGGGGGCCAGCGTGTGCACTCAGTGATCAGCTGACTGGGCACACGGCCATCAGAGCATACGGAAAGAGGGGCAAGGAGCGATGCGTGCAGATGATGCGTGCCTTCCCGCGAGGCCCGGCACCTCACCCTCCCACAAACTCGCCTCGTGTTTCGAAGAAAGTCCTGGGTCTCATCCGATCCCATGACGATCTCCAACTGCAAGTGAGAGGGATCAGGAGGTCATGGCGGAGTGTTAAGGACAGGGCAGCTCAGAAATCGCGCCGCCATGTCGCGCAGCCAGCACGGCCGACAGATCAAAAGATCTAGGGTAGCAATGCAGCAGCATGCAGTGCAAGGACGTCTGCCATTCCCGTAAGGTGAGGGTCGCATGCACCCTCTTCCCCAACGAGGATGGGTATCGCCAAAGCTGGTGGGCTTCCCCAACACCCCGCCGAGGCTCCTGCTACCCCTCACCTTCTCTCCGTACGTGGGGGCCGCGTGCAGCCTGCCCACCAGGCCCTCCACCCTCTGGCGCTGGTCCTCCAGAGTGGAGTGGTGCACCACTGAGGCTTGTGGGGCGCATGCGGGAAGTGCTTCTGCCTTCCCAGTGCGCCTGCTGGGCCCGACGCTGCCGCGTCCGGGCTCCACATCCCGCGCTGCTGACGACCGGGTCACGAGCCTCGGCCGAGCGCGGTGGCCCCGCTCGGCAGGCAACGCCGTGCGTGCATGGAAAAGCGACAGGGAGGTTCCGGCGAGGGTCAGCGTCGCCATGGAGCAGTGCAGATCACATCCACGACGGTGGGGATATGACGGACAGGTTGCTTTCGGGAGGGTAAGGGCAGAGCACAGAAGGTATACTTCAGTGGCTCAGATAGTGATGAATGTGTAATCACAACAAGAGTGAGCCAATTTTCCATGCGCTATGGTATGAAGCAGTGAGAGATTCCACCCTGGCTGGATGCTCATGCGAGGTGCCTCGGTAAGATCCGCACCATCCCCGCGAGGTGCCAAGTTGCATCAATTTGAAAACGGGTTGTCGACGGGGCAAGAGTCCTGTACCCATTCGGCAGCACCGGTCCCCCCATATGTCCGGATATGAAGTGCCTTCAAAGTTATATACCATTTAATCCTCCCTCTTCGACATTGTAGGGAGGGTCTCCGCTCGCTTGGTGTCGCAAGGATTCCGTCTACAAGTGAATATACCAGCCCAACGCCGGTGGTCAGCACCAAAATTTGCCCGCGAACACGATGGTCATGCTGACTTGTTACCGCGCGGAGATGACTGTATCTTTCCGGAATGTTTACCAGCAAACATTTTGTTGCACCAGCGAGGCTGGGCGCGCCCAGCTCGGCTCGCCACACGCCAGCGAAGCAACAACGGGGTTTCACAGCGTCGAAAATACCATTACGATTTCGTTGTACACATGTCTAGTAGCGGGGCTCGAGTATCGATTGGTACCGTCAAATGGAGTAGAGACTCCTGCATTCGTGAACAACGCTGTTGCATGCGTTCGTGCACATGACCCCCGGGTGACATTGCGGCCCTCGATTGCTACCCCTGACCGCCCGCACGTTCAGCGCGATGTCACTGCCTTTGGATCCCGACATCAGAGCCCTTGCCTCAGTCATGCAATACCTTGCCGACCATGGGTGGAGCAAGGGTAGGCCGAATGGAGGTTGGGGAAAGGGAAGGGCGAACCGAATCCCCGCTAGGGTAGCTACACAAGAGAATGTGATTTTCGTCGGAAATACAAGCTTGATCCCGATGGATGCGGATGCTGGGGCGTGAGCCAGCGCGATCCTGGATCCCCCCCAATGCAGCCCTGGCCGCCCTGGAGTCAGAGACTGGGACCAGCTATGATGCGGGCCGGCTCCCCCTGGGCTCCCACCTGCTCGACCTGGTCTGCCACGAGGTCATTGCCGAGTCGGAGGACAGGACAGGGGACGCCGATTGGGCCGCCCGGCGCGCCGCCACGCGGGCTCTGGACGCGCTGCCGCTGGGCCCCGCCCTCTTCGAGCCCACCCAAGTGGTCCAGGGTGCTCACGCCGGCTGCGTCGCGTGCCTGGCCATGGTCTGCATCCCAGGCAAGGGAGCCGCGGTGCTATCGGGCGGCGCGGACGGATGCCTGGCGGCGACGGAGGTGGCCACGGGGGCCGTGCTGGCCTCCTCCTCGGTTGCCGGCAGTGGCGTGCTGAGCTTGGCTGTGCTGCCCGACCAGGAGTGAGCATGGGCCGTGCATTGCCTTGCTCGACACGTGCAAAGCAGGGTCACGGCTCGTGACCGACCCACCGACTCGTCCTTCCAGCTCATTGCCCCATCTCTTTTCCTCCAGGGCGGGTCCCCTGGTCGCCGCCGGCTGCATGGACGGCGCCGTCGTGCTGGTGCGCGCTGAGCTGGCAGCCTCGCCCCCCTCGCTGCCCATACTGGCCACCTGCGCCGGGGCGCACAGGAAGTACGTGACCGCGCTGGCCTGGGCGCCGCAGCCCGCCGGCGCCGCGCCGCTGCTGCTCAGCGGCAGCTGGGACGAGAGCGCCGCGCTGCACGCCACGGACCCCGAGGCGCACACGCTGAGCACGCTGTGCCGCCTGCCCTGCGACGGCCACGTGGAGGGCCTGGTTTTCTGGCCCAGGATCTCGGGCGGCGCGGCGGGGCGCGGGGCCGGCGTCGGCACGCCAGGGCGGGGTCCAGGTGACGGCGCGACGGTGCAAGGCGACGTCGACGACCCCCCAGCGCCTCGCTTCCTTGCCGCGGTGCGGGGCAGCACCGTGCTGCTGGAGCTGGTGGTGGAGCGCTCCGGGCCCGGCGCCGACTCAATGCTGCGGATCGCAAACCGGCACGGGCTGAATGAGGACCCCGACGACCCCCACCTGTCCTTCTCCGCACGCGGCCTGGCCTGGTCGCCCTGCGGTGGCTTCCTGGCGGTCGCCACGGACGCGGGGCGGGTGCTGCTGATGGGTCCCGGGGACGCAGCCGGCGCGCTGCGCCCGCTGCGCCGCCTGTTCGGCCTGCCCCTGGACCGCTTCCAGAACTGGGGCGTGGGCTGGGCGGGGGCGGGGGTGGTGTGCGCCGCCGGCGCGGGGGGTGCGGTGCATGCCTTCCACGCGGCCACTGGAAAGTGCGTCGGAGTGCTGCGGGCGCACACGCCCGCAGCCGTGCGGGCGCTGGTGGGGATGGAGGACGGGCAGCTGGCTACCAGCAGCTTTGACGGCAGCATACGCCTGTTTGCCTGACCCGCACGCTGTGAGGCTATGCGAGTCGATTTGCTTCTACCACCCTCCTCTGATTTTATACATGCAATTACTTGTGAGTTTCAAGCAAGCCCATCCATGCCGGAGTCGTAGCGTCGACCCTTGACAACGCCTCAGACGCTGGCTTGCCTGACAGCCACCCATCCCTCTGACGAACACTGTGCCCTTCGCAGCGTTTACAGCCACGCGGCAGTCACGTCCTGAGGTCGAACCCCGGCGGCGCCGGCCGTGACAGCTGGGGCTGGGCGGCCATGACGGCCGGGTCTGGGAACGGCAGGTGCCCCATGCCCTGCTGCAGGGGCTGCTGCGGGCGCGCCAGGCCTGCCGGCACCCCGGCTCGCAGCTGCTGCAGCAGCGCCAGGCCGGGGGCGACGTGGGGCGGGGCGGGGGGTGAGAAGCCCGGCGGGGCACGCATGGCGCGGGCTGGCTCCTCTGCCACCATGGGAGGCCCGCCAACCTCGCCCTGAGCAAACGCGAAGCGGGATTGCTGGCGGCGGCCCGAGCCCAGGCCTGTGGTCGAGAGGGCAAGGGGCGGCCGATCCTGTGCGACCGTGCGGGAAGTGAAGGGGGTCGTGATGCGGCGCATCATGGAGTCATTCATCTACAGGGTTGCCCAGCCCCCGCGATTGGATGAGCATCACTTCCTCCCCCCCCCAATTGAGAAATTGCCTCTCCACACAGCGAACACGCACCTCATTCCGGAATCCGTTGGCCAGCAGACTCGTGGGGCCCTGCAGCTCGAATGCCGCGCCCTCAGCCCCAAGCCGTGGGAAGGGGGCCGCCAGGCCCTCGCTGAGCGTGCTGGAGGACACTGAGCGGGAGGGCGCCCGCACCGCGTCCCAGGATTCGAAGCCCGGGGGGGCGACCAGCCGCCGCGCCGGCGCCGAGGACCCTGGCACACCGGGCCCCGCGGGAGCCTCAGCCGCCGGCGCGGCCTCAGACGACCGCGCGGCGGCGAGCTCGGCAGGCTGCGCCTCCCCTTCGCCCGACTGCACGGCAGTGGGCTGTCGGGGCGCGCACGCGCGCCCCGACAGGGGCACCACGGCGATGTCCAGGCGCGGACTGATCAGCGCCGGCTTGACCTTGGCGGGGGAGGGCAGGGGGACCAGCTGCGGCTTCTTCACGGCTGCCGCTCGCTTGGCGGCCTTGGCCTCCGCAGGCGCGGCGACGGTGGCGGCCCACTGCGAAGTCCCTGCCGAGGGCGGCGCGGGGAGGGCACCCGGCAGCGGGGCGTCCGGCTGCCCGTTGCTGCACCCCGCCGGCGATATTGTCGTGCCAGGCACCTCTGCGCCTCCCTTCCCTCGATCCACGCCGCCCAGCTCCGGCCATTCCTGGTGCTTCTGCGCATGCGGCGCCGCTGCCACCGCCGCCGATCGCCGGCTCGCTGGAGGCGGCGGCGGCTCGGCGACGGCCGAGGCGGGCTCGCACCGACCCGGCAGCGGCGCGCTGCCCCCCACCGCGTCCCGGGTGGCTGCGGCCGTCGCGCCGCCCACGGTTTCCCTCGCCCCCGCGCATTGAGGCGCAGCGCCCTCCGCAGCGCGGCCCGCGGCGCGCGGCACCGGCAGCACGGCGATGCTGCGCTCGCCGCTGCTGCCCACCGGGTGGATGGTCAGGCGCGGGCAGAAGGTGTTGTGCGCGCCCAGGGCCATGAAGCGGGAGGGCAGCTGCCCGGCTGCCACCTCCTCCTTGGTCAGGCAGTCGGCGTCGTCAGCTGCGCGAGGAAGAAAGGGCAGGGGCTTGGGCCGGGGGGCACCGGGAGGTAGCGGGTGCACTGCACGTCCAGGAGCCCGGCGTGTGGGTGCCATTGGTGACGCACGCCAGACATGCGGTGGGGAGTCGAACGCTGGCCTGCTGGGCGTTCCGCGCCCCTGTGAACATGGTGTGCTGCAGCCCTCACGCCTCCCGAGCCCCCATCACTCTTGACGCTGGCACGACAATCTCCGACACGCATCCTCGCCGCCGCACACCCAGCCTCGTCCAGGTACCCCACATGAGCTCACCCACGGCATGGAGGTAGAGGCAGTCTGGGTTGTTGCAGCCCAGGCCCTTCAGGAACGCGTTGCAGTACTTGGTGGTGCCGAAGCAGGCCTTGATGGGCTTGCCGCGCAGGCTGCCGCCGTCCAGCGCCTTGATGCAGCGCAGCGCGTCGGCTGCGTGGCGGAAGGTGACGTAGGCGCTGCCCGTGGCGCCCTGGCGCGGCGGCGTCGACCCCGCGCCGTGCGGCTGCGCGCGGTTGACCGACACCTTGACGATGCGGCCGAACTGGCCGAAGAACTCCTGCTCCCGCAGCACGTCCTCATGGCAGGTGTCCATGGGCAGGCCCACCGCGTACACCAGGTTGGGCTGTACCACCCGGATGTTGGCCAGGCCGGCGCGGGAGCGTAGCGCAGCGCGCGGCTTCTCCCTGCCCTTGATGCGCCGTTTCTCCTCTGCCAGCCTGCGCATGATGTTGGGGGAGGAGGGATGCTTGTGGGGGAAGAGGGTGACTGCGGGTGTAGCACATCCTGTACGTCAAGCGCAGGGTGCCGTGGGGAGAGGCTTGAGATGTGCACAGGGTGGTGAGGGGAAGGCGACGGCGCGAGCAGCACGGACGATGGTGTCGAGATGCATGATGCATGGTGCCCAAAAGCGCCAGTCCCTCCCTCCCCAGTCCAACACACCCCCAGCTCACTGCTCAGCGTCGATGTGCTGCATCTGGATCTTGCCCTGGTCATACAGCATCCGGCAGTTGGGACAGCGGGCCGGCAAACTCGCCTTCCCCCGCCTCCTCCAGGATGTGGTGATAACACCACAGGCACATTTGGTCTGCGGATGGGTACCGACGGGGGGTGGGCAGGATACCAGCGCCAGTGGAGAACTGCGTGGGTCTGCTTTCTGCCGTGTGGGGCCTAGTGAGACCCACTCCGTCAAGAGTGCAAACATTTGGCCCACACAGGCCGGTGCATGCTGCAACCTGTTCTCCCACCCCATGATACAAGCCCCCCTCCGCCTGCAGCTCACATCCGCAATCGCAATATCGTATGCTACGATCTGTGAGGTCCAGCTCTGCACAGCACAGGGGGCACTCTGCAGTCTCGCCATTCTCGCTATGGGACATGTCTCTGGAAGGGGAGGGGTGGCAGCGCCGAGACAGGTAAAGGACGACTCAGGATGACGATGTGGCCCGAATCGAGGAGGGCATGCGCTTTAAGGACCGCTCCGGAACAATGCAGGCATGTGCAAACGAAAATCTCGTGCCATGGGACGTCGCTGGGCTCGGGGTACGCTGCCGGAACGCCTGCTTTACCCCCGCCACGCCCACGCACCAGGCGATACAGGGTCTCTATCAGCGCATATACCCATAAATATAAAGTTTATAAGTTAGGAAGAGGTCTGGGACTCACCTGGACGGTGTGGTGATTGCTGTAGGGGAAGAACCTCAGTTTATGGCATTGGGACAGCGCGCCTCATCGTCCAGCATGGGGGTGTGGCGAGGCTAGGATAGAGGGGCCGGATTTAAGAGCGCCGAGCAGCGCCATGCCCACTCAGGTGAACCGTGGAGCTGTGCGCATACCACCGAGGCTACAACTTTAGCGACTATGCAAGCACTACAGGCCCATGCGACGCTGATCCCTGCTGCGTCCCTGGGACCCCGTCTGCCCCTGCGAGCGACAGCGGTCAGGGGGTGCGTGCAGCACGCCGGAGCCTCGCTCTTCGTCATTCCACGGCGTTCGTGTCATTCACATCCTCCCTCCCTTCGCCTCACTCGCAGCATTCATGGACGCTCTGCGGCATCAGTCCGCCCAGCAAGGCAGATTACCACCGTTCCATGCCAGCTGCGACGGGTGAGGGCACAGGCCATTCCCTCGGAGATCGCCCAGCTGGCGGGCGAAGGAGGTTTCATCGCGGGTGTAGCTTCCGTCATGTTCGGCATTACCCTTCTGGTGAGCAGCTTTTGACCCCTAAGCCAGATCTTTGAGGTGCCCCTCTGTCACGCTCACAATCCTTCGGGTTGCACTGCATTCGGTCCTGCTTGAATCAGAATAGCATTGAAATTGCGACTCTGACATCAGTCAACCCAATACGACTGGCAGGGTCTGGCCGTAGGCTTTGTCATCCTGAGGTTCGAGGCTCTGACCGAGGAGGGCAAGATCTAAGGTGGCAGCTCTCTTTCTCTGCTGCCTCTGAGAAGACGAAGACACACACCGCATCCCTAGCGTATCTGACATGTGCAGTTCGAGCCCTGCCATGCCCGTGCGTGATTAGGTACTGTCACCCTGTGCACTCACTGAATGTAGAATGGAGCAGTGGGGTTTCATTGGCAGGGACTCAGTTGCAAGCTCTCAAGGGTTGGGATAATACATCAGTGGAGTGAACCCATTGACAGCCTCACCAACCATCTGCACTGTCTGTGTGCTGGGCTGGTGTCGCCAATCGTTATTGGTCGTGCTGTGCCTGCTGTTGCGAACTCAACTCAGGGACCGACAGGCCATAATTGTAGAGACGACAGGCATCGACTGGCAGAGTCCAGGCGCACCCTAACCCATGTAACGTTGGGTGCCATACATGCATGCACTGAGCTTTGCGTGTCGCGCCCTTTGCGTCATAGGAGTACGCCCTCCTTCCCGGCGTGCGGTTGTCGGACCAGGGAGGGCATTCCTTGGAGCGCGCCTGGCACCCTCGGGGCGTAGCGGCGGAGTCAGGCCTCTGAAGATACCCCTTGCCGCATCGTTGCAAAGTCGTCAGGAGGTCATCACCCGGGAGATGAGCCTGCTCCCCAAGGAGGCCTGTTTGATCCGACTCTTCAATGCAGCTGGATGCCACCAGTGGGACCGCCTCGCTCCCTTGGCACGGGAGTTCTATGATCTGGGTGGGAGCCTGGAGGAGCTCGTCGCGACGACCCGTTTCCTCGTCACGTGAGTGGGACTTGGACATTTGGGGGGCGACCCCGGGTGCTCTCAGCGCGCCCATCCAGAACTGCTGCGACGCTCATGGGTTTAAATTCAGTGGCGAGGCCCCATTGTAAAACTACCCCCCTCCACAGATTGATTGGGTACGGTCCAGCCCTGAAGGCCACCCTAACCCTGCACAAGGCCGGGGTGCGTGTCTGTGAGGGATTGAAGGTGAAGGATGCGGCCCAAAGCGTGATCATGGCGGTGCCGCGAGGCATTGAGACACGCTGCTCGCATCCACCATCCATGCCCGTGCTGGGATGAGCAGTACCGCATCCAACCCTGGACTGCAGTTTATGCCAAAGCACGTCCCCGGCAAGGTGGGCGGCCCCCCGGGGAATGCATTTGAGTTGGTCTACACCTCGGTCACGGACACCGTGCGAGCCAAGCTGCACGATGCCGACCCTGTGCTTGCAGAGTGGATCCGGTGAGGGCACAAAGGTGCTGGAGTTTGGGGATTTTGGGTGAGGGAGGCTTGGAAAGAACCCTTCTGGATTACAGGGGCAGGCTCTGTGTGGGTCGACTCCACGACAAGGCACGCAAGGAGAGTGCAGGGCCGGCTCCCCGCCCACTGTCCAGCTGGTCCCGTCACCCTTTCAATGTACCCTGCAGGACGCACCTATATGGAGACATATACAGCAGCCCCGGCATTCCCCTGCGCCTCAAGCAGCTCCTCATCTGCTCCAACCTGGCCATGGCTGACATGCCGGACCAGCTCTTTGGGCATGCCATCGCGGTGAGTCTCCAAGGGCTTGGCTGTTGGGAAATAGGTCTCAGGCCCCATGTCCACCCATGGACCCATGGAATCTTCTGCAGACATGCACATCGGCATTTCCAGCCAGCTCGCCTGGCGTCGAGTGGCGCGCCCCCAGCGTCGGCTTGCGAGGCCGTCACCGCCCCGCTCAATGGCAATGAAACGTTGTGAGCCTTGCCCCCCTTTCCACCCGCCTGCAGGGCCTGCGCTTCGGGGCCACGCTGCAGCAGCTGGAGGAGGCGGTGCACCTGGCGGTGGCCGTCCCGGAACACAGCATCAAGCCTGCCATCGTGGACGAGGCCCTCAAGATCCTCACGCTGGTGGGTAGGCCCGGCGCATGATGGGCGAGGCTGGCGAACAAGCGCATGCCTCGCGCCCTCTGGACGTGGGCCCCTTCTCGTCAGTGGCCGGCGGCGCGGGATTCTCTGTGCCCTGCCGACACAACAAACTCTCTCGTCTCACCCCGTCGCCATCACCCTGGACGACCATGACAGGCACAGCGCAAGTACAGACGGGACTTTGCTGGCAGCCCAGCCAGCCAGCAGGTGGCAGTGGCGTTTGGTAGCGTCCGCATCCCGCCCCTGGCCCCTCTCACCAACGGCCCCCCCTCGATGAGTGCCATGTCGGGCACCGTTGCCGAGCCCACGCCCAAGCCGACCCAGGTCAGGCACGTCCAGATGGTGACGGAGAAGACGATCGCAGCAGCTCCCAAGGTGCCCAAGCCTGCCGCTGGGAGCGTGTCCCAGGAAGGCTTTGCCTGGGACGTCCTGGAGTCGGAGCGACCACCCATGTAGACCTGCCGCTCGGCGTGAACACCTATGCTACAACATTATTGCGATTCATCTAGGCCATGCACCACCACCAGAGGAATGACTCATGCAGGGGGAAAGGGACTGGGGTCTGGGTTCGAATGCTAGTTGATGAAACAGGTGATGCTGGGGCCCGGGGCTGCCCCAGGGGCCAAAGGCGTGCTCGCATGTTCCTACAGCTTGGCGCTGGGCTCTGCCGCGGCATCCAGGATGGGCTGCAGCTTCATGGCGAGGCCCATGGACCCAGAGATCTTCAGCTTGCGCATGAAGAAGGCCTGCTGGGCGCCCAGCTTGCCGTTCACCCTGCGTGGGTTGTGCTCGAGAATCATGTCATGTTGCTGGGATAATCACACGAATCTGGAGGGCAAGGTGAGTGTGCCACTGTGCTGGCTCCGATCGGATGGCCCTCTGGAGATCCCCGTAAACATGAAGGCAACAAGACGCACTGGAATTTCCCTCATCTTTCTCCCTGTCTCTTCCCCGCCTCACAATTGCACAAAGTTGGCTCCGTTGATGGTCAGTGTCAGGTCCGCCTTCTCAGCGGGGCTGCCCTTGGACAGGGAGCCCTGCCCAGGCCGCAGGTCCAGAGTCCACTCCTCCTTGTCAATGACGAACACGACAACAGACTGCGCGGCGCGCGTAATTCGGAGGTGATGGGGGCCAAGCACAAGGGTAGAAGGATTCTTTGAACTCCCAGGTTTAGCAACAGGGCGACTCCCTGGCAGATCGTGGCTCCTCCTTCGGCAGCATGCCTACCTTGATAGAAGCACACAGGCTCTTCCTCAGTTCCTCCTCTGATTCTAGGCGCTTGCCAAGCCCCTCCAGCAGTTCCGAGGCTTTCTGGGGAGCCATGCTGGCGTTGGGTGGCAGGGTCTGAGCCACCGATGATGCAGTTGGTAATTTTATGCAGATATTTACGAGCCGTTATTGCTGGATCACGAGTTCTGCACAGATTTCGCCACGTCGATATTCCACCGTTCATAATGTGTTCGAGACGGAGACCGGAGGGGCGACCTCCCACTTCCATGTAACATTAATGAGCGCATGTGCAGTTGGAAACGGCTTCAGGGCGAGACATCATCTTCGGGTCTACATACATTCTGCTACCATATAATATGACGGTGATAAAGTAGCATCACACCTGAGATGGAGGCTTCAGGCCCAACCGTGGACGACAGCCACGAGACTCTCGACTTGGAGCGCATTGCAAAGGACTCTGACCCTGACCCTGCGCGCCAGCGTCAAGATGAGGCCACGCCGAGCTGTGTGGACGCGATTCGTTTCAAATCCATGTGCGCTGGGTCGCCTGGTGTGCGTGTGCGAGTGCTTGTGCTCCTCTCCCCACTATCTGGCCGCTTACCATCCAATGTACGACCCAAGCGCAGGCTCCCAACCGGCCCGGCTGCCGGCAGACCAGATGATAGCCCTGACAGTGCGAAGAGCGGCGACTTCAGGATAGAAGCCGTGCGCATGGTAGGACACTGTGGTCTGGGAGAGCCATCTGTGTTTGTGTTTGGGCAATCCCCGTGTGGGTGTAGCCCCATTGACAAGATGCGGCTTAAGAGCTTCCAGTCCCTCTCCCTCTTGGTCCTTCCACACAGACATCCCTCCCTCCCTGTGATGGTGAGAGGGCAGTCGCACAGGGCTCTAGGGCCCTCGGCCATGGTGTGGCCGCAAAGGGTGACCTGGACACCACAGGGGCACCTCCTCCTAGCCAGAAGCCGAAACTGGCGATTGAGTTCAGCAGCGTCACGACAAGCACGGCGCCGCCTGTGCAGGAGCAGAACAATGCTTCAGCCGCCAATGATTGGGATGCTGGCATACCTGCACCCCTCGGGCAAGCCCCCCACTTCACTGAGCAACCTAGCCCAGGCCCTCGACCAGGCAGCTCAGGCGTGCCCGAAGGGGTTGTGCCCGGGCAGCATCCTCCTGTCGATCATGCCGGCAAGACAGCGGAGTGCCCCAGTTCAGGCTCAGCGGAGGGTCTCCGACCACCGAGCGAGGCGCCCGGCGCGAGCCATGACTCCGCGCCCCTCGCTGCGCCAGTGGATGCGGCCAGTCAAGCCTCCGCCCACCCGGTCGCGGCAACAGCCCCTGGTCCGGCCCCCAAACCGGCACCCCGGCCTGCCAGGAGGAGCCAGCACGAACGCCTGCTGGCGGAGGCGCGGCGCCTGCTGGGAGCCCCCGGCCTGGACGGGTACCCTGGCGACCTGGACTCCATCACGTTGCCACGGCACGCCGCCGACGGCGCCGTGGACACCGAGGGGGGCCGGCTAGAGGTGCGTGGCCGGCAGGATGCGCTCGAGGAGTGGCGATGTGATTTGCGCCGTTTTCCTCCTCCTTTCCTACTGCCAGGTGCTCCTGCCTGGAGATGCAGCTCAGGCTCTCGCACACCCTCCTCCCTCTCACGCCATCCTTCACCCTCCACACATCCCCCGGCAGGTGTCCAGGAACGGCAGGGTGCGCGCACGGCCCCTGTCGTGGTGGGCGGGGGAGCGGCTGATGTATGCCAGCAAGGCGGTGGGCGTGCAGGGCGTGCACGCCGGCTCCCCCTGCGGCGACCTGGTGGGCAGCTTCACAAGCGCGCCGGGCGGCAGGGCCAGGGCCGGCACGTCCCCGGCGAGGAAGTCCGGCGGCAGGGGCGCCGCGCGCGGCGGCGGGCGTGGGGCCGGGCGGGGGGGGAGGCCGCGCACGGCGGCCCTGGATGTGGAGTCGCCGGCCTCGCCGGAGGAGGGGCCCGTGCGGCGAGCGGCGGGCGCGGTGGCCGGCGGGGCGTCGCCGGGCTCGCCGCCGGGGGCGGCTGTGCAGCGAGCGGCGCTGGCGACAGATGCAGGTGACGGCGCTCGGATGATGCAGGCCCTCGAGCGGTGGCCCGCGCAGGAGGCTGCGCAGGAGGCCGTGTGCCAGGCGCAGACCTCTCCACGAGCAGTCGCCGCCAAGCGGCGGCCGGGCCGGCCCAAGGGCTCGAAGAACAAGCCCAAGCCGGATGCAAAGGGTGGGCGCAGCGCCGCAGCTTCCACACCACGAGGCGCCCAGGGGCATGGAACAGGCGAGGCGCCGGGGCTGGCGGCGCTGGCGGCCGCCTCCGGCGCCATGGCCGCCGCGGGAGGGCGCGGGGGGCTGCAGGAGCGCGCCGTGCCGGCGGCGCCCTCGACCCTCCCCGCGGCACCCGGGGGCCTGGCACGGCCGCCCTCCCAGATCGGGACGGTGCAGCTGGACCGGCCCGAGCGCTGCGGGACGTGCATAGCGTGCACGGGCGGGGAGGAAAGCGGGGAGTGCGTCACCCTGCAGGCCCTGCGCATCATGCTGGGCGGCGGGCAGCAGCGGGAGGCGGCTGCCCCGGCCGCGGTGCCCGCGGCCAAGGGGCGGAAGCGGCCCGCAAAAGCCACGCGTGGCGCTGGTCCTAAGCCGGCGGAGCGGAGCAAGAGGGCCAGGGCCGCCCGTCCCGAGTCCAGTCGCTCCGGCAGCGAGGAGGCGGCGGGGGGCGACGGGTGCTCGAGACCAGGGGCCCCGCCTGCGTCAACCTCGTGCTCGCCGCAGGCCCCGGGGAATGAGGGCCCCCCCCCCGCCGACGAGGCCTGGACGCGGGAGCAGGTGCAGGCCCTGCAGGCCGCATGCCTGCAGGTGGACCCCGCCACCACAAACTTCTGGAGCGTCGTGGCGGCAAAGGTGGGCGGAGCTGTGGGGGCCGGGCTGGCGAAGGCTGGGGGGCGGGGTGGGCCTGGCCAGGGAACCAGAGGCCGCATGCCGGCTGGCTCGGCGACGTGGCGGCCAGGCGCCTCTGGGGTTCGAGCTCGGCTTGAGGGCACAGCAACTCGACAAGGAACCCACCCCCCCACGCTGCATGACCACACGCAGGTCGGGCGCTCGGCGGCGGAGTGCTCCCAGCGCTGGTACGACGCGTGCCCCACGCCGGGGACCAAGAGGAGGCCGCCGGCCCCCGCCCCACGACGGCCGCCGCGTCTGGGGCCCAGCGGGGCGCCCTCCAAGGCGGCCATGCGTCGCGTGGTGCGCCTGGCCCAGCGCGAGGCGCGGTGGGAGGGCGAGGCGGCGGAGGCCAGCCCCAGCACGCTGGAGCGAGTGGCGGAGCGCCGCGCGGACCAGGCGGCCAGGGACAAGCTGATTGACCAGATCTTCAGAAAGCGCGGCGGGCAGGCCTGGGGCGGCGTGCTGGCCCAGGGCCTGGCAGGGCCGCGGGCAAGGGAGGCTGGCGCAGCCCAGCTGGAGGCCGGCGATGCGCAGCGGGCGGTGAGGGGGTTGCTGGCCCAGGAGCCGGCGCCCGCCCTGTCCGACGACTCGGAGGAGGAGGTGGACTACTACTGGAGCGACGCCTGAGGCGATACTGTCCTTGGGTTGTGGCCGGGCTGACCGTGTCCCTCAAGGTGTCCATGCTGGGACACTCGCCCTCCCCAACCGCACGCGCAGCGTGCCCGTCACCGTTTCGGGCACGGGGGTTGTAGCCCGGATCCCCGCACTTGTTGCACTCTCTGCCCCATGCACACGCATGCATGCTACCCCTGCATTGAAATCCTCATGTTTAATGGTGCCAGCAGCTCTGGTCATGTAAGCTGATCACGTCGAGCCACCATTCGATGCTGCGGTCGGGGTCCGGCAGGAGCCGTGCGTGCCTGGCCCTTGCCCGGCAGTTTGCTTGCTGTGCAGGCAGTGGCGAGGCAGTGGGTGGCCTGCAGTTCCTCCCGCCCCGTCCAGGCACGGTCACCCCGTACGACCAGCACCTGCTCATCAGCCTGCCCGGTCTGCATGGGGGTAGGAATCCAGGCAGTGCCTGGCCCTCCCTCGTGGAGAGGTGAGCCCTGCCTGCCCTGCCTGGAGAGTTTGAGGAGTGCGACATCTTCATGAATCGATGATAGGGCTTATCTTGACATGCTGTTCAGCGGGGCAGGCACCTCTGGCTCTTCCCGACTCAGGCCAGACAGCTCACCCTCCGCTCAATCAGTGGCCTCATCAACGATTCGCACAGGCACCCGGCGGCCTTGCTGGTGTTCTCTGCCCTGGCTCGACACAAGGAACTCATCAGCTCCAAGGTGAAGGTCACCGCCATGGAGGGCGGCGCCCTGCCCGCCCCGGCCGCCGGCACCTGCCACCTCCTCGCCTTCCCGGCGGGCCTGCTCTACACCTCGCTGCCCCTGCCCAAGCTGGGCCAGGCGGCGGTGCACGCCGTGGCTGACGACGCCCGGGCGCTGCCTTCGCTGGACCGCGCCGTCCGCATGTGCCAGGTGAGGGAGAGCCCGGTGGAGGGGGAGGCCTGGGGGCGATTGCCTCTGTGGCGGGGTGAACCCTCCTGGAGAATGGGAGGTATACGGTCGGCCACGGTGGGTGCCAACCTGCGCCGCAGGTTGTGGATGCCTCAGACCATGGCATGTACTCACTTCTTGCACCGCTCATCCGGCCCACCCCCCTCCCATCTGGGGTGAGCATGTGCGCACGCCACACCGCCCACTCCCCGTCCGCTGCAGGCCAGCCCGGCCCCAAAGCTGCACCTCTTCGTGTGCTGCCACGGCGCGCGGGACGCACGCTGCGGGGCCCGGGGGCCCTCGCTGGTTGCCGCGCTGCGCCGCGCTGTGCACGCCGCGGGGCTGGAGGAGAGCGTCGCTGTGGCCGCCACCTCCCACATCGGGGGTCATGAGACCGCGGGCAACGTGGTGGCCTACGGCGCGGGCCACCCCTGCGACGGCGACTGGTTTGGAGGGCTGCACGCCGGAGGGGCCGTGGAGTTTCTTCAGGGACTGAGGGCCATGGAGGTGGGTGCGGCTGTTGGGGGAAATGCTGGGGCCACGCCGCTTGGCCTGACTTTACAAGGCTGCGTCGGCATGAGGCAGTCCCATGTGTGACGCTGCCCATCCATGGCCAGCTTGAATGCATGCCCCTCCATCACGTCATCACCGACGCTTCCCTTCAAAACCCCAACTCCAGGTGGGGTGTGATGGGGGCGCCGAGCACCCGTTGCTGAGGCCCTGGTGGCGAGGACGCCGGGGACTGACCCGGGAGGAGTGTGTCGCACTGTTTGATCGGGGGGGCGGGGTGGAGGAAGTCGGCGCCCTGGAGCTCGAGGGTGCCGAGGAAGAGGACGACTGGGGGGCGGGACAGGACTGGGATCAGGGAGACGGGGCGGGGACCTCGCCTGGGGCAGGCACGCAGGGCACATGACACGGGTGGCCGCGCTGAGTGCGACAGCCTTGTGGATGTACCACCTGACAAACCATGCTTCCTGCCCTGGACCCTTGACTGTACCTGAGACGATTGTACCATGTTCACACCTGCTGGGCAACCACTGGCCCTGATGCCAAGGGCAGGTTTCCATCCCGACGTGGAATGGGAGAGGGTGGATTTTGTGCCAGAGGCTCCCCATCACCAGGCTGCAACTCCTGATGAACAAGTTACAATGATGTGAATGGGTCTTGAGTGAATATCGGCACCAAGCTTGCTATCTGGGGTGCATGGGAGAGTGGCAGGCAAGGGTGACATGCTGCTTGCCTTGGCAACCATGACCTGCCGCAGCCAACAGGTACAATCCTGGCGACCCGGCCGCCAAGGGCATGATCCGAGGCCGGCTGTCAGATCTGGAGGTCGCTGGACAGGGGCCCCGCCTTCGAGGCCCTCTCCCCCAGCTGAGACTTTGCATGGCTGGGCCCAAACAGGATGAAGAGGTACTGGGCGGCGGTGGCAATGATGAAGCCTGCGAGATTGACCGACTCCCAGCTGGTCTGGAGCATGGGGCTGAAGCTGGCCATTCCCAGGAGGTTGGTGCTGACGACGGTGTTGATCACGCCCAGCGTAGCAGAGATGAGGAGGAAGGCGGGGGCGTTGCTGACCCAGCGGGAGCCCGTCATGGCCACCACCATCCAGATGGCCTGCATGATCTGGAAGACCCAGGCCCACCTGCTCCGGAAGGGGGGGGGGGGGGGGGTGATGAGTGGCATGGCGAGGGTTGGCCATGCAACTCCATCAATCAAGACCGATGAGCGCATGGCAGGAATCAGCCAAACCAACCACGCACCAGTTCAGGGAGTACAGTCTGGCGCAGGTGACGAAGCTGGAAGACTGCGACATGATCTTGAGGACCTGGCGGAATCCATGGGTTGTGGCATTGGTCACCGCTGCGGTAACGTTGGCGGAGAGTGCGGTCTGGTTGGATGGCGTGGCCGCGGCAGCCTCCCTGGCAACCATGTCATTGTAGCGCTGCAGGGCTTGCTCGTTGCTGCGATGGGAAGGGGCAGGGGGGTAGATCAGCATTGCGCACGCCGCAAGGGCTGGCCATCATGCGCAAGAGTCACCGCATCGCGAAGGTGCTCCATGCGCAGGCCGGGGAGCAGGCGAACAACATGGCCGCTCAACCTGACATCATTACACGCATCCCGACGCACAGATCTTTGCATCTGGCTTGCAGCCCAGCCTGTCCGAGCAGGATCAACACCAGACTCGTGAGGAGGAGGAAGCCTGCGAAAAGCAATCCTAGACGTGCCACAGCCATGATGAGACGGGGTAAGAAGTTCAACCGTCGAGTATCTGCCGTTTCGAGAGACCCATGCAGGGCTGGGGAGTGTTTCGTGGGGTGACTACGCTTGGCGCGCGACACAACTTCAAGCGGCTCCCTACCCTGGAAGCTAACCCAGCTGCGACGCGCATCTAGCTTGCAAATATATCACCTAACCCACATATCCAATTCATAGGATGTTGCCTAGAACGAGAGATACCCTGCATCTTGAGCAAGCACACAATCAGTGCGCCGGCCTCGAGACTCCTAGCTCTGAAAACTCGCCTCCCTCTCTCACAGATAGCTACTCATACTCAAAGCTCCCTGATAGGCATCCGAGTCAGTCAAAGGTTTACAAGATTACCCAGCATTCCACTGTATGTCTACTGCCCATATAAGAATAGTCGGCTGCGTGTGAGCGGCTGAGCCATGCCCCAATCTCGGTGTCGAGGACTACGAGTCGCCGTATTACTTTCCAAGAGGAGGGCATCATCAGTGGAAGGATGTCAACATGATGGAACCAGAATTCTACTCATCTGAATCTGTCTCGGAATCTGTAGGTCAGCTGATTTGTTCCTGCAGTTGGGTGATGGGTGTAGCGCTCATCTGCAGGGCGCGCGACGACCACCCTTCGTCTAATATGTAGAATGTGGAAGATGCAGACTCTACAATGACCATGGCTCAGCATACATTTCTAATTCGCTGAGAGCATATCCATGTGATGTAGTGCTCACCACTGTGACCCAAAGAGGATGATGGTCGGCGACGATGCCTTCTCCGCCGTGCGCGCTGCACTGGCGAATGTGTCAGACAGCAGTCCATGGGACATCCATCACATCGATATCACTTGCGATGGGTGCGAGGTAGAGCCCATCGTTGGCAACAGGTGAGGGTGGGATTCATGTTACGAGTTCGAGGTTTGCTCGTGGGCAGGAAACGAAAGAGACCCAGCTCGAGACCTGGGCTCGACGCATACACGCCACAGACAAATATGCCCCCCAACCACCACTATAGGTATAAATGCAGCGTGTGCGAGGACCGAGACCTGTGTCAACCCTGCTTTCGTGCCCTGGTGGCCGCTCGAGCTCGTTGCCTGGAGGAGACGGGGAACTGCCCACCCAGCACCTCCACACCGGGTCGCACAACAGCCAAGGTGGGCATCCTTTGGCTTGGACCATGCCGGTAAACGATTCAGTATGACTGGTGCAAGGTTCAATGTTGGCCCAGGGCACCTTTATTGTCCTCTCAATCCCCCGCACCTCTCCCTCCTGTCTCCCCTTCCCCCCTCAGCACTCGAGGCTCACCGACTGGGCGCGCTCCCTGCATGCCGCCTCCGGGCCTGCCGAGCGCTGGGCGGAGCTGGCAGCTGCAGTCCCTTGTCTGGACCCCTCGCACGTCCTGGCCGCGGTTACAGCGGGGGCAGAGCGTGCCGTGGTCCTCCGTCTTTCGCCCGGTGCCGGCGCTGACCACCCCGACCTCGCGCGCTTCCTGGACGCCTTCCCCCCCTCACGCGCGTCCTGCGCCGACGTGGCTTGGATCGGGCTGGAGGCAGCGGCGGACGCCCCGGCCCCGGCCACTCCGAGGCCCGGGCCCGGTGCCGGGCCGCAGCGGCCAGAGCGCCAAGTGGAGGCGGCCGTGTCTGCGTGGGAGTCCCTGGCCGCTCGGCGGCCGCCCACCCACGCGGACGCGGCCGTGCTGGCGGTGCGCTTCGACCTGCGCCGCGGCAAGTGGATGCTCTTCCCCAGCGCGGGGCGGGAGGCCGACGCCGCGTGGCGGGCGGTGGCGGCCGCGGCGGCCACCGGCCGGCTAGGCGACGAGGTGAAGATCAGCGGGGTGGCCCCCGCCCGCGCCGACCACGTGCTCTGCGTGTACACCCGCGACTACCTGGACGAGGGCGACGTGGGGCGTGTGCGCGATGCGCTGTGCGCGCTGGGCCTGCGCCTGCGCCGCCGGCGCGTGCTGTACAAGCCGGACATCCACACCCACCTCCAGCTGTACAGCCGGGGGCAGGGCAGCCTGAGGCCCAGTGTGTATGAGGCCGAGCTGCCAGCCGCCCGTACTGCAGCGTGGAGAAGGGAGGGGAGGGCCGCCCAGGCTGATGTCCCTCGATGACAGAGACCAAGGGGTGTGATCATGGTTCAGGCTGAAGTAACGGGTTTCGGATCTCGTTCAGTGACAGGTATGTGTGCATGCTGGTGCACAAGCAGCATCCAATAACCAAACTCGACAGTGACCCAACTTAATTTGCCCCAGGCCCGCGCTGCACCAAGCAATTCAGAAGGAGGTTAGAGCTGATCTCTCTGTGCAGCATTGGCTGTGCGACGTGTATAGGAATGATCTAGCATGCCCCGAGTGCAGCTGGCAGAGGATTCTAAGTCTTGTCGCTCCAAGGATTTGCCGACTCCCTGCGATCGGGCGCCCGGACGGAAACCCCACCCTGCCAACATCAATACCAGTACAGCACTTGGGCATTTACACCAATTCATGTGTATATCCTTCGAAGCTCAGAGCATTGTTGTGCCGCAGGGATTGCAGTCCAGTCGCGAAGCAGGCGTGATTGGCCCTCGGCGACCTCTGCAAGCCCGGCGTAGCCGGAATCCACTGACCACCCGGCAGGCATGCCGATCCGAGGATTTGCCAGCCCTGCAGTCCTGTGTCCGTGACAGACCCCAATCCTGATCAAGGTGGCAGCTCACCGCACCACCCGACATGCGCGATGCCGAGGGAGCCCAGCCGCTCAGCCCTAGGGTGCTGGGCGAGGATCGGGCGACCCGATCCTACATCCTGGCCCCCGAGACCAGCTGCCCCGACGTCCCCGCCTTGCTGGAGGTGTCCTCCGAGCCAGGCAGTCCCCTCGCACGTTGCAACAGCGAGCCGGAGCTGGCAGACCTGGGGCACCCCTTCCTGACGGCCGCCGCACTGCCAGGCTTGGCCCGCACGCACACGGAGGTGGGCTCCAGGATGGCCAGCCTGGCGACCGGCGAGGCGCGGCCCACCTCCCTGCCCCCGCCCCGCCCCACCTCTGCGCAGTCGCCCCGCCCCGCGCCCAGCCAACCCCCCGAGCCGCCGGAGGTCAGCCTGCCGACCGCTAACACCCGGACCCCCTCCGCCTCCACGGCGTTCTGGGCTTACGTGGGGTCGGAGCTGCGGCCCGCCAGCGCACAGGGCCTGCCGGACGACGTCTGGGGTCAGACGGAGCGGGACAGAGTGTACAATGCCATCCTGGCGGTGCCGTACCAGCTCGAGCGCTTCCAGATGGCGGGCGTGCTGGTGTGCCTGGACTCCTTCCTTTCCATCTTCACCCTGGTCCCCCTGCGCCTGGCCCTGGCCCTCGGCGCGGGGGTGCGGCGATCCGTCGGGAACCGGCGTGGCAGAGAGGCTGAGGCAACCGCGCGCAGGCACCGCGGGGCTGGGGTGGCGCCGCTTGGCGCTGGGTCACAGGGGCTCGGTGTCCGGCCATCCAAGTCCAAGCAGGCCCCGCACGGCGACAAGCCCCCCCAGGCCCCCCACCCGCCGCAGCCGCTCACCGGGCCCCAGCTCTACGACCTGCTGCTGCTGGGCATGTTTGGGTGCATGATGGCTTTCATCACCAGCCTGAACGTGGGCTCCATCTACTACTGGCTCAAGGACCTCACCCACGAGTTCCTCAAGCTCTCCGTCCTCTACACCGCCCTGGAACTCAGCGACAAGGTGCTCTGCGCGCTGGCCGGGGTGCCTGGTCTTTCTTCTGCTCACCCATCAGGCCCCTGGACACTATGTACCTGGCTTCCTCCACTTGATGCACATCAGATCACACTCCAGACCTCCCCCACCCCACCCCGAAACTCTCAAGATATGTTGCTCCTTTGGCGTGGATGTGTTGGAGGCCCTGGCCGCCAGCTGCACGCGCGCCGTGGCGGGCCCGGTGCGCGCGCCCGGCGCCGCCCCGGCGCTGGCCGCCGACGTGGTGGTGACCCTGGCGCTGCTGCTGACGCACTGCGGCGTGCTGCTGGGTCAGGCCATGGTCTTCTCCGTGGCGCTGAACAGCAAGAAGAACGCGCTGGTGGGCCTGCTCATCGCTGCCAACTTTGGCGAGATCAAGGGTGGGGTTTGAAGTCGCAGGGAGACAAGAGGGTGGACGGTGATACCACATGAAGGTTGCGCCGTCCGTCACCCTACCCAGTCGCTCGCCAGACCGCGAGCCGCCCAGGAAACCGTGTGCACCTCCGAACCCCTCGGTCCGCACCCACCGAGCAGGCACCGTGTTCAAGCGCTTCGACGCCGGCAAGCTGTACAACCTGACCTGCCAGGACGTGGTGGAGCGCTTCCACCTCATCCTCATCCTCGCCTTTGTGGTGGTGGAGGAGATGGGGAACAGCGGGCACGCCGCGCCCAATGCGGGGCTGCTGGCGCAGTGCGCCGAGATCTTCGCGGCCGAGGCCGCCATTGACGTGGTCAAGCACGCCGTGCTGGGCAAGTTTAACGAGATCAGGTGGGACGAGGAGGGGGGAGGGAGAGGTTGAATGGGGCAGTAGGGGTGGGGATGGGGCTGGTAAGTTGGGGCGGTTGCCAGTACTATGAAGGGACGTGGGCCCCAACAAGCATGCTTCTGCGTCTCTGAACATTTGCATGGCGTCTCCAAAATGGTAGGTACAGTCCCATCCTTGTGCCTGGACCCCTGTCCCGACCACTTGTTGTCATCCCATTCGTCAACACCACAGGCCGGGGGTGTATCGCGAATTCATGCGTGACCTGAGCGAGGGGGTGGGGGCCTCCGCCAGCAACTCCAGCCACCGCCTGGTGGGGTTTGAGCCTTTTGCCGCCGCCGCCCTCTTCCTCAGGATATCCAGTGCGTCCCGTGGGGGCAGTGCTTGCTGTACAATGGCTGGGTCTGGAAACCGAGGGCGAGTTTTGAGAGAGGATGACGATTGTTGGTAGTGCATGGGAGTCCCTACTGTCTGGCAGCACGATTCTAGGCGTTGCCTGCCCCGTTTAATGCCTGGATCGAACATCACCACCGCCCATGCAGTTGCATGAGCGTCTGGCTCCCATCTCCCCCTGTCCCCGCTCCCACAGCAACAACCCCCGACACACACATACACAATAACAACTTCGCAGCCACCTTCCTGGCGCTGCGCTTCCCGGCTTCTCCCGCCTCGGTGCCTGGCCTTCCAGCGGCGCTGGGCAGGCTCGCGCTGCGTGCGCTGCGCATCATGCCCTACTGGGCCGTCCTCATGGCCTGCAAGCTGCTGCTGGGGCACGGGCTGCGCCTGGCCGGCCGCGCCTACCTGCGCCACTACGAGGCCACGGCGGTGCGACCCCGGGGCAGCGCCCGCCGCAACGTCAGCGTGCTGGGCCACATGGGCGCGCATGGATCGGCAAGAAAGGACGACTGAGCGGGCTGGACTGGGGCTGGGGGAGTGGCGGCTGAAAGGTGAGGGGGTCACCCAAGGTGCCTGCCGTCCCAGAGGAGTTGCCGAGGATTGAGGCACATTCGCCAGCCCGGGAGGAGACCCCACGGAGTGCGGCATGGTCACTCGCCATGCAGTGCAATGAGCTGCCGAGGCGTGGAGCCGGCATGCCATGGGAGGCGCAGCTGTATGATCTCCACGTGCGGGAGCGCACCGACTCTCTGGTGCCATGCCCCCAACCCAGCTCTGGGCATGTAGGCAAGGATGCAGAGCTCACAGAGGATTGCGCGGCGCAGCGAGAGCGCACCTTCGAAAGGCAAGGCCAGGGCCAGGGACAACACAGTTCTGCGGTGAATGGGGGAAGTACAGTCCCAGCCTGCCGGCATGGGACTCTAATTCAGGTCAGGGCGGGGCGACGCCCACCAGGCCGAGTGGGAGCTCCCCCTGCCTAAAGAGTTTGTCCACCACGGGGTGCAGGGGTAGGGTGCCGGCGCACAGCCCGGGCACGGGGTACCACTGGAACTCGCTGTGCTCGTGGTTGAGCACCGGCGTCCACGCCTGGCGATCCTCGGGCAGCAGAGTGGCGATGAAAACAGTGAAGTGCTTCTGTCCCCGCTTGCCCCGCGCCGTCTTGATCTCGCCCGAGATGGTGAAGGGCGGCAGGACGCCCACTTCCTCCACAGCCTCACGCACGGCTGATGGGGGAGGGAGGGAGGGAAGGAGTTGACCTTAGGGCAGAGTCAGTTAGGAGAAGAGCAGTGCAGCTCCCTGCGCCCCACCAAGATTGCTTACGCGCAGCATTCAACCCCCTTCCCTAGCCCTCATAGCCACACCTGTTGCCAAGAGACTCTCGTCGCCAGCCTCGACATTGCCCCCAGGCAGACCCCAGGCGCCCAGGTTGTGTTTTGTGTTGGCGCGCTTGAGCAAGAGCACATGCTGCTCCGATCTGACAGCGCGAGAGTGGTAATGCTCAGAGCACACCCTCAATTCATCAACACTAGGCTCTCAGACTCGGCAGCGTCCACCCTCCAAGCGGACCGCGATGGAGTACACACAACGTACGTGAATAGAAGGCCGGCTCCCTGCTTCTCGATGGGACCCGGAAGCGGTGGCATCCCGCCTCTCGGCCCCAACTGGGGGACCGGAGTAGCTTTTGGGTTCCCAAGAACCTTGAGATGAGTGTGCGCGGATTGATATGCTTAGGTCCGCTTGAATCCAAGCTGTAAATCCATTGAAAGTATGCCAGTAATCCTACGGCCTGCCTCAGTGATGGGGTAGGCCTGGAGTATTAATCAGAGATGCAGTCGCGTTGTCGAACGCTCGACCAGCGAATTCCCCGGTCGAATCAGGTCCCATGAAGATTCGCTTGGAGGACAGGGGTCTGGGGAAGGCTACGGCCGCCAAAGTCTCAAGAAAACTCCAAAAGAATCCAAACCGATTAAGGGCTATTCAATGAAATGTTTGCCAGCCCTGATCTGCTGATTCTAGCCCTCATCTGATGAGTTCTAGCAGAAGCTGCTGGGGTTTGCCTGGGAACATCCTGTGAGCCATGCCATTTCTGCCAAAACAAGAAATGATGCAATGCTTCTCAAGCAACACGGCCAAATGAGACGAATTGGTATCCCAACAAATTCGTCTCCTAGCCTTAGAAACCACGATGGTTGCATTGCGGGTCCTGCTCTTTTGCCATTGCCGGGAGCCCATGCTCAGCATACTCGAGATCAGCTAGATGGCCTTTCTCGACTTTGAGCGGATGTGCGATGATTTGCATAGGGAAGCCGAGCAGAACTCGACGTGTCGTTCGGCAAGGGCATAGTGCACCAAGATGGTTTGTACGACGGCTTGATCAGCGATCAGGAAGTTGCAGGATGTACTCACTGCCAGCTCGTGATGAGCGCTGAATAAATAATTTGGTGTACATCAAGAATCCGGCATCTCACTGGCTTCCAGGCAATTTGACATGGGAAGAACGCGTTTCTCCCAGCTTCTCAGAGACTTCCCAATATAACTGATCTTGCCAGGAGCTTTCGCCACCATTTATAGCATGACACTGCGACCTGAGGGTAATTCAGGCATACCCATTCTCAGGAATACAAATTCAAGCCACAGACAAATCTGAGAGTATTGTATTGCGGCTGCGCACGCTGGAGTCTAATTGAGAAACCTACGCACACAGTTTCAGATTACCTACATCTTCACCTCTTAGAGAATTATGAGAGAATACCATTTTGTGGGTTCTGTTGTGGCTTGGATCTTGCAGAGGTTTTCGCTGTGCTGTTCACTGGGCTTGTCCAACATCCGTGCCGTCAATATCGCCCCTTGGACACGCTTGTGAGACATATCGCCCCTTTTTCAATGAGGGGTTGGGTCTATATTGGAGTCTTAAGGGGTGAGCTGTTCAGGTGACCGGTGGGGAAGCGGAAGCCAAGAGCAGGGGTGTGAAGAAACCCTACAGCATGTCTCACAGGCCGGGGTCGAAGGGACGTGCAGAAGCAGCCATCGTGACACACTCATAATCCGCCATAGGCTGAGATGTTAGTGTCTATGGCAAAACAAACTTCTTGAGTATATATATATATTTAGAAGTGATATAAGATGGTCTCAGAACATCACAAGGCGGTCCTGAAGGGCGTGAGCCTGAAGGCTGCCATCGCCGAGCTGGTTGCCACGACGCTCTTCGTATTTATCGGATGCGGGACGGCGTCCACCTTCTCCGCCACCCAAGGACCAAAGTGAGTACATGAAGTTGTTTGGGCCGCCGTACGTGGGGAACAAGACTTCCTAGGCCCTATAATGAAGTTGTGGCGACGTGCTTGTCTGTGATTCTCCAGCTTCCATCAGTACCGTCAGGCGATGCACGGGCTGCGCTGCCGCCTGTGGTACATCATCGTGCCAGCCCCGCCTGCATGAGACCCTTGCATGCGGCGATGGAGGGGGCAGGCATTAGGGTTCAGGTGTGTTCGCCCTCCGTCGGCCCCTCCCAACGCGGCGTCGAAAGTGTCGGAATCTTACCCCCCTCCCATCCCCTTGATCCTCCCCCCCTGGCAGCGGCTTCACCCTGGGAGGTGCCGACCGATCCAGCGGAAATGTTGTGCAGGATATAACTCTCCTCACCGACTCCATTCTGACCAACGGCAATTGGGGAGTGGTGCGTTCGATGGTTCCGGGTGTGATGGGGTAGCCATGACGAAGGAGGCGGGCATTCCGGAGGATTCCAGCACCCAGGTCGATGAGATCGTCGGTGGGCAGCTCTCACAGACCGGACCCTTACCTGCCCCTGCCCCTGCCATTTATGCGAACCACAGACTACTGCTCTGGCCTTTGGTCTTGCCATCACCGTGCTGGCCTATGCCACCAGCCACCTGTCAGGTAGGGAGTGGAGCTGGCCTGGAAACCAGTTCTTTCGTGCTGCTGAGTACTGGACATGTGAGCCGGGATGCCACTGCATCCCCACCCCGTTTTCTTCCCCAGATCTCTTCCCCCCTTTCAGTTCCTTTTCCCCCTCCCCAAGTCCTCTAGCCTGCCCATGCCTGGTTGTGCCTCATGCCATGCCCCCCCTCCCCTGCCCCCCTGCCTCCTCTCTTCCCAGGCGGGCAGCTGAACCCTGCCGTGACCCTGGGCCTGGTGCTCTCCGGCGCCCTGTCCGTGGCCCAGGGCATCCTGAACGCGATCTCCCAGTTCGTAGGCGCCATCCTGGGGGCCGCCTTCATCCGCGCCATGCTGCCCAACGGTCGGAACTCGGTGCTTGGCACCAACGCCACCGCCCCCGGGGTCAGCACCGGCAACGCCATCTGCGGCGAGATCATCATGACCTTCACCCTGGTCCTGGTGGTGCTGGAGACGGCCAAGAACAAGAAGTCCACCGTGTCCAACAATGCGCCCCTGGCCATCGGCTTCGCCGTCTTCTGCGCCCACGCCGTGCTGCTGCCCATCGATGGCTGCTGCATCAACCCTGCGCGCTGGTTGGGCCCTGCCATCGTGTCGGGCACCTGGGCTGGCAACTCCTGGCTCTTCGTGGTGGGGCCCTTTGCGGGCGCCATCCTCACCGTCCCCTTCCACCTCTTCTTCCGCTCCGACTGGGACACGGGCCGTGTGACGGGCGACCCCCTGAACGAGGCCCCCTCCGCCGCTCTGCCCTCCCACATCGGCCAGGCGCCACTGGCCAGCAACCCTACATACGACAAGGTCAGCAGGGTTGTCTTCTGAGCTGGTTCTTGGGATGGGGGGGGAGGTGTACGATGGGGGGATGATTCTTGCCGGAGTGGGCCGGGGGGGGTCAAAACCCTGGCCCATCTCAAGAAACAGTCCTGAAGGGGAAGGACCCCCACTTAGCCCTGTATGATAGGTCACCAAGCGCCCCATCGCCCTCTCTGCCTGCCTGTGCTCTGCCTGTGCATCACTTTTGTCAGACCTCAGCGCACACGCCCTGCCCGCGGCCCCTGCCCCACTTCCCAATCTCCCTTTCCCTTCTTGTCCGTCCCCATGGTGTCTGACACCCTGCTGACAGTCGGGAGGGGGGGATGGGTCTTGGCACCGCCAGGCCAGCCCAGCCCTCAGCGACCCCCTCTTGGGCCCCTTCACCCCACAGAACCCGGAGCTGACGCAGCGGCGGCCCACGGAGGCCAGCGTGTGAGAAACCCGAGAGCCTCTCCCCACCCATCACCCCCTGAGACCAACGCTCACACATCCAGACGAAATTTCTTTCGTTGAGTGTACTGGCGCCCGTTGAAGTGCAGGCACATGCCCTCCCTGGCCTTTTTGGAGGGGCAGTGAGGGCCGCCGCCTTTGCAAGTGCCGGGGAAGACATCGGGCTGTGGGCTTGAGCACCAATGTTACTGGGTGCATGAAGGGCGCTTGACCGACCTACTACCTGCTTTCTCTCCCTGTCTGATCCGTTGTCTTGGTGGATGTGCGAGCCGACATATGAGCTCGGTCGAAATTTGCTCTTCTAGAAGCTCCTGCAGCGTGCTTTGACCCTCTACAGAGTAGATTCCATTGCTGCATGTCTTTCCCGCCGGTGTTGTCTTTCTCTCTCAACATCACATTCAGCAGAAAGTCAGGAGTGAGGATGGCAGAATTAGGCTGATGTGGGACGCAGAAGTCGAAAGGAACGGTATACGTAATCTCTGCAACGGTAGCAAGGCCTGCCTGGCCGGTGCGGCTGATGGGCAGGCATGCCCTGCCAGCCTTCCTCAAGGTGACCAAAGGAGCAGGTATAGACTGAAGTCTAGGCTCGCAGCATCTACGCCAGTGGCTTCAAGCCCAGGCTGGCCCTCAGGGCATTGGCCTCGGCGACCTCTGCATCCAATCCTGCTGCCTCAGCACCGCCACGTGACTGATGAGGGGGTGGGGGTGTGGCTGCGTTCCTGTGCAAGCTTGGAGCTGCGACAGAATGGCGTTGAGCACCCAGCAACACGAACCTTGAGCATATAACGCAAAACTCTGCCCCCCCACACCTCAATCCATACCTTCTTCACATGGTGTGGTGGACTTGGGCTGTCCCTTCTTCGATCCCTTCTCCTCCTCTCCTCCCTACGCTCCCACTCCCTGCGAATTGGGGGCCAGCTTCATCAGTGACACCGATGTGGCTGGAGGATCAGTGGCCCATCAGGACCGGCGGGCTGGGCAAAGAGTGTGGCGAGAGGGTCACATCGCCAGGCATGCGCACGGCACCCGACTCCACCATCCCCATACCTGGTGTCTCTGGGGTCGGGGCTCCTGCGCTCCCTCCTATGACGCTCCCTGTGCCTGTCCCTGGTGATGCGGAGAGCAGGCCTGAGCATGGCATCAGGGCATGGCAGGCATCCTCGCGATGAGGGCTCCTGCTTCTCATCAATTTCTTCACCAATCCAGCCTCGCCCTCCACGACGTCAGCATCCTCACCTGCTACGACTCCGGGGTGTTGGGGAGCGTGATCGACTGTCCCTCCCACGCCGCTCTCGTCGCCCCTGATCCACGCTGTGCCTGCTGCGAGGGGACCTACTCCTCCCCCGAGCCTCGCGGGCTCCCCAGGGCCCTCCCCGTCCCTCCCTGCTGGGACTGTGGTCGTCCCGCCTGCGCCTATCGCGGCTGGGGCTGCGCGTCCGGCTCCTCCTCCTCTCCCTATCGGCCTTCCTTTCTTTCTTGCTAAGCCGCCAAGGGCTAGGGTCCCGCGGACGATCGCGCCGCTGCTCTCCACCAGCGGCCGGGCCGATGGAAGCCTCGCCATCCCGTGCTCTGACCGCATCTGCGGGCGCGGCAGGCTCTGTGGGCGTGGCGGTCTCTAAAGCCGCGCTTTCCTGCAGCTTCAGTGCAGCTGCGGCAGACGTGGCAGCGGCTGCCGCCTCCGCCTGCTCCTCCTGCAACGTTGGACCAGCAAGGGAGCATCTGAAGCTACTCTAGCCCAACAATGTGCATCAGGGATGACTGCTGGGTTTGACTGTGGCAGACCAGGCAACGAGGACTTCAATGATTGCTGGTATGCGCATTGCTTGCACTCAAGGCAGGACCTGCCCTCCTACTTGCATATGATAGCGTGGTTGAAAGCAGTGGCAATCTGTAGCTGTACTCATTTTGGTTTCCCATCCCTCCACACTCCGCTCGCGCCCGCGCGCCCCTTCCCCCACTCTCTGCCTATCCCCATGGCTCACCGCCAGGGCCTGCTCATCAAACTCCTCGTCCAGCACCGAGACCCGGGGCTGCAGCTGCCCCGCCTCCTCTAGGACCTTGCGAGCCGGAAGACGAGGCAGCGCGATGTCGAAGCAGTAGTCGCGGGTGAGCATGTCGTCGACGACCTGCCATGGGAGTGCGATGGGTATGGCATGGCAAGTGGAAAGGCTCGGCTCAAGGTAGAAGTCAGTAGTCTGCTGCAGCGCAGCTCCTTGCCCAGGACGTCCCTGCTCCAACTCATCCAGCCCTATAAATATCCCTGCAGGCCAGCCCAAGAGGCCCACCTGGTCGACATAGCTTAGCGCAAAGGCGCCCTTGGACTCTCGGACCCGGACCTTCCGGAAGTCGTTGTACAGGGGTTCCAGATACTGATATACGTCGACGGGACGGCCGACGAGCCGCATGTAGAATGCGCCTGGGGGATTGGGGTGGCCAAGACTGGATGAATCACACAAAGGAAGCAGGCATGATGCAAGATTACACCACCATGTTGTCCTTGCGTCCACAGGCAACACAGTCTCTGAAGCTGCCACTTGGCAGAGAGCTCTCCCATTCCAGCTATCCATCTCACAGTATCAAACCACCTACAATGGCAGCAACCCGGCTCTGCGCCTCTTGGGCCTCCCTCCCTCACCCAGGAGTCGCAGGTACTTGAAGGCATCATCCTTGATAAACTCCACGATGATGTCTTTGTCGGGCTGGATCTGGAGCATCTTCAGGATGAGGCAGAGGAACTCTGAAGGCCGCTGCGGCTCGCCGTACATCCCGCCAGCCTGCAGGGGGAGTGCATACCCTTGAGCATTTTGAACCCTGCATGGCGCAGCAGCATTCCAGAGCTCAAAACCATCACTGAGCCTGACAACGTACATATCGCAGGACGGTTCCCTTGTCGACCAGGAGCTCTGCGGTCAGGCCGAAACATTCCGCTTTCCAATACACAGAGTCATAGATCTTCTGCCTGATGATGTACTCCACCATGTTCTGAGCGGGGGAGTGCGTGGGAAGGGTCAGGCGAGCCAAAGGTATGCCTTGAAAGCCGTGGAGACGACATCATCGGAACGCAACGCCCTACGGCGATCCCGACTCGGAAGCTTGGGTACCAGAACATGCATTCTCACCTGAGGGTTGGTTCCATGCACCGACTTCGCCATGACATCTGTGGTGTTCGCCATGGCACCCACTGACGCCCTGCCGGGCCCTGCCTGTGCTACGAGAGACTAACGTTGCCGCCCAGAGGCAAAGAACGCGAAGACGCTCCTTACAGGAAATAAGGGGCTGCTGAAGTAGATGTCCCCTTTTCTATGTATGTGATGAACATGTTGCTCGCGATGCTCGGCTTTGTGTTTTGCCCGGTTGCAGATGGGTTGAACGGGACGCAGCATGCTGGTCATGAGCACCGTGCAAGAACGTCCGTGAACTACGTCACTCCCTCTTGATAATGGGATTATTTGAAGGTTAGGAAAAAGGCGATTAGAAGGACTTTCATCCATACAAATCCTCGTGCCCGATTTCTCTAGCCCTCCCTCCTGCAAGGCACCTCCCCTGATATTGACATACAGCAGGGTCGATGACCCATTCAGCTTGCATGGCAACACCCTCCTCCACCCATGAGTGATCTAGACCCCACGCTCACGAATCCAGCTGGGGTTACAGCCAGGCTCGTGGAGGAGGGGACGTACGACGCCCTGCGAACAGAATCGCTCCAACAGCTGCGAAAGCATGTAGGGTGGGGCGACTGTGTGCGTGCTGCAGCCCCCATGCTATGAGACCGCACCAGTTTGTTTCCTCACACGACCTCATCTTCCACTTCGCGCGCAGCCTGCCCTGCGGAGGCATGTGGAGGAGGCCGCAAGAGCTCTGCTTCCTGAGCTTCAGAGGCAGGGTATAGAGGGTCGGCGCAAGCTGTTAGAGGAGCTTCGGCGACGCTTAGAGTGAGCTGAAGGGGTGCAAGCGACTTGCTATGCCGCTCGTAGGCAGTGAAGCATCGATCTCCTCTTTCATCGGGATGGTACACCGCGCTGCCTTCCGAAATTGCCCCCGGGGCAGCCTCGCAGATGGTTTCACCCTCCACACCAGGCGATCCCCCCAGGTCAGAAGTATTGATTAAGGCCATGGAGTGCTACTGGGAGGTGCTGTCTTCCCAAGACCACACGTGGTCGGCCAAACTAGAGGCTGAGCTGGAGTCTCTGCTGTGTCGAATGGCCGAAGAGAGCTTGGCCTGATTCCGCCCTGCCCTCCTGCATGCTTGTGCAACGAGGGCAAGCCTCTTCCAGAGCCCCGATTCCCCAGTCTTGTCCTGGGGAGGGCTGGAGGCTGCATATGCTACTTCACACCACCCTCAACATGAGCAGGTTGAGGGCTCATTCATGAGCACGGGAGTACAGAGGCGAGACCCTTGGGTCCATTCATTAGATGAGGGGATGGGGACAGGGAAACAATTTTGATCGTAATACAATCTCATCATATTCAAGTGGGTTGGGGGACAGGGGGGAAGTGACTGTACTCCATATCCTGGGACAGAGGTGCAGCGGTCCAGAGGGGTGATGATCCATGGCGTCAGCAATCCCCAACAGACCACAGAGAATGGCACAGACATGGTCCCAGGAATACCTAGGAGTGAGAGGCTCTACAGCGCAACAGTCCCACGCTGAGTGGGGGGGTGGCTCAGAAGAAGGGCCTCAACAGAGGAGTGTCTCTTGTGGCGGGAATGCAAGGCCGCTCAGGCTAGCCTGGCGCCCCACAACCGCCCTGCGGCCTGACCCTGGCGCAGGATATGGAACACCAGAGCGACAGGGTCGGGCATAAAGGGCAGAGACCAGTAGCTGCATGGGGCAAGGTGTGGGCAAGGGGGTTTGGAGATTTAAAGAAAGGGCGAGGCGCGAGCATGCGAAGGATGGGCTCGATGCGCCACCTCCCCCGCCTGTGGCCCCACGCACCATATGTATGCCTGCCAGGAGTCTGGGAAGGTCGCATAGGGCCCGCTGGCCGCGAGCTCCATGCTTGCCTGCGGGCAGGGGAGTGGCAGAGTGGCTGTCCGTCTGTGATGCCAGAGCAGGGGCGGAGAGGACTCAAGTTGGTGCTACGAGTGGGAACCCATCTGGGGTTGCCTGGCCTCTGCCTCACCCAAAACTCCTCTTCACTGGCGTGCTGCATCCTGCCCGTGAGATTCAGCAGCTGTGGAGTGACGGGAAGGAGTGCATGGGGATTGGGGCTGGCGTGGAGTTGCGAGGGTGGGTTGGCAGGGGACAGGAGGGTGCACATGCTGTGCTGCATCGCGGTGACCAGGACGCGAGCAGACAGCTGACGCCCCACTCCTCGAGCCCCACCCTCCCGAGAAAAGGCTTCCACAACTACCTCGTCCGTGTCCCTGGAGATGCGATGCAGGGAGGTGCCCAGGTCCAAGGAGGCGAGCAGCGCTATGCGCCGCCTCCAGCGAGGCATGGCCGCCGCTGCGACAGTCGTCCTTTCCACATACTGTGTGTCAAAGGGGGAAATGTGTCCCGGGGGCGTGGCTCATCGTTACACGCTGATTGCCAGCGTGTTACAAGCATCCTCAGGCCCAGGTCCATGGGCGGGGGCAAAGCGCTCGAAGACGGCAAGACGCCCGTACCAGACAGAGAACGCTATTATGGCTGGGCATGTCACCGACTGCCGCCCCACGGTATGACCCCATCCCCCATCTACTGCATTTCATGGCAGCCCCTCTGCCAGAAAACCGCCACCCGCCTGGGAGCCCTGGCCTCCATCACCACCTACTCACCTTTTTCCAGGCCTGCGCCAGCTGTTTCATCTCGTCATCCGTGAGTTCGGGCAACATCCTCGCCTGCAATTCTCCAGGCTGGAGGGACATTTGAGAGGGACAGGGCCACCCACAGGGGCAGAGCAGGTCCACAGCGCTGCCCACTGGCCGACCGGAGCCTTGCGCGCTGGACAGTGAGGAGCTTGCTCCACCACACAGCCTCGGCACCCACCTTCCCGCCATCCCTGGGACTCGTCCCTGCCCTCCTCCAAACCTCCCCCCCTCAAACACACACACTCGCACCGCGATAGTAGGCCAGGCCTGGTGATGCCGGGAGTCGGCGGGCAGGCTGGCCGTCATGAAACCAATCAGCAGCTCGTGCCGCGTCTGCGCCAGGTGCCAGAAGGTCTGCGCCCACCCGTCCACCAGCGTCGCCAGCGCGGCCAGCGCCGGCTCAGGGTACCCGCCGCCCAGCGCCCGCTCGTACTGGATCTTGAGCTCCGCCTGGAAGGCTCCGTGCAGGGCCAGCAGCTCCTCGTGCGAGTCCGCGCCCAGCAGGCAGCCGCCGGCCGGCACCGCCACGCCCAGGCACCGGGGGCCGCAGGCCTCAGGGTCGATGCGGGGGCCCGGCCGGGCGCTGCGGCGGGGCAGGACCGGGGCCAACGGCCCCTCATGAGGCAGTGTGGGCGGCCGAGAGGGGCGCTGGGCCCCGGCGGGGGGCGGGGTGTGCTCCGATGGCTGGACACCGGCTGGTCGGGGATGGGGGGCCCGGGGCCGGGGCGGAGCGGTGGGGAAGGCCCCGCGGGCCTCCGCAAACGTCTGGGCCATGGCGTTGCGCATGCAGAGGATCTGGTGCATGGCCAAGCTCTGCGTGGTGTGAGCGTGGTGGGTGGGAGGTGAGGGCATGGTTGAAAGGGGGATATGCATCCTTGAGCATCGATGAGGCGCTTGAGATTGTAACATCGGTGCGAAGGCCGGGCACACCGGAGCCAGGGCTGAGGCAGAGCCTGGAGCCCAGGTAAGCCCAGGTATGGAAAAGCAACCCTGTAGATCCCCGGAACTCAGCCGACATGGCCAGCCCCAAGCGTCTCGGTTCCACTGTATGCAACCGCCTCGCACCTTCCTTGCCAGCGCCGCACGCTCCAGCCGCAGCACGCCCATCTCCCCTTCCAGCTCCTCCATCTGCGCTTGAAGCGCCGCTGCACGACTCTTTTGTCGTTCTCGGAACCGGCGCTGAACCTGGAGGTGCAGGGACCCAAGGGGTTGTCACGAGGGGGACGCCCGGCGTCGCATGGAGGCCGAGCTGGCCCGGACTCTATCTTCTAGAGCAACAATCATTGAATGATGGCAACACGAGCTGAAGTATTGCTTTCCTCTGCGCACCTCGTTGTTCTTGGATCGTGGGGAGAGGGTGGGGGCAGATCCCCCATCAGATCCTAATGCCAGGGGAGTCTGGGTGCGCAGATCTCCCATTGCAGCCTGCGGTGCGCCCTTTTTACGAGCGGCATCCTCCACCCTCATCGGCTGCTGGTTGGCGAGGTCAGCGGGAGCCTGTCTGCGATCACCAGCCCTCGACGTCAAGATCGCGGCAACCCGAGTGCGCATCCGTCCAGGCAGTGGTACCGCATGCCCTCACACACCGGCCCGGCCGGGCCGCCAGTGAGTTAGGCTGCGAGGGTTGCGCCTTAGGGGTTTAGATGCCATCCTGAGGCGAGCTGCCGTGATGGGGTCGGCAGGTGTGGAGCGTATACTTTGGCAACGCCCACCTTCACGCCGCAAGATAAAAAGAAGCCAGTGAACAGATGGGCGAATTGTCACAACATGTTTACCCACCCGTTCTGTTGATAGCAGTTGTGAAACGTCCTGTTTTTACAGGATGCGACCGATGACGTCGCCTCCGACGGTGGCCGCTTGATCCCTTTCGCAGGGACTCTGCGCGCCTGAAACAGGAATTCTCGAGTCCGGGAGCAATCCCCAGGGTTCTTTGATAACCATACTTGGGGTGATTGAAGCCACAATCGTGGTAACGCATTCTCTGTCCTCTAAAATCAATCGGGGCCAACATCTCAAGATCCATGGTCCACCGGGTGAAGAATTCGTGGTCCCGCGATCATGTTGATCCGGGCCTGGCGAGATGGTTGTGATTTGACGCAATTGGCGTACCACGCACCAAATGCGCCGCTAGATCTTGCCAGCCATGATGCCTGCAGGGTCCTTACTGTTGCTTTGATGCTTGATGCGCATGCCTACCTGCATTTGGGCAATGGACGTAACATTTATTACGGGCAGTCCCAAGGCTGTCCCTGGCATGCGTGGACAACATACCTAAGGTGATACACAGCTGCTGCTCTCATGCAGCCAGTGCATGTGGGTCGCTTTGCTCACACACATGCATCAACAGATCGTCAGAAATCGAGTGGGAGTGCACTGCGTGGGCCCAGGGATATGTTAAGAACTCATCGTCACAACTGCATGCTTGTCAGCCTTTCAATGGCACCCAGAGGAAGGTGGGTGGGTTGTGAGTCCCGGCCTGATGAGAGGGCATCGCTATCAATCTGTGGGGAAAGTCAGTGCCAGCATGATATGTAAGGTGCAACTCATTTGAAACATGTGTATGTCGGGACCATGCCATTCTCAATGCCCTCATCAAGGCATCCCCATGTGCTGGCAATCCCAAGAGGACACTCCCACCTATTTCACCCAGCCACTCTCCGAGCAAGGCTGCTCAGGAGCTGTTTGCAGTCAGACATGTAGCCAGAGCCAAAGAGGTTGTAATGATTCTGTGGCATTCGAAGAGGATCGAGATGATCTGATACACCATGTCCCCTTTGATAGACACACGCTCATCCAGGCATGCTGGATCAATGAAACCAAATCAGAGGATCAGGGAGTTCCACCTAATCCCTTTTTACATACAGTTCTTCCCGCCCACAAATGCCTTCTCATATGCAGGCTTCAACACCTCTTCTTCCCCATTTTCAGTGCAGTGCCCATGCCATCAGCAGGACACCGCCCACCCGTCACGCATGCCTGGTCACTCACCAGCTTGTGGTAGAGCGTGTAGAGCTCCTGTCGTCCCTCCCAGCCAGGGTCACGAGGCAGGACGGCATGGTAGCCCTCCCAGAAGTCCCTGCCAAAGCCCGAACACCAGACCATCCCAAACTCCGCCTCTGCATGGCCGTAGTACGTCGCCGGGTCAAACACCACGGGCCCCTCCCTGGACCCGGCAACGTTGCCTGACCAGAGGTCGCCGTGCAGGAGAGCAGGGCATGGCGTGACCCCGGCAAAGAGCCTGTCCAGGGACTCCAGCAGGGGCTCTGCCATTCGCTGCAGCTCCGCGCTGCCACTGGCCTCCAACTGTGGCCGCAGGCGGTGCTCTCTGAAGAACTCCGGCCAACTTTGAGTCCAAGTGTTGCGCTGCGGGGTTCCCCCTATGCTGTTGTCCACCGCAAACCCAAAGAACCCTGCTGCGGCTTTCTCGTCCTGTGCAGTGGATTAGCCTGGGGGGGATACTCATCGCATTGCAAGGTGCAGGGTCACCTTGCGGCCTGAAGCGATCCCGTTTTGTCACATCATGCAAGAGGTTCATTGATAGGGTGTGCAATCATACATGGCTCCCGGGGCACCTTGACGGTCCCAGGGATGTGATCTGTGCAATGCATGGCTTCCCAGCACCCGTATTCGGGTACCTTCCCCCAGCAAGAGCCCCTCACCCGCCTCACCACGGGGGTGGCTTCGTGCATGGCGGCCAGATTGACACCCAGCTGTCCCTGATCCACAGGCCCAGCCCTTTCGATGAATTCCATGATGATAAAGCTGCCCATTGCCTCTGGTCCATCACCCCAGTGATGGACGGCAGGGACACGCAGAGTTTTCGTGGCTGCAGGCATTGGGGATGAGAGGGTTTGCGTCGGGCAACATGATTCCCACGAGGGGTGATGTGCCCCTGTACAGAGCTGCACACAATATGTCAGACCCAGGAGCCTCATTGCCATGCATCTTGCATCGTCCCTAAAGCATGTGTCTCAGCATACCGCTTCCGACAAAATTTCACCATCCCATTGCAAGGCACATGTCATACATTCATAACTCACCATACATAGCCTGGAGACCCAAGGCCTCGCCCTGAAACATTTCCGCTGCATTGCTACCACTGGTCTTGACAAAATATTTGGCGCCCTGCGATGTTGTGGCCTGCATGGCACTGCTCCACCCGCTGCCTCCCAGGGATCTCCAGCCGGTCACTTGGCCCTTCGCCATGTGCTCCTCTATCCAGCCACCCGCCACATCCCTGCATCATCATGCGGCGCACTGGCTGGGGGTACTAATATTTTGGGGCGAGCGGTGCGAGCACTCCCTCGATGCCTGCATGGAGGGGCCTCACCGCATGGATGCTGCTGTCCTCATGGTCCTAGAGCGCCTGGCACTCGGCCGACCAAGGACACATGAAACATTCCTGTGACTTGCTGTTAACATACAGCGAGTGCTATCCTCGAGTCTTCAAATGGTTTTATGACCGGCTTGCATCACAAGCCAAAATGATGGGGCGTGACGAGTTCCGTTCAAGGAGTCCCAGATCGCGCGGGATTTAAATTAGTAAAAACCCGACGACAGATCGCCGAAAACCCCGAGATTGTTTTTTCACATCTAAGTATCTCAAACCACTTGCAAACAATGCGCGGCGTGCCCCCATTACCGGAAACCCCCCGAGGGCCCTTTCACCACGGCCGACATAGTGGCCGCCAAGGCCACAGTCCACGGTACCTACTATAAAAGGTTGTGACGCAAGTAGCCATTCCCACGGAGCGCGTGGATGCCTTCCAGCACGGCGAGGCCCGCTTGTTCAGGACATCCTTCCATGGGAAGTCCCACCCCGCAACCCAGGTTCGAACTCGAATCACCTCCAACGGATGGCCCGTGTGATGAGCATGCAGCCCGTCCCCGTTCCGCTGCACTCAGTCCCAGCTCTTCAACACACGCACATGACTGTTTGTCAGTCGAGTACTACAGGTGCGCCCGTGGTCCGGGCAAACCTGAGTGGTTGGAGAAGAACAGCGCCAGCCAGCGTGAAGGGCGGACGAGGCTGATGCGCCGCCACTCTTAGAAGACCGGCTGCCAGCAAACATTCACAATCAAGCAGCTGAGGCAAGACTCTCAGAAGAGCATTGTCTTCTACCCTGACATTGGGCATTCGGGTTACAGTGACGCCACTTTCCAGTGTCTGCTCCTGTCCCGGTGGGCCGTTGAGCTCTTGGAGTCTCTGCTGGCCATCAACCCGGCCTTTTGCAACCCCAGCATCGTTGCCTCGGTGCGAGAAGCTGCGCTGCGCAAGGCAGGGATAAGTTTGGCCGTCTACACCAGTGTGGCCGACCACTTGGCCTTCCAGCAACACCACCCAAATTTGCACCAAAGAGATTCCTCGATCACTAACAAGGAGATCGCGTGAGCTGCAAGGCAGGGTCGCTCGGTGCCAATCACCAGCACCATGGTGCCAATCACCGGCACCTTGGTGCCAATCATCTGCACCTTGGTGCCCCACTGTAGTCCCACATGTATGCACTCTCCATTGCAGGAACATTCGCCGGTCCAAGAAGTCCACTCCATGGATGCTGACCCAGATGCAGCCAGAAGCCTGATGAAGGCGGTCCAGGCTCGGCGTTCAGACTTTGCCGTCGTTGAGCGTGACAATGAGGGGCTGATTGAACTCGTCGAGCTCAACAATAATCACCAGCGTGTCCTGCGCGACTGTGCGCATGGCCGCCCTGTGTGGATCGACAGCATGCATGGCACTAATGGTGTGAATGTGAGGAAGTGGTGGGATGGGTAGCCATGCAGTGTATGGCCTGGGCTCTGGATGCCTCTGTGTCAGAGGGGAGGCTGTCCTCACAGACGCCCCCCCCCTCCCTCCGTACAGATCAAAGCCTTCCTCCTGACCGCAATGGACTCGGGGAATCGGGTGCACAATGGGTCTGCGGCGCTGCTGCGGCATGAGGGAGTGGAGGGCATCCAGAAGTGGCTGAGAGTGATCTTCAACAAGATGGGCCAAGACTGGATGCTTTCCTGTGTGTTCATCGACGCGAGTGCGGCAGAGTACAGCGCCATCAGGTGGGAGCACGCTTTGATTGTGCGAACAGCCGCATGTTTGATATGATCAATGGCCCGTGAGGACACCACACGATCCCTCCCCATGCACAGGTCGGCTTTTCCTTACTGGATGCCCGTCCACATTTGCAGCCTGCACCAGTCCGAGGCTGTGGCATCCAATGCCAGCCGCCCCGGGAAGGGCCACGGACAAGACTTTGTAGCGTCCTTCAAGGAGCTGCAAAGCATGTCCTTTGACCTACGGAAGGACTCGAACCAGACTGCCAAGCAATTGGGCCATCGACGTGTCAAAGGTGAGTATGGGGGTGACGGGGGGCGGACTGCTCCTTTACGTTTATTGCATAGGTAAGCGATGCCTTACTCGCAGCGCGACCATGACATCAATCCTCTGACACCCTCCATTGTTCTGTCCACTTTGCAGCAGATAGTTTTGCGACCAGGCAATCGTTGGAGCTTGGCAAGATCCTTCTGCGGAGGACGGGGGAGCGACACCTAACCCTCTGACGTCGGCGATATGGTGAGTTACCGAGCGTACTGTGGGTTGCCGTTTGCCGAGGAGACCGTTGGTGGTCTGTGGTGTGGGAGGGGGGGGGGGGGGGGGAGGGGGTATGTGGCTGGGGATATCTGGCATACATGACACCTTTTATGGTCTCCCCATTGCACCGATGCAAGGGTGGCTCCGCAGCAGGCCACCCCCCCTCCTGATGCAGGAAATGTCCTGCCATTTCCCAGCCCTCTTGTAGGCCGAAGAGGGCGCTTCAGCTGGTCTTTGGATGGTCAAATAGACCTGCAGCGGAAGCTATGGTGCAGCCGGTCCCTGATCACCAGCATTCGCTGGGCTGAGCTGATGGGTTAAGCACTCCGGCGAGGAGAGTAGGAAAGCAGGGGGATTGTGGCCAGCACGTGGCCGTTCCCCCCCATGTTTGGTGGTCAAGAGATTACGACGGACGGTGCAGAGAAACTGTGGCATTGCTGTAAATCAGGGTTGGCCTAGTTTTCAAGGTATGCATGTATTCACCTTGGATATCGATCGTGCCTCCATCCATCCACGACAAGAGCAGGGCAGGAGTTGGAATTGTGGCAATCAGTGGCTATCTGCCTCCTGATTCTCAGGTGTCTCGGGGTACCTGCAGTGGACGAGCAAGGCCAAGCCGGATAAGGATGCGATGCACGTGTGAATCCGCTGAGGCAGCTTGGGCAGAGTGGATGAAGACCGGAGAAGTGAACCTGGGTAGCGTGCTATGCATGACGGGAAACATCTCGTTGCCATCAATACAACCTCGTGACACCAAACCTGCCCTGGCCTCGGCATCCGCGGAGCCTGACACTCAAGGACTGGACAGTGCCACCGCCCCACACCCTGCGGACAGTAGCAGCGGTGCACCTGCGTCGCTACTCAGCATCCCAGACAACCCGGCGCCTTCACCTGAGAGCGATCCAGAGGTCGACGAGGAATGCAAGCGATTGGCGGCAATGGTTCTCTTAGTCATGGAGAACGGAGCGCAGGAGGAGCGCGAGGCACCCTGCAAGTACCTTGTGGAAGGTAATGCACCTGTGCTGCCTGCTTGGTCGGCTGAGACCATTCCCTACGAGCGGCACGTCAATTGCAAAGCATGTCGCATCCGCTCCCACCTTGAGAGGGGGTGTGGCAAGAGGCGGCAGACTGCCTCAGCAAGCAAATGAGGGCCAAGATGACCTTGCACCTTTTGTGAATCCCATGTTTGTAATCTACTGGATCAGCAAGCAGGCAGGCAACGCGTGTGCAGGGTAGCATTACCCTCGGACGGGCGATGGGGGTGGGGAATCCCCCCACGCACCGCTCTTGGCCTTCTGAGGCCCCGGGCATCCAGCACGACTGATATGTGCATACGGCGTTCCATCGCCCTTGAGATCGATACTCTATCCGGTACAATGATAATTCAACAGAACAATCTGCATCGTGCGGCGCTTTCGCAGCCCCATGGGACATGGCCACGCCCTACAAAATTCGAAAATCTATCGACCAAACGAGGGGCCCTCGCATCGCGAACAAGCATGTTAAGATCTAGAGAAGGCTTACTTGACAATATTTGAGGGGGGATGTCCGTGGAAGTGGAGTTGCGACTTGTTCCAGGGGCGTGATATCGTGGCGAATGAAGGGTCCTCGGAGGGTGCAAGGCAGCACAAGTCGCAAAAGGACGAGGGCATTCCCAATAGGCGGCGGGGCCTTGGAAAGGCTCGGCGGGCGGCGCTGGCCAAGCGCAAGGAGGCCGCAGAGAGAGTCGACGGCAGCCCCGCCCCAGAAACCGACGCCACAGCGGCACATCGCGCGGCTGTTCAGCCTCCTGCCGTACAAGCAGGGCCTGGAGGCGGTGCACATTCCTGGCACTTTGACGACGCTGCTGGCGCTGCTTCAGCGTCATGAGAAATACAACAAGGACGGCATTGAGAAGTTGACGGGGCTGCAGCTGCCCACTGAGAGGGAGTGGAATATGTACACAGCGGTTGAGGTGAGGGACGTCGCTAGATACTGTGGTGGAGGGGGTTTTGTGTTGCAGAGAGGCCTTCTGCTATTTACCTCGACCACGGGCTGCTTTCCTTGGGAAGCTTCGGTAGGGTTGCCCTTCACTGTTCAATACTCTGTGGACCGGTTTGCAGCGGTGTTTTGCCATGGGAGAGTCCTGAACCCACTACTGCCCATCACCCACACCAACCCCAAGCAAATCCCTCCAATCTCAGGTGCTGAAAGTCCTCAACCTCGAGAAGGTCTGTGCCACTGACGGCACAAAGATCACCGCCAAGAAACGCAGGGCGATCGAAACCCGCCTCCACAGCAAACTGGAGGAGTTCGAGGTGGAGGTGAGCGAAAAGGGAAAGGTGGCGAAGAAGAGGAGGAGAAGAAGACGGGCGACAGAGAGGAGACGAAGACGGACTGGTTTGTCCACATCGGCTGGGCCTTCTTCACCCTCCTCTTCAACTTCCGGCGCTTTGAGGGCTGCGGCTTGTACTCGGCGGGGCACTGGCGGACCAATGGCTACAGCGTCTCGGTGACCCTGCGGCGGCAGAGAGGACCACCCCGGCCCGGCGACCCCCCGCCCCGCCCCCCCGGCGCCCCAAAGACCAGCGGCAAACGCGACTGCGGCGGGGCGCCCTTGGGCGCCCCAATGGCAGGGGAATTGCCGACGAGCATTACCGGTGAGTGGTCTGCACCATGGACTCCTTAGGTGTGTGCTGCTGGGGATAGTTCTCCTGGCTAGTCGACATGCTGCTGTGATTGCCTGGGACACTTGCAAGTGGTGCGGGAGTGTTGGCTGCTCTGTTCCTGGGAGTGACTGTGGATGTGGTGTATACCAGCAGCGAGGTGCACCCACCTTTCCCACCCACTTATTCCCCCACCAACCACCCACACTTGCCTCGCTCCAACAACACAGCTCACCCCACCCCACCCACCTATACACACCTCTGCAGGCAGGACCCCCCTCCAGACGATGCCAGGATAGACAAGTACGTCGGCATCGACCCCGGGCGGACCAAGATGTTTACCGCGGTGGACGAACACGCCAACGTGACATCCTGCTCATCCAAGGAGTTTCACGCCATGTTGGGGTCCAAGCGGCGGGAGAAGACTATTGGGAAGTGGCACGCGGAGGCCCCAGACTATGTCAAAGAGCTGCACAAGTGAGTGATGTTTGGTGTGTGGGGTGTATGCTGGGACAGGCCCCACAGGGGCGGGCACTGTGTCACGACACCCCGCATTGCTCCAACTGTACCAATCTTCTTGCTCAAACCCATCTTCCCACAGGTGCCCAACCCACAAGACAGCCAGCACAGAGGTGCTTTTATTGCGGGTTGCGTGGATCATTCCCTACCAGCGACGGGGCCTGGCCTGGCGCATCTACAAGAAGCCCTTCCGCAAGCAGTGGCACCATGCCTACGTCGGCAGGGAGCGGGCCATCCCCCGGCAGGCAGAGCAGTTCCACGCCCCCCCGGGCATGACTACCATCGTCGGCGTGGGCAACTGGTCGGCCCAGGACGGAGGGGGGATCATGCGGGGGACTCCGCCGAGGCCCTGGATACGTTCCTTGGGGCGCCTGCGGCGCGTGTGCAGGGTGGTGGTGGTTGACGAGCACAGGACTTTCAACTGTGCTGCGGCTGTCACACCTCCCTGCATGCCCACCAGCACAAACAGGTCTGCGACGGCGTAGAGGAGCGGACAGAGATGTGGGACACCAAGCGGTGTACCAAAACGGGCAGCAAAGTCCATGTTGTAAACCGTAACATGTACGTAGTTGTCAACATGCTCATGCTGACCAGGTGCTTCTCTGCGAATGCACCTCGTCCATCAGCTTTTTGGGGGGGCCTGCTTCCCCTCCCTCCCCCCCCCCAAACCCCGTGGTTTGCCGATTGAGGCAACCAACTACGCAAGCGTTATCCCGTTTGCGGGAACAAGCTGCTAGCATCCGGCACAAGTCCGGTAGAGGAACAAGGGTATTCCCGTGCATTCTTTTGCTGACAGGTCACGCCCCCTCGCCCCCTCCAACATGTCTTGCCGAAACTGACAAACCACGCCAACCCTGGCCCCTTGAGGTGCCCAGTCCAAGGATCAAGTAAAATTCAGGATGTTAAATGCTTGTAGACCATCGGCACCCCTTCCTGAGCTAACGCTCGCGCATGATCGTGGTTTGGTCAGCCACTCAGGGTAAGGAGACGCAGGTCTTAACCGGCGTGATAAAATCCGCTAGTGTCCCGAATGATATTGAACACAAGACTCCGAATACCATTTGCTTGCTTGCAGATGTAGACATAGAAGACCTTCCAGCGAGCTAAGGACTGGCTGGCAATGGTCTGTGCCCAAGGGACGGCAGCGACAGCAGTGTGTGACGGAGGCACAGGCTACCCGCAAGACTATGACCAACCGCCAATCACCCGACATGCACACCGAGGCTGGATTCCCGCTGCCCCTCGGTGCAAGCTGGACTGAGGCAACGGTGAGTTTTGCTCATAGAAGGTTTGACAGAATTTCAGTGGCTAGGCCGTCCCAGCGCTGCATAGTTCTAGTTTCCCCCATGGCCCCAATTTGCAACACCCACCTGCTCTGCGATTTCCACACCATCCATCCAGGGTGCTGTCAACTTTGCGGTGTACTCCTCCGCTGCTACCTCGATGTTCCTGTGCCTGTCCACCCCTGCGGATCACGCACTGGGTAGGTTGACATGGGAGATCGCATTCGACCCCATCGTCAACCGGACTGGAGACACCTGGCACCTTGCCGTCGTAGGTCTTGATTCCAACCTACTTTATGGTGAGCGTGTGTAATACCAAGCTCGATGTCGTGCAGGCACTGGCTGGCATGGAGGAGGTGATGAGCTCGGCAGTAGCAAGTGGTGCATGCTCTTTGATGCGCAACCACCGCTATTCACTGTCACCCAGCATTCTCGAGAGCCAGCATTGAATTGCGCTGGGCTGACCCGCGCAGCCCATGCCGGCCCCATCCGGCCATCTGTGTAGGTTTCAAGGTGGAGCCCTGCGGCAGCTTCTCCGAGCTGGATAGTGGCACAGCAGGCGCCAAACCCAGGGTGAGGATTTCAGTGCCATGATGCCTCCTGCCCGCCCTGTCGCACATGCAGGGCCTCACATTAACCTCCCCCTGCGTGGCATGCAAGCCGTCGCCCTGCTCAGCCCCCCCTCAGTCTTGCTCGCCACCTCATGCCAACAGTCTCATGTGCTGCTGGACCCCCACGCCCGGACCGTGGTCAACGGACGCACCCGCTTTGGCCAGCTTGGGCCTGTGAGTCTGGCTGCCTGCATGAGCAGGGGATGCACTTCCTGTTGTGGGCGTTCAGCATCGGCGCGGTGATGTGTCACTTAGCATGTGACAGTCTGCTCACCGCTCCGACTTGATGCTGGTCTCCTGGATGAGAGACTCGGATATGCACCCAGCTCCCCCCCTCCCCTCCCCCCCCCTAATCCCGCAGCAGGACGTCGAGTATGGAAGCCCCGGGGTCTATGGCACGGGTCCCACCTGGCCCCTCACCCTGGCGGCCTTGCCCCATGCCGCCCCCGCCAAGCCCTTTGACTGGGAGGGCGACCGACCCCTGGGCCGGCCCATGGAGGACCTGGTGATCTACGAGATGCACGTCCGTGGCTTCACCGCACACACCAGCAGCGGGGTCGAGGCGCCGGGTACGTACTCGGGGGTGATTGAGAAGCTGGACTACCTGCAGGATCTGGGGATCAATGCGGTGGAGCTGCTGCCCATCCACGAGTTCAACGAGCTGGAGTACTATGTGAGGAGGGGCTGGGAGGGTTGGAGTGGAGTTGGGGTGGCGATTTGACTGAGAGGGGTGCTGAGATTTCAAATACCATTCTTATAAGTTTGGATAGAGGCGAAGCAGACCTGAGGTCAGAGTGATTGTGAAAGCGTCATCTGCTGACACGCCGAGGGGTTCCTGATGCTTTGTATGCGAAGCATCTGGATTCGATTCAAGCTCGCATGCCTCAACTTCTCGAATCATAGGACGGGGGGTCTCCGGCACGATACAACTTCTGGGGGTACTCCACCCTGGCCTTCCAAGCCCTCATGGCTCGATACGCCGCATCCGACGCCGCCACCGAGTTCAAGTGAGGCCGGGAGGACTGATTACCTTTTGTTCTTGTAGAGCCGGGGCGAGGAGGGGGGCGACTCTTCTGGGTAGCAGCCATGTTGTGTCCCCATCAGATTCCATGCGTCATCCCTTGCCGCCAAGATGTCATGCCTATGCGCTCATGCATCCATTGCTGCTGCACACTCCAATTCGTGCAGGCAGCTCGTCAAGGCCTGCCACCAGCGCGGCATCGAAGTCATCCTGGATGTGGTGTTCAACCACACTGCAGAGGGCAGCGAGGCTGGGCCGACCCTCTCCTTCCGGTGGGTGGGAGGGAGGAGAGAGAGGGAGGCAGGATTGTTTGGCTTTATTTGAAGCTGCTTCCCCATAGTGATGAGCAGCTACACCCATGTCCGGGACTTCCAGAATGACGCCCATGACCCTTGACATATGCATGCCCTACATGGGCGGCCATTGATCAACGGCGCAGGGCTTGCGTGTACATCTGTCTGGCCAGCTGCCCGGCTTCGTTCCCTGCATTTGCCTGGCAACCCTCGCATGCTGCCTCTACAACTCCTTGGTAAAGTCAACTAGCTCCCTCTATTCCCAGATCGCCCTTCCCACAAACAATCAAATACAGGGGCCTGGACAACACCACCTACTACATGCTGGCCCCTGGTGGGCAGTGCTACAACTACTCTGGCTGCGGCAACACGCTCAACTGCAACCACCCAGTGGTCTCCGCCTTCATCCTGGACTGCCTGCGCACCTGGGTGCTAGACTTCCACGTGGACGGGTTCCGCTTCGACCTGGGCTCCATCCTCACCCGCGCCCCCTCCATGTGGACTCGGCCCAAGGGATGTGGTGGTGGTGGCAAGCACGAGGATGCGGCCAGGGGTGAGGCCGCCGGGGCCCGGATGTCCGGCGCCACGTCACCTCCACCCCCCCAGGGCCCCCGGCACATGGACGCCGGGGCGGGTTCGGCCACGGGCACGCCCCTGTCTGACCCCGGCCTGATCGAGGCCATCTCGACCGACCCGGTGCTGGCGCGCACCAAGCTGATCGCGGAGGCCTGGGACTGCGGCGGGCTGGTCCAGGTGGGCGCCTTCCCCCACTACGCCGGGCGCTGGAGCGAGTGGAACGGGCGCTTCCGCGACGCGGCCCGCGCCTTCCTCAAGGGCTCCCCCGGCGCGCACGCGGGCGCCTTTGCGGCCGCGCTCTGCGCCTCGCCCGACGTCTTCCTGCACGCCGCGCCCGAGGGCGACTGGTGGGGGCGAGGGCCCGGCGCGGCCTGGCGCGGCGGCCGCGGCCCCGCGGCCTCGGTCAACCTGGTCACCGCGCACGACGGCTTCTCCCTGGCGGACCTGGTGGCCTACAACGAGAAGCACAACGAGGCCAACGGCGAGGGCGGGCGCGACGGCGAGACCCACAACCTGAGCTGGAACTGCGGGGAGGAGGGGCCGACGCGCGACCCGGGCGTGGCCGGCCTGCGCGCGCGCCAGGCGCGCAACCACGCCGCCGCGCTGCTGCTGGCGCAGGGCGTGCCCATGCTGGTTCAGGGCGACGAGTGCGGGCACAGCAAGGGCGGGAACAACAACACCTACTGCCACGACTCGCCGCTCAACTGGCTGGACTGGCGCGCCGCGTCGGCCGACGAGGGCGGGCTGGCGCGCTTCGTGCGCGCGCTGCTGGCGCTGCGTGCCGCCCACCCCGCGCTGCGCGAGAAGGGGTGGCGGGGGGGGGGGGACCTGGTCTGGCACGGCCCCGTCGCGGGGGAGGAGCCGGGGTGGGGCGAGGACGGCCGCTTCGTGGCCTTTTCGCTGCCGGAATCTGATGGCGGGGGGCTCTACGTGGCCTTCAACGCGGGGCACGGCGCGGTGACCGCGGCGCTGCCGGCGCGGGCGGGGCGGGTGTGGGAGGTGGCGCTGGACTCGGGGCGGGCCCCGCCCTTCGACGTGCTGACCGCAGACAGCGCGCTGAGCGCGGACCAGGTGCACGCGGTGCGCGCAGCGGGGGAGCCGTGGCGGCGCGCGGGGGTGCTGCCCATGCTTCCCTACTCCTGCGCGGTTTGCGTCTCGGTGCCAGACCCGCTGACGTCGGCGTAGCGGCGGCAAGCCTGTACAGAACTTTGGGTGCATGGCGCGGCTGGCCAGTGTCCTTGGGCTGGATCCAGGAGCAAGGCCCCTGGTGTATTGAATGACAATGACGGGAGAGCATGACGAGACTGTATAGGGTGGTGTTGATGGCAATGATATATGGTGTACATAAGGGTACAGGGTCGAGGAGTGTGAATCAAAGCGTGCCCCGCGCCGCTCATGTCTGAGACTGAAACGCGGCGCAGTGCTGTGCTTCCTCGGCCCGAGAGTCAGGCCGGCACGCAGAGACCCCATACAGACGCTCCACTTAGGTGGTGTCCACGCCAAAGTAGGTGCCCACAAGATGAGTCAGGCCTGGGAGAGGGGCACGAGGGGCACCCTTGCAGTGTTGTCGGTTTTGGTCGGGATCACTGAGCAGACAGAGGCGGCCCAGCCCCAAGAAGCCACGACTGGGTGCTATGCATGGCACAGGTACCGTGGCCGGCATCGCATGCCCCATGCCATGATCACCACACCACAGGCCAGCGACCACCCACTGCATGTTTTAGATCCCAATCGATCTGACGCCCACCTATGGCCAGGCAGCCGCCCAGGACCACGCGTGCAGTCGCCTTTCCGATGGGCGCTCCGCCGAGGTGGGCGCTCAGGGCTCCCATCCCTGCCTGGAGTTGTGGAGTGGAGGTTTGTGTGTTGGTGAGCCTGCAGTCGCAGCATGGGCCAGCCACCTTTTCCCTCTCTCCCGGCCCCTCCTCCGTAGTTCGGTGACGCTACAACGCAAGCCTGCTCACCAGGGTGAGCAGGGATACGACCGCGACGCTGGCGCTCCTAAGCCCCGCGTCGTGGGTGAGGAGGGCGGCGGTGGCCAGGGGTGCCGCGCCGCCCAGGCTGAAGGCCAGCAGGGAGACCGCGGCCGCCTGCATGGGGCTGGTCAGGTTGTCGGCATCCACGCCGTCGCGGTCCCTGGCGTGGGCGGCGGCCGGGTCTTCTACCTGATTGGTGAGGGTGCTGGCCACCTGCCCGGCCAGCTTGGGAGGCAGGCCGCGGTCAATGTGCACCTGCGCCAGGTCCCTCTCTGCCTCCGCCTGCGTGGCGCTCATGTGGTTAATGGGAGACATGCGGTGCAAGTCTGGGGCCGCCAGAGGCGTTTGGAGTCGCAACATCCTCAACGCTCTCTGAGCAGGGGCCGGTATGGCTGACATCCATGCTGGAGATTGGAGGCAGAGCTTAGATTTCCCCCATCCCTCTTCCAACTAATCCTTCGGACGAGGGTCAGTTCAACACCCGCTGCAATCCCGTCAGCCTGGGGTCCGACCTTGCTTGCCGCCCCCGCCTGCAGCTGCCGCTCCAGGGCCACCAGGTCTGCCCTCTCCGCATCGCGCTGGGAGCTGACCGACACGTACTCCCCCACGGCCATGGAGGCGGCCCCCGCCACGACCCCGGCGACCCCGGTCAGCATGAGCGTCCGGTGGTCCACGGCCGCGGCGCCCACCCCGGCGAGCAGGGAGGAAGTGGTGACCAGGCCATCGCTGGCACCCAGGACCGCAGCCCGCAGCCAAGGAGCCCTCGAGCTGAAGCTCCTGTGAATGTGATTAGGCGGCTTGGTGGGAGGGTGTTACGGGAAGAAGGGGCGTGGGGAGGCCAGGGCACACTCTGCCCCATCAGCAGGTGGTGCATCCCTTTCAACCATACGGGATGCAGCACCCCAGGGACACGATACAACGCCTGTGCCTTACTCTCGCTCTTTGTCTGCTTTGGATTCTTGCTCGGCGGCTTGGCTGGTGGTCAGTGATCGGGCCTCCAGCCCCAGGCTCGCATCCAGCCAGTCTGGGCGAAAGCTTGAGGCGGCGGGAACGAGGGATCGGAAACGCCCTGCCACCGACGTCAAGCGTAACATGATCGCCTTCTGGCCGGTTGAATTTATTTTGAATAATCTGATGGCATGTTCGAGGCCCTTTTCATGGCTTTGATCTACAGGCTGTTTGCTGGCCCACACAGCCGATTCCTCGTCGATTCCGTCGTTTGCCTGAATGATTTATGGCGAGTTCGTGGCGTGGTGATCGTTTCGGCCCCTTACGCTACTCACTCGACACAACGCATGTTGCATTCATGCAATCATTACTTTCGTGATTGATGGTCGCCAGCTGCACTCAGAATGTTGAGTTTGCAACGATGCAGTGCTATCATTGGCGCACCCACAATACAAAGTCGGCATGAAGTGCAGCCAAGATGGCGACGTGCTACTCGGCAGTCGGGAGTTTGTGCCGCCTCCAACTTCACAGACCGAGATGCCGCCCTCAACAAAAGGATTGAAACCCCCGACCTCCTACCGACGAGCATCACCTGTCCAGCCGTCGCTCTCCTATGTGCGACACCCAGGCTCAACCTCTTGATGGAGGCCAACCATGAACCCCTTTTGCAATCTCTCACCCTCAAACTACCTCGTCCTCACAGCTGTGGCGATAATGGCTCTTCCTGCGGCGGCTCCGGCTCTCGAAAACGTCGGTCAAGTCTTTGGGATGTCATGCGCTGGGTGTCACCCCGGAGGTGGCAACATAATCAACAGAGGGGGAGCTACCCTCAGCTTGCCCGACCTGCAGCGCAATGGCATGCTGTCAGACGACGGTATGTACAACCTCATCAGCCGCGGCAAGGGCGCCATGCCAGGTGGGTGGTAGCGCTACTTGCTGAGAGATGTTGTCGTGGAAGGGCCACGGGTGGAGCTTGCCTCATGCTTGGCGACTGACCCTCACCATACTCGGCGCCGCAGGATTTGGAAAGGAATGCACACCCCAGGTGAGAGCATTTTATTATTGCCTCGTGAAGCGTATGACTCATACCAGTATGGATTACTCCTCAAGAGGTTCAGGCCACCTGAGTCTTCGTTCCATCCTCTCTCTGGCAGAGGCAATGCACATTTGGAGCCCGATTGCCGGAAGAGGACATCCGTGAGCTGGCTACCTATGTGCTTACCCAAGCAAATAACGGGTGGAAATCCTGAGATGGTGTCATGCAGCAAGTGCCAGAGCAATCCCAGAGGCAAGCCACTCCTGGCTGAAAGACGAGGGGACACCTAGGGTGCAACGTTGTGAGAGGCTGCTCTGTCATCAATGCCCATGGTGGTCCCTAAAACTGATCTTGTTGGACACTCAGTGGCTCAGCAGCCACATGATGCAAGTTTGGTGTATAGAAAATGACGGACCGACACAAGACTTGCAGATTCATCCATCAGACTCCAGATCTCCCGCATGGAAACGCGGGCGCGATGGGCAATGCATGATCCAAACATCGACGCACAAGGTCCCATGCCTCGACACAGGTGTACAGCCATGAGCTCGTGCAGAGCTCTCTACATTGATTTCAATTATTGTTGATTTATCACATCGGCGATGCAGAGGGTGTGCCGGGGGATCCTGCGACTGCATGGCCCCGTTATCGGAACCCTGCACCCTCGCGGGACATCCCTAGGGAACTCGGCGAGCCTGTACAGCAATGGCGCGCGACGTTGCAGCAGCAATGCATCGCTGCGATGCTGGTCCAGCTCCAGATCCCTGGAGCTGGCGCCGAGGCCTTCGGGCACGGTGGCCGAGGGGGCGGCAGCACCCCCCACAGAGGACAGCGAGGCCGCCTCCATCACCTTCCAGGACGCCGTGACGCGGCTGCAGTCCTTCTGGGCCGATGAGGGGTGCGCCATGTGGCTCCCCCACAACACAGAGGTGCGATATGGGGTTGGTGTGCTCTGATGTCCTGCCAGGGGGACTTTCTCCCCACTCACTGGTGGTACCACAGCCGACCGCGACAATGCGAGCCCTTCATCCCCCGAGGCGCAGGTGGGGGCAGGGACCATGAATCCCTCCACCTTCCTCAGAGTACTGGGTCCGGAGCCCTGGAGCGTGGCTTACGTGGAGCCCTCCATCCGCCCAGACGACTCTAGATATGGCCTGAATCCAAACCGAGTGCAGCGGCACACGCAGTTCCAGGTCAGGGGCCCAGGGATGCTGGGGTGGCAAACGGACACGGCGCATTGCCTGATGGGACTGAGGGGTGTGCAGAGTGGGGAAGATGACGGTGGATGTGATGCTGATGCTTGATGCCCTCACACCTGCTCCTCAAACCTCGCCCATCTGCTCCCCCACCTCGACCATCTGCTCCCCGATACAGGTGATCCTGAAGCCAGACCCTGGCAATGCTCAGGACCTGTACCTGGCCAGCCTCCGAGCGCTGGGAGTCGACACACAGCAGCACGACGTGAGGCCGGCGGTTCGACGGCATGGGAGTTGGAGATCTTTGATCTTGGCGCAGAGTCATGTGCATGGCTGAAGTGGTCGTCCTCTGGCCTTGTTTCCATGCAGTGCTCTGAGGGAGGATCATGGGTGCCTTCTTGGGACCCTCACACCCTGTGACCCCTTCCCCCTGCAGGTTCGCTTCGTGGAAGACAACTGGGAGTCGCCGGTTTTGGGAGCTTGGGGCCTCGGCTGGGAGGTCAGTCATCCGGAGGGGGAGGGGGCATGTTCCACTTCTGTGCCTCCAATTGCCTGGCGGAGATTTGGAGATGCATGAATGCAGACAGGGAGATGCTTCCAGAGAGCCACTCCCTCCCTCCAATGCGCAGGTCTGGCTCAATGGGATGGAGGTCACCCAGTTTACATACTTTCAACAGGTGCGAGACTGGGCGTGTACGGTGTTCTCATGGCCATTCGCAGGGTGGCGCATTGGATACCATGGCGCGCGCTTGTTTGCTTGTGTATAGCTGACTGGTGAGGATTCTTCCACCCGCCAGGCCGGAGGGAAGGTCCTGGAGGTGCCGTCTGTGGAGATCACTTATGGCCTGGAACGCATCATCATGGCCATCCAGGTACAGTGTGGGACCCTTTGAGGAGGGGAGCATTGCAGACCGAACCAAGAGTTCCCAGCAGTCGGGTCTGTAGGCATGCTGCTATGGACCTGCTGGAATTTTGCATGACCATTGCTCTTCTTTGAGCTGCGAGGCTCTGCATGGTAATCTCCTCCGCCTTCCGCCACACCTACTCACAGGGTGTGAAGCACTTTAAGGACATCCAGTACTCCCAGCATCTCACCTACGGCGAGATGTTCCTGCAGGCAAGCTGCAGGAAGGGGGGGTGGGTGCAGAGAGACAAAAACACACCGTACTATGGAGGCTGACCAAGGAATGCCATGCTGAGCGACCCCATCTCATGCCGACGGCCTCCTGCAGAATGAGTGGGAGATGAGCAAGTACAATCTGGAGGAGGCCAGCATCAGCGACCACCAGACCCGATTCAGACTGTACGAGGAGGTGAGGGACCCTCAGATGGGGTGGTGGACTCTTACTGGCAAAGATTACCAAACGAACCTCTCCAGAGAGGGAGACACTGAAGTCAAAAGGGGCAGACACACCCTGTGCATTCTGCATCAGCGCACTCTGCAAACCCTGCTCCGCGCAGGAAGCTAAGAGGATGCTGGCCCTTCGCCTCCCCATCCCTGCCTATGATTGCCTTCTGAAGCTCTCACATACCTTCAACGTCCTGGACGCCCGTGGAGCGGTGAGCCACAACCACTGTCATGCTTGAGGTTTGATTGATGGGCTGGCAATGTGCATGTCAAGATTGCGGCCTGGCCAAGCGTGGGATATTGACTCATTGTTGCAAGCACCTTGCCCATGTCAAAAGGTGGGCGTCACCGAGAGAGCCAACAGCTTTGCCGCGCTGAGGAGCCTGGCGCGGCAGACAACAGGTGCTCAAGTTGGTAGTGTGGGAGGGCAGAGTGCTGGTGCCCGCTGTCTGCTAAATCTGTTCCCGATTACTTTCGCGTGGCGGCGAACCAACGCTGGGCAAGGCTATCCTATCTGGCCATCGCTCCCGCCACTGCAAGGCCCATCCTGCACGCCTTACCCTTGCTCATCATGCTTGTATCGCAGAGCTTTGGTCGGAGCGGAGGGAGGAGCAGGGACACCCCCTTGGCAATGCGCTCCTCGACTGCAAGGCCAGTACGGTCGTCGACCTGGGTCAACCCCCCGCACACAGCCCGCCCACGGGCCCAGCCCCCTTCCTGCTGGAGATTGGGTGCGAGGAGTTGCCCCCCGCCGACCTGCAGCATGCGCTGACTCAGCTCAGGTGCAGCTTCAAGGAAGGGGGGGGATACGGGTGGACGGTGTGGGGATTCTCGAGTCGTGTGGCTCATATGGCAGCATGTGCCAAACATAGTCCACATATACTCCGCCTCCCAAACCCACAGGCAAGGCATCCCACAGCTGCTGAAGGCCTGCCGCCTGAGCCACGGTGCTGTCACTGTCGCGGGCACTCCCAGGCGCCTGGTGGTGAACATCGCCGACCTGGCTCCCCAGCAGAGTGCAGCTTCTGAGCGGATCCGAGGGCCCCCAGCAAAGGTGGGAGCTCACTTTTGTGGCAAGAGTTTGTGCCTATACAGGCAACCAAAGATGAGATGAGACCAGGGCATACCTGCATGGCTCCTGGCATAAAGTAGTTTGTTCGTCGCAATGTGCCCTGTACAGGTCGCCTTTGCACCGGATGGAAGCCCCACCCCCGCCCTGCTTGGTTTCTGTCGAAAGAACAGGATAGAAGGTGAGATAGTGCGGAGTTATGCTGGTAAGAAACTTATTCAATCTTGAAAAGGCACTTTTGTCTCGAGCTTCTTTGCTCGATCCTTGCCCAGACTCTGCGGCACTCTGTTCTCAAATGCTTTCGATCCAAACACCTCCATGCAGTGAAGGACACCGTGCTGGAGGCTGATGCCAATGGGGCTGACTATGTGTGGTGTGCGCTCGAGCATTCCCAAGCTGCTGCATGGCAGGTGCTGTTGACGGATTTTTGTTCGGATGGCTAGTGCAGGTGATGCTGATAAAGGCAACGCTACAATTCATTGATGTCCTCCAGCGTTTGCATCTTCCTGAGCATCCTCGTACCAGCCAAACAAACCACTGCCTGCTCCCCCTCGCCTCCTTAACACAGGCGCTGGCGCAGCGGCTGCCTGACCTTCTCAGTGGTCTCTCCTTCCAGAAGAGCATGCGCTGGCTCCCGGGCGTGCCTTCCTTCTCCAGACCCGTGCGGTGGCTGCTGTCCATGCATGCCGGGACGGTGGTCCCGCTTTCCTTTGCCGGCGTGGAAAGCGGTGACCAGACTCGCCTTCTGCGCAGTGAGGCCTCTCCAGTCAAGGTACACTGCTGTTTGGCAAAATGCGCATGGCCAGTGTCATTGCGAGGCGTCAAGAGGATGTGGTCTGGGCTGGATCCCAAAGACTTGCAGCGTTGCATGATGCCGAGGAGCTGCGTCCATGGCCCTCCTGCCCAACCCTCCCTCTTATGCCACAGTTGGCATCTGCTTCCGAGCATGGCGCTGTCCTCCTGGATGCCGGCATCCTGGTGGATGTGGCGGAGCGAAGGGCCAGCATCTGGGAGGCTTGCCAGAGTGCGGCAGCGAGCATCAACGGTGCGATGCTTGGGGAGCGGATGGGGGCAGGGGAAGATCCACATGAATTGCCAATGTCTGGGGACAGGATGCGTCAGGAGCGCGTCCTGCCAGAGGATATTGCAGTATACTGCTTGAGTTTAGCTGTGACAGCTACCTACCAGCTTTCTTCCTGTGTCTCTTGACCCCTCACCACTCACTCTGGGCAGGTTCGATCCCTGAGGCCACGACACATGACCTGCTGGAGGAGGTTGCCGATCTGGTGGAGAGCCCCACTGTCATCCTGGGATCTTTTGACCCCGAGTTCCTGGGGCTGCCGCAGTGAGTGGGCGATTTCGTCATGTTGCTGGGGGGAAATGCCAAAAGGTCCCATATGTAGGCGGAGGCATGACAAAGCATCATCAGCAAGTGCTGAGCAACCGCAGGCATGGAAACAGCCCTCACTCCCAGTAATCCCCTTGCCTCCCGCCAGGGAGGTGTTGGTGATGGTGATGCGCAAGCACCAGCGTTACTTCCCCGTCGTCGACCCCCAGACAAACGGGCTGCTGCCGCACTTCATCACCGTCGCCAATGGCGCGGTGAATGTGGACCTCGTGAGGGCCGGCAACGAGGCAGTGCTGCGGGCCAGGTTTGAGGATGCTCGCTTTTTCTACGAGGCGGACACCAAGAAGTCGCTGGAACAGCACCGGTGAGTAGGGTTGGTTCATGGGGATGCCACGGGCTGGTGGACCATAAGCGTATGCTGGCAGGCATCCTGATGATCGTCACCGGGACCCATGTCGACGTCCAGTCTTGCAATGGAGCGCACAGCAACCGACTGCGTTTTCTTTTTGCTGGAGCGAGGCATATCAACCGACTCCCTTCCATGCGATTTGCATCGCAGGGAAAAACTAGAAAGCATGACCTTCCAGCAGGACCTCGGCTCCCTGCTGGACCGCTGCAAGCGTGTCTTCAGCTTGGTTGAGCCGCTGACCCTGGCCTGTGGCTTTGACAAAGGTACAGGGGCTGTTGGACATTGCTCACGAGGCTGGAGTTGGCAGTCTCGATTTCAAAGCTTGCAGAACCATGTTCGGCATATATCTGCACATCTTGATGTGGAAAGACAGGTGTCCCCCTAACTCTACGACATGCGATGCTGCTACAGACACGGAGGCTGTGGCGGGTGAGGCTGCCTCCCTCTACAATGCCGACCTGGGCACGTCCATGGTCACCGAGATGACCGCCCTGGCAGGTGGGTGCGGCTGACAAAAGGATCCTTCGCCGCATGTGTCTGTGGGAGCCCTCGGCATTCTCGCTGCCATGCCTTCACACACATTGCCCTTGCCCTGCCTGCGTGAGCTCATGCCTCCCGCGCCGCATGTGCAGGGGTGATGGGCCGGCACTACGCCGAGGTGGAGGGGCGGAGCTCTGCAGTGGCCACCGCCATGTACGAGGGCATCCTGCCGCGGTTCTCTGGCGACGCCCTGCCCTCCACGCCCGCCGGGGTCCTGGTGTCCCTTGCCGACAAGTGCGCAGCCGAGGTTTTAGGGGCCTGGTGTGGAGAGGGAGGTGGGAGGTGCAGGATCGACCCTGGGTTCACAACGGATTGGCTCAATTGTTCTTCAGCGCCGCATCAATGAGCCTTGTTGTGCCCTCCACCCGTCCAACTCCTCCCCCTCCATCGCCTGTTGCGCAGACTGGACGCAATCGTGGGGCTGTTTGCCGCGGGGTGCGCCCCCACGGGCAACTCCGACCCCTATGCGCTGCGGAGGGCGGCGGTGGGCCTGCTCGGCATCCTGCTGCAGCAGGGGGTGCACATGGACCTGCCTGCCCTGGTGGCGCTGGCTTCCGCGCAGCTTCCCGTGCCCGTCACGCCTGAGGTCAGGGCCGGCGTGCTCGACTTCATCACCAGGTGGGAAGCGGCGCAGGGAGGGGGAATGGGTGGGGACTCGAGCGGTGCCGATGGGCAGGGCGATTGAGAGGATCCGGGGCGGACGGTTCGATGCATGGGCTGCCCACCTGAGGGTGGGGGTACAGCTCACGGCCCCTGGAGAATCAGGACCAGTTGGGCCAGCCGTCCCTAGGGTCATGAGGTGGTTACATTCCACACGTTCTTCGACCCCTCCACCTCCCACCAAAACCCCACAAACTCTCGATCAGGCGACTGGAGCAGCTGCTGCTGGACGAGGGCCTGCAGCCCGAGGCGGTGAGGGCGGCGCTGGGCGCGCGCGCACACGACCCGGTCCTCGCCGCCGCCACTGCGCGGGAGCTGGCGGCGGGGCTGGCCGCCGGCCCCGACGGCGCGCTGGGCCGGGTCCTGGGCGCCACGACGCGCGCCGCCCGCTTGGTGCGCAGCCAGGCCGCGGCGGGGCCGGCGGAGGTCAGGCCGGACCTCTTCCAGCAGGCCGAGGAGGGCGCGCTGCACGGCGCCCTGCAGGCCGCGGAAGAGGGCGTGGCTCCCGATGCCAGCCTGGCGGGGTTTGTGGAGGCTTGCGCGCCCCTGGTGGGGCCCCTGAACGCCTTCCTGGACGGGGTGTTTGTCATGACCGAGGACGAGGGGGTCAGGGGCAACCGCCTCGCACTGCTGCGCCGAGTCGCGCAGCTGCCCGGCCCTTTCCTCTCCGTCCAGGAGGTCCAGGGCCTCCTCGGGTGAGGATGTCATCTCCGTGTGTGTAAGGGACTTTCTTGTAGAAGAGGTGTTGTACAGGTTTCAGGAAGTGGCCAGGGATTGTTGAGGTGTGGGGAGAGTACTTGTACGGTTTGGCAAGCTCCGCATGCTTCATGAAGCAGTTATTAGACCCCTTACAGAGATGCTGAGCTGCTGGCCTGATCGACATACTGTGTCCTCAGAGCAGGCTTGTGAGTGGGGTCCTCGAAGTTTTGCCTGGCATAGTGCTCATGCCATGCTCTCGGCCCCTGGCCCTCAAATCAACCACTTACCAAGGCAGCTCTGTCCATCTTGCAGCACAGGTCAGAGGCGTATTACATGACGAGCTCTGCAGCTCAAGCAGCGAGATACAGCAGCGTGAAGCGTATGTGTCAATTAAATTGGAAGGGTGTGGTGTGGGTTGGGCCTGGGGTCGAGGACGGAATCGCCCTCAATCCACGGCCTCACCAAAAGGGTCAAGGCACGTCTCCAAAATAGTAATCGAGGGGGGTCAACACGGTCGACGCCTGCCTGGTCCATGAATGTTCGACCAGGCTACCTCACACAGGGGCGCAAGGGTGCCTCACACGGCGGAGCTGTAGGGACGGGGGTTGGTCTGGAACTGGCCATAGCGGGACCTCTGGGCCGCCAGCTGGGCCGTGCGTGCCGCCTCCTCCTCCTTCATGCGCTTGAAGGAGCGGCCGGCGCCCTCCACCTTCTCCTCACGTGGCCCGCAGCACTTGAAGATGGACAGCAGGACGCCCAGGCCAAAGAGGCCGGCCATGACCCAGGAGGAAACAAAGACGGCGATGCGCCAGTTCTGTCATGTGGTTGGGAAATGGGTGGGCAAGGGGGCAGGGTGAGGCAACACGGCGGCAACAAGGACGCCATCATTAGCATTAAGGGCAGCCAGGCAGCCACCACGCACACCCCTCCGCTCTTCAGGTGACAATTCCGCCATCTGAACCCACCTCTTGTGGCCAGCCGTCCTGGTTGGCAGGGACTCCATACCTGTGGGGCAGGAAAGGGTTGATGAGCGGAGAATGAGGTAGGCAGATGGCACGGAGCCCCCTGACCCCACATGATTCCATGCCTGGTTCGCCCATTTGCAAACACTCCCTCGTCCACCATGCACCTGGTCAGCACGGCGGCGGCGATCGCCCACCAGGCAGCACCCACCCCGCCCAGGATGGCGTCCAGCAGGCCGGCGCAGCCGCGGCCACAGCAGTCGCAGGTGATGCACTGGAGGAGGTGGAGGAGAGGGGTTTGGGCGTTGCAAGGGGCGGGGTCAGTGGCAGGGCGACAGGTTAACCAAGGGTCCGGTCGAAAAGTACCTGCTAAGCCATCTCAAAGACTGACGCATACCCTTAATGCAAGCCCAGCTCACCAAGAGGATGCTCAGGAGGATGCTGGCGCCCATGGAGGCGCCCGCGACGATGTAGGTGTAGGTGCAGAGGGTGGAGGAGTTGGCGTCCTTGCCTAGCAAGCACTGCGCATTCTGTACCGTGTTAATGAGGTCAGAGTCCACGCTCTCCCAGGTAATGCCCTGGAGGTGGACCGCCGTGGCGATCAGGACGAAGGCGGCAAGGCCCACCTGCGCACGGGGTCGTAACGCCCCATGGTGAGCGGATGCTTCAGAGCAGGGCCGACATCGGACTGGATCAGCCTTGTCAGTGACATTATGGGCCGTTTAGTTCCATCGCATCATCACCATGCGCACCTGCAGGAGGTGCACGGAGCTGAGGAGCCAGGAGGTCGGCCGCATGGCGACAGGTACTGGAGGACTCGAGCACGGCGGGGCCACGGAGAGGGGAGCAATCTGCTGTTGTAATGATGGGTTAATGCGTTGACCGCGGGTTTTGGGCAGATGGGTGGTAAGTATGGGGCGCCCGAGTCAGTATGAGCAGATCTGCCTCTCTGAACGCGCCTCGGACAATCGCCCGCGGGTTGACTTCCCCACGCTCACGTACAAACCAGCTTCCCAGCACAGGAGGTCGGTGTGCTACAGGATATCACAGCATGACGATTGTAATTTCCCGACACAGGGTCAAGCAATGCTTTAAACTGGTGTGCCTCAGCGGGTGCTCAATGGCAAGGCCTATGGGCAGAGATGGCAACGCAGCTGCCGCTCACTTCTTTGACTTGAGGGTCATTGAGAGCCAGTCCAGCCCCTCGAACAGGCCCTCACCCTTGATGGCAGAGGTCTTGAAGATGGACCATGCCCGCGTCTTGATGCTGCTCAGCCCCAGGCCCTCCGCGACCTCCGCCTGGCTCAAGGCCCCCGGGAGGTCCTGCTTGTTGGCATAGATCAGAATGGCGGCAGACTTGAGCTCCTCCTCGGCCAGAATGGCCTGGAACTCCTCGCGACTTGTGGGCAGCCGGTCCGCATCACAGGAGTCTACCACATATATGATGGCTTGCGTATTCCTTTCAGAAGAGGGGTTGGTGGCAGAGTACTAAGTCTGCTTCCGGGAGGGACATGATCATGTGGACCAGGGCAAAACATCATGCCAATCACAGCCTACCGCGATGGTGACCAGGGCGCAAACTTGAGGTCACGTGTGCAGGAACCACAGTCAACCTACAGAAGCAAGAAGTGAAGAGCACAGCTCTGTTCCAACTCACGGGTAGTAGCACCGCCAGTAGGGGCGAATGCTGGTCTGGCCGCCCAGGTCCCACACTTGGAACTTGATATTCTTGTAGGTCACCGTCTCGACATTGAAGCCAATGGCTGTTGGTTGGGAATGCAGGGTGATGGCGGGTGGGAGTGATGGGCACCAAGCAAGTGGCGCCCTGTGCAGGGACGAGACCTGGATGCTTGCTCCCCCCATGAACACCCCAACCACCTCACTTGGAATGGTCTGCACCACCTCGCCCACATGGAGACGGTCTGCAAATGGATGAAGGTGAAGATTGAGTGATGGTCGGGAAACGGTCGCACCACCTTTGGGAGCCCTTGCGAAACACTCACATAGAATTGTAGTCTTTCCGGCATTGTCGAGGCCCAGCACCAGAATCCGTGCCTCTGTATCTCCAAAGAGCGAGAGGAGCCTAGATAGCCAGAGCCCCTGTGGATTGATTGCCGTAAGTGTGCTCAGCTGCCCGACGCGTGCTGGCTTACGTCGCGTCGAGATCTGCATACAGAGGTCGTTCCCTCACCATGGGCGCTGTGTCCTGGTCTAGAGCCCCGCAATCGCTGGATCTAAGTGAGGATGCCAAGCATTCGCCAAGTGTATTAGAGGTTCTCGAAGCCTGGACAATCGATGTTGCGTGCAGTAAGATGTATTGTGCAACAAGTAACTAGGGGAACCAGAATTCATCAGGGTACCCACTCCGCGCGCGGGGTGCCTAAGAAAGGACCCACGGACTCGCTAAAGTGCATGGCTGTGCGATCTCCGGGGCGCCAGACTAGTCTGCCTCATCCATCTTAGTCTCTTGTTCATCGCATAGTATACCTCGGCGCAGGGTTTAGGCGCTGCTGGGTGTGGCTCAGTTTCGTGCGAGGCCCAACTCCTGGTGAGGCCCTCGCCTCCCAGTCATGTCGAAGAGTGCCCCAGGGCTCTTGGCGCGGGCCAAGAGTCTCCTTGAAGGAGTCAAGGCACCATGGGCGGTGAGCACATCCTGTTCAGGGCGGTAGTGCGGAGAGGGAGACACGCGGTGCTGCTCTTCTCCATATACTCACAAGAAATACTCACCCTTGGCCAGGTCACGGGTCCGCTGTCCTCTCCGGAGTACGCTTCTCATCTGCCACGCGCCGGGGAGTACCGCGAGCGCGCACCAGGGTGCGCCTTGAGGGTGTGGCTGCAGTGGAGGGTATTTGTCTCTGGTGTGAGGATTTGCCACGGCCTTTCAGCATGTCCTGAGCTTACCCCCCCTATGTGCCGACGGTCTATAACAGGAGCCAAGGAGTCAGGGCTATGGTGCCTGCCGCTGAGACAAACCGTGTCTACGACATCAAGTACTTCAGTGAGTGTGAGGGTGATCATGGTGGGAGCTCATCCATGTGCAGCCATATTTCTGATGCCCAGCGTGCAGCTCCTCCCTCTTGCTTTCTTGCAGCACGGGACGCTCGCCGCGCACACCTCCCTGGCGGCACCATCAAGTACGAGTACTACGACTTCAGCCCTGCCGAGAAGGTTGAAGCCCTGGAGGTGGGTGGTGCAGTGGGGTGGTCTCAATGGGCATGCCGTCCTCACAAGCACCATCTGCTGGTTATGGTAATCGAAAGGTTGTGCAAGCAATAAGCTGCTCTCACTTAGCTTACTGACACGCTTTTCCTGCACAGGCACTGGAGACAGCACCAACCCCGGGCAAGAAGTGGCAGAGGCCCTTCAAGCCCATCCTCGAAGAGGACAACAATGGGTGAGGGGGGTGCAGGGTGGCGTATATCACTTAGCCCAGAACAAGGCGCATTGCCAAACGTAGAGTGGGCACTTGGGTTATGATACGAGTTGAGCAAAATGGCTGCATCTCTCATTGTCTACACGCAATTCCTACAGGTACACCATGTGAGAGCTGCAGCGCTGCTGACTTCCAGAGTACACATACAGAAAGCTCTGCTCTGGAAGGGTGGCAAGACACTCAGATGGCCTCTCACACGAGCAGCTGATGCTAGTGGCCCTCATCGAGAGGTGTACATGGCTGTAACAATTCTCTGGGTAAGGGAGTGTGAGAGATTTACAGAGGCCGGAAAGACACTGTGCCTCTTGGGCGCAAAGTGCTCCCGATTCTGCCCAGCGCGCAGCTGGCGACGTCTAGCATAAAACTCCGACCCTGCGCCTGACCGTGATGAGTGCAGAGTCTCTGCGCCCGAGCAATGCGCTGAGGTACAGGCATGGAGGACCTGTGCATCGTGTGCGCGGAGCCGCTGGTGTACACGGCATATGGGCCATGTGGGCACCAGGACGCCTGCTCCAAGTGCGTCCTGCGCCTGCGCACCATCATGAAGGACAGCCGATGTGTGCTGTGTCAGCAGCCGTGCCATGCCGTGTTCGTCACCCGCGCCATGGGCAGTTACACGGGCACCCTGTCGGCCGACGAGTGGGAGGAGCTGCCGGTGAGGCGCAGGGAAAGCTGGAGTCCGGGCCTGAGTGGATAGGAGTATCCACTCCAGTTTAGAGTCCAAATGCGATTCCATCTCCCTCCCCCCCCCCTCCTCATTCGTGATCAGGAGAGGGTGGAGCAGGGCAAGGCCTTCCTGCTGGCCCAGGCCCAGGCCTACTTTGATGAGCAAGCCCACTTCAAGACCATGGCGGGGCTGTGCACCTTCTCCCACCCCGCGCTCCTGGACGCCCAGAAGAGGTTGCGGGATGTTTTGGGGCGGGCGTGGAGGCTTTGGGCCGTACGTGACTGGGTGGATGGTTACCACCGGCGGCTCCACTTTGGCAATCTCTCACTCCAGATTTTACCACACGACAATGAAGGCGACCGCAGGTATCACCTACTCCAACCCCAGACCGCCCTCCGTCCCCTCCCCCCACACAGGCCCATTGTATTCCGCACCCTCCATGCCCTGCGTGAGGGTGTGAAGGAGGCTCTGGACCAGCACTTCTGCGGGCAGTGCCTCCAGGGGCGCAAGGTATTCACCGCCGAGCAGTTACTCTACTCTGGGCCGGACCTGGAGCGCCACCTGCGCCAGGGCGATCGGGAGGGCCCCCTCGCCGAGGCCGGCTTCAAGGGCCACCCGGAGTGCCACTTCTGCCGGCGCCGCTTCTACGGCGACACAGAGCTGTACACCCACATGCACACGCAGCATGAGCAGTGCTTCCTGTGCAAGCGGGTGGACCCCAGCAAGCACGTCTACTACCGCGACTACCCGGACCTGGAAAGTGAGAGCATATGGGGTTTGGGGAGGAGGGGCCGCTGGGGCCGGCGCCCTGCCGAGGTGGAGGAATGCAGGATCGCATGGGAAGGAAGGGAAGTGAGGCCTCCTTGGAACAAAGATTGTGCAATTGGCTTGGTGCTGGGCATCGAGCCTGCCATATTCACTTGGACACTCCCTGGCCGATCCCCCCACCACGCTCTTCTCCCCGTACCCCTCAGACCACTTCTCCCAGCAGCACTTCCCCTGCCAGCACCCCAGCTGCCTCGAGAAGAAGTTTGTCGTCTTCGCCAGCGTCCAGGTCAGCAGTGGGCCGTGTACAGAGGGTGGGCTTCCCAAATCTGTCCCCATTGCCTCCATGTCATTGATGGTGAGGGAGAAGGACGTGCAGCCCTGCTCCCGCGTCCCATGGACCCTGCCATGCAATGCCACTTGCTCGCTTAAATCCCCGCTTTCTTCCGTACAGGAGCTGCGGCAGCATACCGTGAAAGAGCATGGGGAGATGCTGGGCAAGGCGGAGCGGCGGGCGGCCATGGTCGTCCCCGTCAGCTTCTCGGTGAGGAGGTGCTCTTGGGCTGCTGTTTGTTGGGCCACCTGTGCTGGGATTGCAGGGGAGAGAGATGGGTGGATGGCCCCCCCCGCCTGGCTGGCAGCGTGTTCCAGGCTCCTTGGCTAAAGTCATGCTGTCACCAATAGTTCATTGCAGCATGTGAGTCACTCCGCAAAACCCATTGTCACTCGACCTTCCCCTCCAAAATTCTCACCAAGCAGTACCAGCGGGACAGCCAGCAGCGGGGCCAGCAGGCCGGCCCCGCGCTCGCCCCCGCCCCGCAGGGGGGTGGTCATCGGCGGCGGGGCGGGCGGCGTGCCCTCGCGCTTTGCGCGCCGGGGCGGCGCCCAGGACCCCGTGGAGGCCGCCCAGCTGGCTGCCGCCATGGAGGCCAGCATGGGCCTGGGCGGGAGGCCGGGGCCCTCGCGGGCGGACGCCGCCGCCGCTGCGCCGTCTTCCTCTGGCGTCCCGGGCTTCCAGAACAACGAGGAGGACTTTCCCAGTGTGGGACCCGGGAGCGTGCTGAGTCAGCACGGGGCCAGCTCGGGACGCTGGGCTGGCGCGGTGGGGGGCGCCGCGGGCGGGGCCAGTCTGCACATGTCCGATTTCCCCTCCCTGCCAGGTGAGTGTTGGGGGTGGCTGAGCGAGGGGATGGGGACTGGCCTGGCCAGGAGATAGGGTCCGAAGGCGATGCCTCTGGCCGCCAGAGCCTCTGCACAGACAAGCACATGCTGTGATGCGGGCGCTCTGGGTACAGCAGCAGGCTTGGCTGCGTCGGATCTTGCGGCATTCCCGGACCCGCTCCATCCCTGCCACCTGGCTCTCACCTTCACTCTCCTCGCCCAGCAGCCTACCCCATTCCCTCCTTCTCGCCCTCCCTGCCCAGGCACGAGCAAGGCCGCCAAGCGTCGCCTCAAGGCGCAGCAGAAGAGCATGGCGGAGGCGCTCGGGCCCGGCATCCGCGTCATCAGGCCCTCCGAGTCCTTTCCCTCCCTGCAGCCGTCTGGCGGCCCGGCGGCAACGGCGCGGCGCGGGGTCACCGGCGGCGGCGGGGCGGAGCCCAGCCCCCCCACCCGCGGCGGGGGAAGGCATGCGGCGCCATGCCCCCTCTCCCCGCCAGCGACGGGGACGAGCCGGGGCCCTCGCGCCGCGGCGCGGCGCTGGGCCCGGAGGAGGGCTGGGTCGCGCTTTCTCGCGAGGAGCAGGACGCTGCGCTGCTGGCCAGCCTGCGCACCTCGCGCCTGCCCCGGCCCCCGAGCGCCCAGGAGGTGAGGGTGCCTGAAGATGTCGACGCGGCGGCCAGGGTGGTGGCAAGGCTTCCAGGCGCTGCGGCGGGGCCCAGCACTGCAGCGGGGCCCAGCACTGCGGCGGGGCCCAGCACTGCGGCGGGGCCGGCGGAGATGCCGAGCAGTGCGGCTGCGCAAACAGGGCGGCGTAGCTCGCCCGCAAAGAAGCGGGCCGACGACGCTGCGGCGCACAGCGGCCAGACCGACGAGGCGTCCGCCTCGAGGAGGACGGGGTCCTTGCCACCGCCGAGCCCCGAGGCCGCGCGCTCGCTGCGCGAGGCTAACCGCACGCTGGTCGAGCGGGTCAGGGCGTCGCTGAGCGCCGAGGAGTTCCTCGCCTTCCGCCGCGAGTCCTCCGCCTGGGTGCGCGGCGAGCTGACGAGCCCCGAGTACGCGGCGGCGGTGGTCGCGCTGGGCCTGGCGGACTTGATCCCGGACCTGGCCGCCACCTGCCCCAACCCGGCCAAGGCCCAGGAGCTGGTGCAGGCCGCGCCGCGGGTCAAGGGCAAGCGGGTGCGCAGGGTCGAGGTGGCGGGCTGGAGAGGGTGTGCTGGGGCTGTGGTCTGCAGCGCGGGGAGGGGTGGCTCTAGCCCCGCTGGGTTTTGACGAGGACCGGCGGGATTCCCGCTCCTCAACCGCCTCCCAACCCACACCGAAGGCTGCCCGCTCTGGGTGGGTCCCGCCGGAGGTGGCGGCGATGGAGGCGTCACGGGGCGGCCTGCCGACCCCGGGCCTGGACCTGGACGAGGCGCCAGTTCTGAAGAGAGCGGAGGACAAGGGCGCAGCGGTCCCGAGCAAGAAGAAGGCGCCGGCGCCCAGCGAGCGAGCCGGCCCCAGCGGCCCGCAGCCAGCGGCGGCGCGGTCGAGTCCCGACACGCAAGTCGACGGCTCCGCGTTTCCCGCCCTCCCCGCAGCGCAACCCAGGGCCAGGCCGGCGTCGCGGGGTCCACCCGAGCCAGACACCCCTGCTTCACAAGGCCCGTCGGCGGGGCAGGGCAAGAAGGGGAAGAAGGCGCTGCCCCTGGGGGCCTTCCAGAGGCAGGTGTCGGAGGTTGCGGAGCGTGCCAAGCCCAGTGCCTGGGCCGGGCCCAGCCCCAACCTGCGGGGCCAGTGGGCAGCTGCAGGGAAGCTGGCGCACGAGGAGCGCGTCATGCAGGATGCTTGGGGCAAGTGAGGGGTGTTGGGCCATGGCGCCTCTCATTAAAGTCGTCCTGCGCTGGCCTGACTCTGCTACGCCCTCGCTGTCCCAATGGCATGGTGAGGGCGTCCCTTGACAGCTCTTGGTTGTTGAAGAAGCAAGGAATGCGCAGGAGGGTCTAGGATTTCCAGGTCGCTGAGTTGTTGGTAGCGTGCCGTTGGGGTGTCATCCACGATCCAGCGCGCCAGATCGCTTTACGGAGACTGCACTTGCTCTGCAGAAGCAGGACCAGCTCGTGGAAAGGCAACCAACTGGCACTCATTGTTATCCTAAGAACCGGCAGAGTTTTCTCGCGAGGTCATCGCGCACACATTCATGCGGGAGCTTGGGCTGTCAAGGCACCCGTTCGCGAGGCAGCCCGTGCCCACGATCCGCGAGTAATGCCGCGCGCCCAGGGCAGCATCTGGCAGCATTCTCTCATCTTTGGAGCACACTAGCGACATCATGAGTCGACAGCACTCCGGACCTCTGGCCGAGGACAGCTTGCCGCAGGAGGACAGCTGGCCCAGCCAGTCCGTCAACCCCTTCTACCACGAGGACGACGTGCAGCTGGATGCCCTGGGCGTCATCAACGCCCTGGAGCGCACCTGCGCGCTGGAGAGCGCCCTGCGGCAGGCCATCCAGGACACCCACCCCCTGAGCACTACGCTCGACTGGGACTTCCGTGCCGCAGACAGGGAGAGGAAGGCACTGCTGGCCATCACGTGAGTTGGGGCTGCCAAGGTGACAATTCATGGACTTGATTTGGGAGTGGAAGGGGAAGCAGAGGCTGCATTCGCCATTGTCGGCAGACACCGTGGCACTCGGCGGGCCTTGGTATGGCACATACTTTATTAATCGTCTCCCTCTGAATTTGTCTGCAGAGAGCACCTGGAGTTCCTGGAGGACAAGCTCCGGGAGTTCAGGTTCATGACAGCCTCTGACGAGGAGAACCGGGTGGGTGCTGGCGGCATGCTGGTGACAGGGGCCTCAGGGCCATGCCAGCTCGCCTGCTCATGATGGTCAGGGGGCGTACCGGACCATCACCTCCCGCCCTCACCATGCATGCTCAAACCTCAAACCCAGGCTGTCATCCTTGCGCAACTGGATGGGGTCCGGAAGGAGCTGGAGGAGGTGGTCCAGCAGCAAGGGCCCTTTGTCGTCTTTGGAAAGGCATGCAGGGGTGTAGGGGAGGTGGTTGTCATGGAGTTTCAGCCGTACCCAAGGTCCAGTGCAGGACAGGGCACTTGCGTCGGCAGAGCCCCTGACCCGGTCCGTGCGCTGCCCTGTGGTCTGCACTGCTGTCCTCGGAACCCCTGCGCATGCATGCCTGTGGCCCCCTGCAGGATGTCGTGCGAGAGGTGCTGGCCTTCGCCTGCATGGCGGAGGAGGCCGGCGAGCCCGAGGGCGGGCCGGCTTCGGCTGCGCCAGTGCACAAGCAGGCGGCGTCGCCTGCAGGGCTGGTGTCTCCTGTGTCGGGGGCGAGGAGCCCTGCCAGGGAGAGGCGGTCATTGACCGCCATGCTCTCCCCAGGAAAGACCAGGTGCACAGGGGTTGCGTGGCGCGTTTGATTTGCTGCTGTGATAGGAATGCAGCTGATGCAGACGCACACGCCCGGGGGGTCGCTGAGCGGAGCGAGCTTGGGGAGTGGCCTCGTGGTATTGCAGAGTGCAAATCAGATTGTCTCATGAGAAGGGTCCATGCCGTGCACCTACCCCCCCCACCACATCCCATGTGACTCCCTCGCAGTGGCAGGTCCAGTAACGCACAGGGACTGGCCAGCCCTGGCTCGCAGCCGCTGCGCCGGCCGCCGCACGGGTTCCTGGCCTCCTCACCCGGGACCAGCAGCCTCCATGGAAATGTGTCCAGCTCGGAGCTCGGGGGGCCGCCCTCCCCGTACCGGGTGCGTTGCTGCCATTCGTGGAGTGATGAAGGGTGGTCTGGGGATACCATGGTCTTGCACAGCCCCTGAGCTCAGACTTTCCACGACGTACCACCGCAGCATCAACGTTCACGACCCCGACTCCATCCCCCACTTCACCTCCCCTCCCCCACTTCACCTCCCTTCCCGCTACCCACCTCCCTTCCCTCGCTTTCAGTCTCGCCCAGTCACGTCCAGCGCATCCACCCCCGCCAGCTTGGTGCCGGGGCCCGTCAGCCGCCGGCACGGCGAGGGGCGCGGCGCGGCCGGCGGCCCCCAGCCCTCCGTCTCGGTGCCGCGTCTGGCGCTGGAGGAGAGCGAGGACGACCGCCAGGCCCGGCTGGACGACGAGGCGCGGCGGCTGGTGGCGGCGAGGAAAGCGCGGGACGCGGCGCTGGGCCCCAGCCTGCCCTGCCGCGCCGGGCCCGCCGGGGACGAAGCGCGAGAGGGCCCCCGTGCCGCGCCGGGGACCGAGGCCCGCGCCCCCGCGCGCCAGGCCCTGGGCGAGCGGCTGGGCGCGGCGCGCGGCGCGGCCGGCGGAGGGCCTGCGGGGCCGCCCTGGGCCGAGCGCGCGCCGTCCTTCGACGCGCCCGTCGCCGGCGCTGCCGTTCCCGCCAAACGCGTGCGCTCCCCGGTCGCCCGGGAGCGCTCCCCGCAGCGGCTGCGGGGCGCCGAGCCCGCGCGCCTCCCCCTGCGCCCCAGCGACATCGGCGGCGGGCGGCCGTGGCTGCCGGCCTCGCCGCCCCGCCCCCAGCGGGCGCCCAGCTCCTGCGAGGGGGTGGCAGCCCACGCGCCGACGCGGCCGCGCACGGCGGGGTACTGCGCATCCGCGACATGCTGGACAGGGCTGAGCAGGGCCTGGCCGAGGTGGCGCTGCACAGGGAGGCCGAGGCCGCGGGCGAGGTCGCGCGCGGCGCCCGCCTGCCGCGCATCACGGGGTCCGACGCGCCCGCCCCGGTGCCAGGCCCGGAGGAGGGCGGGGCGTTCCCGCCGCCGGCCACGGCGACCGGCGCGTCACACCCGTCCCATCCACCAGGATACTCCACGGCGAGGAGCGGCGTGGCGCGGGCGCTGCAGCTGCCCGCGACCTCTGAGCCTTCCGATCCAGTTCCGACGTCGCCGGCAGGGGGCTCGACGCGGTCGCGAGGCAGCACGAGCAGTGGCGGGGCCAGGCGGGCGCTGAGTCTGCTGGCCAGGACGGCCGGGGTGGGCCTCCTGGCCACCGCGGTGGCCCTCATCTCCGCCACCGCCGCCCCCACGGTGAGCGTGAGGGGGGGTGGAAGGGAAAGCATGGCGCAGAGGGTGGGTTTTCGAGGCACAGTTCCCTGACCACATCACATGGAGTCAGGTATCCTGTTCCTCAACCCGCCCCCTTCTCGTGCCTCCCTCAGGTGGCCGGGGCAATTGCGCAGAGGCGGACCCAGCGTGAGCAAGACAGCGACCAGGCGTGGCAGCGACCGCAGAAGAAGGGGCATGTGGCGGATCCCGTGCACTGGACGCAGGCAGCGCCTCCAAGAAAGAAGGGCCAGCAACGCCGCAGTGGGGCCCCGGGGTCACCGCAGCGACTGCCCCCCGTCGTCGCCGTGCAGCCGCCCCCCAGCGGCAGCGAGTTCCCGATACTGCCTCCCCCGGACGTGAGCCATGCCATGGGCTGACGTTCAGCTGACGCAACGACAACTGGACTGGCTACGATGGCTCTCATGGGTGCACATTGCATGAACGATGCTCGATGACACTTTTGCTTGATTGGAACGCTGAGAGACGTGCTTGAAGCGAGTCAGACGCGGTGACCGCACCCCTGCTTTGGCTTGGTGGAAGATTTACCCAGCCCCCCTCCTCTACACACGGACCGGAACCGACTCTCGACCTGCGCCGCATGAGCGATTGCGATTCCTGCACTGTTTACGACCTGGGTCTTCGAAAGCACCCAGTACCATGCATCTCATTATGTGATGCACATCTTATCCCGAAAGATGGCGTCTTTGGGTGCGGAAATTTCGAAACGAGGCGGAGGAAGCGACGCACCATCTCACCTGCCCATGCCCGGTAGCTGGGTGGGATCACGCTTCCGTTTGGGACCAGTCCTGTATCGGTACATGAGCGACCCCAGACCACTACCAACACGTCTTCTTTAACTTCGAATTCTCTCATCTCGTTGCAATGACGTTCGCAATGACCATGTCGACCGCCGGGGTGCGCCCCACCTTCCGGGCTGGACCGGCACCTCGCATCCCTGCCGCACGGCGATTCCACAGGCCCAATGCCGGCCAGGTACGATAGGATGTCCAGTGTGCGAGTTGGAAATGGACGTGTACTGTGTGTTCTCTCCGTCGGATGTCCTCACGGTCGTGATGTGCATCGTTCGGTCCGTCGACATCTCTCGCCATTCACTTTGTCCGCACGACAGGGTATCGGGGACGCCGCCAAGGACGCCCAGAAGAAGGCCGGGCAGGCCGCGGAAGATGTGAAGAGCCAGGCCAGCAAGGCATTCGACGATGTCGTAAACCAGGGCGAGGATGCTATCAAGGGGTGAGTGCTAGGGATCGAGAGGGAGGGCCCAAGATATGTGTCGTCCCCCGAGAGACTATGCTGTCGCATGCAAGCAACCCTCACCAACAGAGTGTCCATCCAACCCTGAAGTGGAGCCAAGAGTGTGGTTCAGCAACTTCAAGGGACCCCCGAGGAGATCTCCAACCGCTCTGGACTGGGAGGGGATGTGACTTCTGATGAGCACGTGAGTGGTTTGGGGCTCTATGTGGAGTTTGGAATGCATGGTACAAACACCTGTGCAAGAATAGGAAGGGGAGGCGTTTCTTGATGAGATACAGAATGAACGACCTTTGCATTCGCTCATGGGGACTGTATATCTTTGACCAATTTGCAGAAGGGCGGCAAGGATGAAGGCCCTCGCTCCAGGGCGGAGAAGGGTGGTGCCCGGGGTGGTGAGAAGTGGGACGATGTCAAGGGCACTGGCACCGAGAAGAGGGAGAAAGGTGACAGCAAGACCAACGCCAAGGGCGTTGATGCGGCCCGCGAGAGGGCGTCTGAGCTGGACGACTGGACGGGGACTGGCCAGGGCGCGAGCAACAAGCAGTGAACTGACCTATATGCTTTGAGCGACCCTATTCCTTCCCTCCTGTGACCACACCTGAAGACACACCCCTCTCAATCTGGACCCCTCGTGGCCTGAGCCGATTCGTGGAACCCCTTTGTATTCATTGTCAACTTCCCATCTGTGTGGTTTAAGATTTTGTAAAGCAAGAATGTATTTGCAGCTGCAAACAATATAATTACATAAAGTATTCATCATGGCAAGTGACGACACACATCGGCAAAGGTTAACCTGATGATTCGCCTTTTCCTGTGACACTACGCGGGGTCCGACACGAGAGGAGGGCATCCGGTGGATTTACCTCCCTCCCGTGAGCAAGTTTCCTGCCTCGTTCACACATCCGCATGCGAGTCTTAGGTGTGCTTCATCAGACAGGTGGCCTCCTGCGGGGACATGCTACAGCGCGAGCCTACACGAATCGAGCTGCGTGCAGAGGACAAGGAAGAGGTGCGCAGCCATGATCGGAACCGAGGTCCACGCCGTACGTCATCTTGTGTGACGGCTACACGAGCAAACACTTCATCCTCTGATTGCAGTACCTCGCGGTGAGGAGAGAGCAGCAGGAAGCACGTCTGTCCGCCCTAGCAGAGCAAACGGGGAAACAGCCACTGACGCCCCTTTTCGTGGTGAGCGATCGGGCCGGGCCTACCATACCGAGTAAGGGTCTGCTTCTGGTGAAGATGTAACGTCGCGACATTCACCATTGTAACAACTCACCATTACCCCTCTGCAGGGGAGGAAGCCGTCAACAGCCGCGCGTCTCGGCCTGGCAAAGTGATGGAGGTGGGTCCTTGATGCCGGTGGGGGGCACAGTCAGCTGCCCATGCTGTTGAGTCAATGCACTGGTGGAATTTAGGCCATGACGCACCCGCTGCCGCTCAGTGCGATCAGCGCCTATCCATCCTGATGCAGGTCGAGATCAAGCTGCGGCTGAAGGACGAGGAGGCGCATGCCCGGCTGGCGGCCGCTCTCAAGGCATCCTACCGCACCACCCACGAGCAGGAAAACTACTTCTTTGACGGCAGCAGCGCCGAGCTGAGCAGTGCCCGCGTGATCCTGCGACTGCGTTTCTACAACTTTGACAAGAAGGCCCTGCTGACAGTGAAAGTGGGCAGGGAGGTGGGGGGGAGGATGTCTCGATACTTGCACGCCCTTTCTCTGGGGGTTTGGTGCACCCCTCTTGTAGCATTCGGCTGATCAAAGGACTTGAGGTGTGTGGAGTTTTGAAGAGACTGCCATGTACCCCTCTGCAGGGAAAGCAAGTGCTTGTGGATGGAGTGGGGCGCTGCCCCGAAACAGAGGTGGAGGTGCCTCCTGACCAGGCCCGCGGGTACCTGAGCGATCCCAACAGGCTCCTGGAAGCAGGGCTGCCCCTCGTGGACGGCCTGAAGCAGTGAGTTGGCGAGGCTTTGGCCTGCGGAGACCCCACGCAGGTTGCAGGATGCCTGTGGGAGTGTCGCTGTTACCATGGGTGCAGGCATTGCCCAGGGGTGGGCACCCTGGGTTGCCTCTATGAACCCTTCTCACCCCGCTTGCGTGTGCAGGCAGTATGGACTCAAGGGGCTGAAAGGCCTGGGCGGCTTCCGCAACGTGCGCCAGGAGTTTGACTGGGAAGGCTTGGTGCTGGAGCTGGATCAGACCCGCTTCGATCACGGGACCGTGTACGAGCTGGAGGCTGAGACGGTGAGCACGAGACACTGGGGTTTGATTGCGCGCTTGGCATCCTGCAGATGCACGTTGCGGCGAGCATAATGAGGAGCCGAACCAGCTGAGACTCAGCATTACGACACTCCTCACATCCTTCATGTGCAGCCCAAGCCAGAGGAGGTCAAGCCCAAGCTTGAGGCACTGCTGACAAAGCACGGCGTCGCCTATGCAGACTCTGCCTCCTCCAAGTTTGCCAACTTCATACAGAAGTCGCTGCGCTAGGGTGGGCAAGCTCAGCATCCCTGGTGCTGACAAGGGAAGGACCATTGGCTGTCCATGCTGCCTTGAGTTCCAATGCAGCGGCCCCCACCTGTGCTCTGCTCCCTGCTGCACTACCCCCTGCGGGCCTTGAGAAACATGACCACAATGACTTTTGGCATAATTATGTTGTGCAACACCAGATGGGGTGGTGCCCAAGGGTAGTACATGCCCAGTCTTGAAAATTCTAGTTCCCGCCGCCTGCCTCCCCCGGGTCGGTGTACGACAGCTTGGCCGCCCTCTCCAGGCGCTCCTTCAGCGACCGAACGGCGGCGGCAGCAGGGCCCTCCTCGCCCTCCTCCTCCTCTGCCACCTTCCAGCTTGGCCGGGCCTGCGCGCCCGCCCCCGCCGCCCCTGGCTGCAGCGCCATGCCCGCCGCGCCCGCCTCGCCTGTCCACCGCTTGCCCAGCTCGGCCGCCGCGGCCGCCGCGGCGCGCTGGAACTCCAGCTCGTCCCCCTCCTGCTCCGCCAACTGCTGGGCCGCCTGGAGCTGCTCCTTGAGCGTCTCGTACCTGGGTATACGTGTTGAGTGCGTTTGTCAGGGAAGCAGCCGGTTAGATGCAGCAGCAAGAGCACCACAGCAGGGAGGCATGGACAGGCGGGAAGCTATTCACTTCCAGCAGGCAACCCCATGGCCTCTGCACATACTTGCTCATGAGCTCCTGGCGCCTCGACGTAAACTGGCTGGGGAAGAGGCCCGGAAAATATCTCTGCGCAGGGTGGTTGGACACCTTGTGAAGGTTTGACCATAGGATGCTGGATGGAATCCAGATTGCCAGTACCCATGCTGCCTGACCCACGAAGAACACCCTGCACATCTTGATATCACCAATTCACCCTGCTCTCCCGAATCACACCTGGATGAAGCCAAAGATGAGCACATGGCCGACAGGCGTCAGGGGCAGGATGAGGATGATGGTGAAGGGGATGAATGTCAGCACGTCTCTGAAAGTTCGCCGCAGCGCCTGCACCTCTCTTGGCTTGAGCGTCCCGCCTGCGGGTTGTGAAGGAGGGTGAGTACGCGACTCTGCCTTGCATGCGATCAGGAGTAATGCTTGCTGGGAAACCCAGAGGTGCACAATGGGAGTCTGCCACCAGCACTTTCCAAATGGGCAGTACATCAAAACGTGTCTTGAACCAAAGCCTGCCCTAGCTCAGCGCGCCCACCTGCCGCGGCCCTGCCAATCAGTTTGAAGGCAGACACGGTGTCTGACCCAAGCAGACGCAGACCCCGTGCTCCAAAGTCGACACCATCGAGCAGCTTCCCGATACCTTCCTTGACCTGTAAGTAGGACAAGTAGGTTGTGGTGTTGACCCTCATGACATCTATGAACATGTATTGACTGTCCATTTGCGGGTCTACCCTGGCCAAGAGTGACCCCTGCCAAACTCTTTGAGTACCCAAGAGTCCGCTCCACCAAGTTGGCATACCTGGAACTGCAACCTCGCCATGTTGAAGAGGCCGCCTCCAAACACCTACTCGACAAAGAATGATGCGGCACCGTGAGTGAAGGATCAGGCGGTCTCACGCGCAATACCTGGGCAAAGGATCATTCTCTGCATGCAGGACTCCACTCCCTGGACTATGAATAGCTAGAAACAGCACCCTGGCACCCGATGTTCCGCCCTTTCCACCTGGGTGTCCCCGAGCCCCATGGAGGTTCGCAGGTCGATGATGTCATCTGCCAGCCGCGCCAGCTCAGCGGCCTCGATGTACACCAGCTCGTCCTCCTCCAGCGCGGCAGCCAGAGGCGCGAGCTCCTCATCCAGAACCTTGAACTCTGGAGTCGAGAAGGGGGAACTTGGGGGGTGCGTGAGCAATGAGGAAGGCAGATTGCTGATATACCAAAGGCTAATATGGATAGACAGCAAAGATGCAAGCAGCAGGGGCCCACGACTCATGTGCATGACGAAGGCCAGGCATCGTACACACGCCCCTCCCCTTCCTGCAGCCACCCAGTCCCCTCTCAGTTCGCCCCAGAGGCTCCAGCGCGCTGCATCCTCCTGCGGAACCCCTCCCCCCCCTCCAACCCCCTTCCCTTCCCCAACCCCAGTGCCTCGCCTGCGATGAGCAGCGCAACCTCGTCGCTGGAGCCCAGGCGGTTGGGCGTGGCCGCCCGCTCCCTGGCCGCACCGCCTCCGCCGGCATACCCGTCCACGATGTCCAGGGCCTCATCCTCCAGTGCGCAGTGGATGGCCTCCATCTCCGCCTGCAGCGCCAGGATGGCCAGGCGGGAGGACAGCACGCCCACGCGCTCGTCCGCTGCGCGCAGCTCGGCGGCGGCGCGCAGGCGGCCCGAGGGTCCCGCGCGGCGCAGCCGAGCCTCGCGCGCCTTGCTCGCCTCCTGCAGCTGGCGCTCCAGCGACTCGATGCGTCCTGTCAGCGCCGCGGTGCGCGCGGCGCGCTCCTCCTCGCTGAACTGCGGCGGCGGCAGGGGGAGCGAAGCTGGTGCGGGCGGGCGCGCGCCGCGCCGCGCGGCCCCGCCGCCGCCGCCCGCCGCCGCGCCGCCGTTCAGGCGACCCCACACGCCCTGCGCCCAGCGCGCGCCCGTCTTGACGCCGTCCACCAGGCCGCGCGGCGTGGAGACCTTCCTCACCGCCGGCTGCAGCCGGCGCTGCACGAACTCCCCCGCGGCCTGCTCCGCGTTGCCCAGGCGCCGCGCCAGCGTGGTGGCGTCGCCCGCGCCCTCGGGGTCGGCGTCGGTGGAGGCCAGCGTGGACAGCGCGCGGTACCGCGCGTTGCGCCGCTCCACCGCCGCCTGCGCGGCGGACAGGCTGGGGAAGGGCAGCGCGCGCAGGTCGCGGCGCAGGCGCTCCTTTAGCGCGCCGCGCGCGGCGCGCACCGCCTCCGTCACGCGCTCCTGCGCCGCAGCGGCCTCAGCGGCGCCGCCCGGCTCCAGCACCGCGCCGAACGTGGGCTCCAGCGCGATCACCGCTTTGAGCTCCGCACCCAGCTGCTCCGCGGTCAGCGACATCTCGGCCACACGGGCCACGGCGGCGCGCACGCGCGCCGCCTCCTCCGCCGCCGCGGCGTCGCCCTGCGCGCCGGCGTCGGCGTCGGCGGGCCGCGCCGCCGCCGGCTCGTACACGGGCCGCGTGTCGGCCAGCAGCACGTCGGCGCGCAGGAGGTTGCGGTACAGCTTGCGCACCGCCACAAGCACCTCCAGGCGGTGCGCGCGGGCGGAGGGCGCGCGCTCGGCCTCCAGGCCGGGGGCGCCGGGGCGGCCCCGGGACCGGGCGGTGGGGTCTGCGGTCTCCGGGCGCACGATGGACACCAGGCGCTTCAGCCAGGGGGCGTTCTGCTCTGTCCAGTCGGCCTGGGACCGGGGTTGGAGGCGCCTGCGGGCATGGAGGGTGTGGAAGGCCTCAGGCAGGGCCCCCTTCATGCAGCAGGCCAATGCAGCAGGCAGGCCTTGCCCCCTCCTCCAGAGACGTCCCGCGTCCACAGGGCGCACCTAGAAGACCTCCGACGGTAGGCATGGCTTTTTGATGCGGCAGTGAAGGGTCTCGCTATGGACTGCTGGCGGAGCAGGGGTGAGGGACGGGCAACGGTGGTCCCCGAATGGACACGGGAACCACCCGGGATTGCTGGGCGCATGGCTCCCTGTGCAGAAACAGTGGGACACAGATACTCAATTCATTTCATTCAAACATATAAAAGAAATGCCGGCGGCAGCGGTGAACGCCGATTGGCTTTCAGGGGCTGGCAGAGTGTATAGATAAGTGATCGAGGTCCAAACACGGTTCCGGAGGATGTAGAAGTTCGACGATGATGGTCCCACCGCAACAACCAATGATCTGAGCACTCTCGCTGGATAGAATGTTTTATTGTTGAACGGATGCTGGTATTTCCTGATCTTCATAGTCGTGGTGGTGGCGGTGATTCATTCAGAGACTTGCCCTCTTTACTTCGAGCAGTCTGTGTCACTGCACCCCGGTAAAGCTACTATGACCACACCGGCGAGGAAGCGGTTGATGCGCGATTTTAAACGTGAGGTTTACTTACAGGGATGTTATAGCCTTCTCCTTCTTTGACACGGGACCTCTGCGCCTCTCAATACCGAGTGCACCCGTTCTCCATGCAGGTCTTCAGCAGGACCCGCCGGAGGGAGTGAACGCCTCGCCTAGGTCAGACAACATCATGAACTGGCGAGCAGTCATCTTTGGACCGGAGGGAACGGTCTGGGATGGAGGTGAGGGCCAAACCTGGAGAGTGGGTGCTGCTTCCAGACCCCTCCCGGGTGGGGCCTCAATTTTAGCCTCCACCGTGTCATCCCAGGTGTCTTCCTCCTGACATTAGCGTTCTCAGAGGACTATCCCAACAAGGCCCCCATCGTGAAGTTCAAGACGCCAATGTATCACCCGAACAGTGAGTGGCATCGAGGCAAGCAGTGTATGCCATCGTCTTGCGGACGCGCTAGCAGCATCATATCACAAATCCTTTCTCCTGTTTTGCTCATGCAGTATATGCTGATGGGAGCATCTGTTTGGACATCTTACAGAACCAGTGGAGTCCCATTTACGATGTCTCGGCCATCTTGACCTCCATTCAGGTGAGTGGACCCGATTGACTTGTACTTTCTTGTATTGATGCTGGTCGCAGCATTACTTTACAAACTTTTCGCTCCTTAGAGATCAGCAGCAACTTGAATCTTCCGCCCCCCGCTTTCCCCGCCCTGCAGTCACTGCTGTCAGACCCCAATCCAAACTCGCCCGCCAACTCTGAAGCTGCCAAACTTTATGTGGAGGATAGGTGAGAATTCTATTGTCAGTGTGTATGGCATGAGTCCTTTCCCCCCTTCTGATATTGCACCTGCCAAGAACAAGATACTCAGGGATGCCACGGCACTCACCTGCACAGGAAGGAGTATAACCGAAGGGTGACAACTGTAGTTGAGGACAGCTGGCGAGACGATGGTCGCGAATTGAGTATGGTGGAGGATTAGCCCTGTACTTCCCAAAGTAATTTGTTGAACCGTAGGATGTAGTTGTGTATGAATTTTTAGATTTCCAACCAGCGCCACCGATGGTGGTGAACACGGATTATGAGCACATCCTTGCTACCTGTGAATTCGTGGCCCCCAATCCGTTCGAGCGCCCGAGCCATCGTGGGAGGGGGCCAACAGACGAGGAGGATTGCTCATGCTTCTACTCCGCACATTGCTGGATCTTGCCATCCAATAATTCTGTACCAAGATATCAGAGTCCTACCGGACCTTCCTGCACCAAACCTTAGCTGTGGGGGACAAGCCCGTCCGTGCCTGGCCCATAGTCACCCAGTACCCCGCCTTTCGCACTTCCAGCTTGGGAACAGGGACTCATCACACGCCTTGATGGCATCCGACACGCTTCCCACCTCGGAGGCGGAGTTGGCAGAGTATGGGAGCAACCTTTTCTACTATCTGAGCATGCACCTGGTGGCCTCCGCACGGGGGAGGAATACGATCGTGCCCGAGGCGGTCTCCGAGATTTGGTCCCTGATGAAGACGCTGCCCGCCCCTGCACCAGAAGCCTGGCACAAGGTCATCAAGGGGACTCCGGGTACAAAACCCAGGATGACCGCGAAGGCCAAGACCGAGGCCGAGGCGAGCGACCTGCCCCGCAAGATACGGCGACCAAAGATGGTCTGGACCGAGGAGCAGAGTGCTGAACTCGTCAAGCTGATTGAGGACAAGGAGTACCGCATCGAGAAGCTTGGTGCGTGGGCTGTTGAATAAGGAGAGGAGGGGAAGGGGTGGTTGCAAGCACATGCCATGGAGGTGAAAGCTTCCCACAGTCTGCTGCTTGCACATGATCCTGCCGGGTCCTCTTGCCATCAACCAGCATCAGCATCGACCGACGTCACCTATGGCACCACTGTTCCTCCCGCCACGCAGGCGAGAAGTATGCCAACCATGGGCTCAACCCAAACTATGCAGCCATTGCCCGCCTCTTTGATGCGTCTGGTGGGTCACAAGTCAAGGCACACTACGCAGCCCTCTCTGGAGACAAAGCCCCAGGTGCTTCTGGACCCGTCTCAACCACACCAGGTACCACCCTGATACCGGGAGAACATGATTTATTATGTGTGGAACGGTGGTGAATGACCCTGGTGCGAGTTGCATCAGCTGCAGCGTAGGTGCGTGTCCATTACTCTTCTGCAGCCTGTGTGAGACCCTCTCACACGCAGAGAGTGTCTCTAGGCCCCTCCTCGTGCCTTCATTCTACCTCTTCGCAGGTCCTGCGTCTGGTCCTCGGGCAAAGAAGGCCAAGGTCCAAGCGGACACTGCAGAGGCTCAGACCCCAGGTCCAGCTGCTCCCGCCGACACCCCTGCTCCAGACTCGGCGCCCCCAACGACCCCAGGGGGTGCCTGGACAGCCGCCCAGGACCTGGAGCTGCAGCGCCTCGTGCGCGAGGAGGGGTACCGCAAGGAGGTGAGGCCTGGTGAGGCCTGGCAGGGTGGTGAGGTTCCCGCCCCGAAGCCAGGGCCATGGCAAGTGCAAACTCTGATACGCTGCCCACACTCAAGTCAGACTGATGCCAGCAGCCACTCGCGACCCACCTCCACCTGTCCATTTCCACAGGTGCTGGGCAAGAAGCACCTGAAGTGGTCCCGCATCGCCGAGCACTTTGGTCACAGCAAGAAATCTTCGCGGAAGCGCTTTACCGCCCTGACCGGCGAGCCAGCGCCCGAGTGACCTCGGTACCCACCCATGATGCATTCCTGTCTGATGACCGACTCTTTGACTGCAACAGACCCACAGGCCCAGGATGCAAGGATGGGCAGAGAAGGACTCGATTCGGTCCCAGGCAATGCGTCCTTTCCACTGTACCGCACCTTCGAATAACCACACTGCATTCGTGCATGGCGTGGGATCCCAGCCCAGACTGCAACTACAATTCTCGCGTATTGCAAATCACACAACGATGTATGTGCCTAGCGGTGTGAGGCACGCAGCCGGGATGCGAGCGGGCCCGACCATCTTTTGGAGCAGCCCTGGGAGTGTGTCGTCGTAGGACTCGTGGCTTTCATGGCTCGGAGAGCCACCACCCGGTGGCACCACATCCCCATCCTGGTTCTGCTGTATCTCTGCGTAGACTCGTGCGCCGCGGGAGGGCCTCTGGTGAGTCGTACACTCCTCCAGGCCGGTGCCACGGTCCCGGGAATTCCGGACACGAAAGCCCTGATACTCAACACCACGGCTGGCAACGGGACGGAGAAGCACAAGGACACCATTGCACATGTGAGGACGGCCGATAGGCGCTGATATTCGGCTGGAGCTCGTGGGTTGGGACTGTCATTGGGGTTCCTCCTCAATCTAGGGATGGAGATGCCCACGGCCATCTTTTCCGAGCCCCTCCCTGCAGATCCTGGATGAGGCTCTGCGGGAGGAGTTCAAGCACGAGGAGGAGAAGAGCGCAGAGCAGGGCAGCGAATACAATAAAACCGCGCAGGCCGGCGACGTGAGGATGGATTGGGCTGGTGTTGCGGGATGGGTTGAGGGAAGGCGATGGACGCACTGAATGAACGAGGAGCCTTCCCACTTGTAAATTCTCCGTCCCTCACACTTGATCACGCCATATGATATGCCATTCACTGGTCCTGCCGCCCTGCACCCAGGCACCACCGCACCACCTCCACCCTGCAGGCCACCGAACAGACGGTGATCATCATCTCCTCCAAGAAGGACCACCAGTCGCACGCCAACGCGACCGCAGAGGAGACAGGCGCCCAGGGCAATGCCACCGCCGCTGACGCCAGCAAGGCCGGCGCCGGCGTCAGCGCCGACGAGGCGGCGCCGATGGCCGCGGCGGCCAAGGCCCGGGAGGCGGCCGCCGCCGCGGCCACCGGGGGCGAGGGCGACGTCGACCGCATCATCGACAGCAAAGACAACGAGTATGTCCTCTCCAAGGCCGGGGAGGAGGGCGGCATGGGCATCACCCTCGACCCGCGTCTGGTCAAGGACCTGACCGTGCTCATCGCCGCTTGCGCGCTGATGGGCATGGCCATGGAGGCGGTGGGGCAGCCCACCATCAACGGCTACTTCATCGCAGGGTCGGTGGTGGGGCCGGGGGCCCTCAACTGGGTCAGCGAGCCTGTGCAGGTGCGGGGTTGCTGGCTGGCTGGGTGGAAGGGGGTGGTTTGGAGAGTGGAGGTCGGGGGCGCTGCTCGGGTGAAGAGGCAGGAGCTCGTGCTGCATGGGATATGCATGACCCTGTGAGCTGGCGGAGAGGTCGGCGTCCCAGCGCTGCCTCCTGTGCGACGTTCCTCCTTCGTTCAGCCCCAATTTGTGGGCCCTTCCCCCCGCCCCCTGCTACTGCTCGCAGTCGCCCAAGCCCCCCCCCTCTCCTTCACACCCATGATCGCTTCCCCCCTCCAAATCCTCTGTATCCAGGTCCAGTCCCTGGCCCAGCTGGGGGTCCAGCTCCTGCTCTTCAGCCTGGGCCTGGAGTTCTCGCTGGCCAAGCTGCGCGCTGTGCGCGACGTGGCGCTGCTGGGCGGCGCGCTGCAGGTGGCCCTCCTCTCCGGCCTGTCGGCCGGCGTGGCTGCGGCCATCGGCACCTCCCCCTCCCTGGGCGCCTTTGTCGGTGCGCTGGCGGGCATGAGCAGCACCAGCATCGTGGTCAAGTGCCTGTCGGACCGGCGCTGCCAGCACAGCGCCAGCGGGCAGATCGTGGTGGGCACCCTGGTCATCCAGGACTGCATGGTCGGCCTGCTCTTCGCGCTCATGCCGCTCCTGGTCCTGGCCGCGCGCGCGGCGGGCGCCGACGCGGGCGCCGCGGCGCGCGCCGGGGGCGCGGGCGCCGACGCCCCCGCTGCCGTCGGCCTGGCGGCCATCGCGGGCGTGCTCTGGCGCGTGGGCCTGAAGCTGGGCGGCGCGGTGGCGGTGGCCGCCGCGCTGTCACGCCTGGTGCTGCCCCGCGCGGCGGGCTGGGTCGCACGCCACGCCAGCGCCGAGATCCAGGCGCTGGCGGGCGTGGGCGCGTGCTGCTGCGCCGCGCTGGTCACCACCCGCCTCGGCATCTCTGCCGAGCTGGGCGCATTCATGGCTGGGGCCACGCTGGCCGCCGCGGGGGTGGGCGCGGCCATCCACGCCCGCCTGGACGCCATCACCCACTTCTTCCTCGCCCTCTTCATCTCCTCCACGGGCATGGTGCTGGCGCCCCCCTTCCTCCTCCACCACCTCCCCGTCCTGGCCGCTGGTGCCGCGCTCGTTGTCCTCGTCAAGGGCCTCGTCGTGAGTGGTTTATGAAGAAGGGGAA